CCATTCGATGCAGCTTCGTTAGTCCTTTAAACTTATATTAGAAAGTTGGATGTGATAACGAGAGTTTTCATAGTCAAATTTGGCAAAAACGCTTAAAAGTTGTCAGATCAAGACAAATTTGAACACAAAAACACCTACTACACAAAATCAAATTAAATTGCCGCAATTACTGCTGCTACGGTACAAGACTGAGACTAGATCGACTGGCCGTGACGTCGGATAGGGCGCTCTCTCATTCTTTCATACCCCTCGTTTTTTCTCCTTTTTGCAAAACGCGTTTTAGTATCAAACCATGGCGGATTTGGAGACCGTTTGATTGATAATAACACTCTAGCTTCCGATAACTCTATCTTGTACTGTTAAGAGTACTTGATACTGCTTCTTTGAGGTGGAATATGTTACATACCATTCGATAACGATCACTGGAAGGCATAGAATTAACACTAATTCAGTTTGTTTATTAGGTTTTAATAATTTCTTGCTTGTTTGAGTGAGCGCTGCTGCCATTCCTTCTCTGTCTTCTCTGCTGCCTGCTTCTTTGGTTTATCATGTCTGTTGATTGCTTCTTTGGCTTTTGTCTGGTCTCTGCTGGTGGCGTTCGTTTCTCGGTTTGTCTATGGTATTGGTGTTGCTGCTGCTGCTGCTAATATGGTCTCTCCTGGTCTACTGTCTTTGGTGCATGCTCGTTCTCTGGTCTATATTCAGTGATTGCACATCCTCTGGTCTATCTGTGATAGAGATAAGTGGTAAATAGCTTCTTTGGTCTTTGCCTGGTCTCTGCTGATGGTGCTTGTTCTTTAGTTTGTCTATGGTGCTAGTGTTGCTGCTGCTAAAATGGTCTCTTCCGGTCTACTGTATTTGCTGTATGCTTGTTCTATGGTCTATCTCCGGTGATTGCCTATACTCTTCTGGTCTATCTGTGGCTATAGTAAGTGGTAAGTATCTTCTTTTTTCTGGTTGCAATGATATGAAACTTCTTTGAACGCTTATATTATTGCTTCCTTTCTCGTGATAATGCATTCATGATGTTTGCCTTGTTGTGCTTTTTTCTTCTTCTTTTTCTTTTGTTGGTGGTGTTTCCTCTGTAGCTTTACATGAAACAACATTAGTCATTATGTTGTATCGCGAACTTATAATACCACTGTTGCTTTTGCAGTTGTGCGTATTTGTATCATTTTGCTTTACATCCGACTATTACTACCATGCGCGTTGCTCATGTATGCATTTTTCTTGCAACAGCAACGAGCTGTTTTGAACGTCTCTGATGTTGTGTTTGTTATACTTTTCTTTGACTCATTTTGTGTGAGCATCCCTTTTTTGCCTACGTACTACTATATTCTTATAGTAGTATGTTCTCTTCTTCTTTCTTTTATTCTTATTATGTTTCTTTGAAGCATACCTTTTTTTACGTTGTGTGGATGTGCCTATCCCTGAAGCTCAACAAGACTTTATCCGAGGCTAGGAGGTGGATAGGCTGCCTCCACTTGGTTATCACTACTTACTTTAGTGATGATTGAGGGTCTCAATGCCAGAACTTAAAGCAAGGTGGTGTAAGTAAGGCATGCTCTAGCATCTGGGGGAAGTTTGATGATAGCGCACACTGCTAGATTTGGTATACCTAGCGGCGCTTAAAATTTTGCCTCACATCAAAACAGGGGGAAACCCTCGCAAATTTTTTTTTTAGGTCAGCGGAGTTTTCAAGCAATTTGATTGGCTAAGAGGTTGGAACAACGAAGGGTTACAACTAGTTAATCTTCTATTGATCTGTCATGTATTATAATTTTGTATTTGTAATAAAAATGTATCCAAATATTGATACAATTTAAATCCTTCATTATTCAATAGTAAAATAATGTGCTATGATTGAATTCATCATCCGTTAAACAGTCGTATATGAGAAATGTCTTTTGAAGTTATCAGATGCGAACGTTATATAGGAGTTAGTACCACTTCAGCACAGTGTTGTTTACGTTGTTGTTACAACAACAGTAGTATTCTGGTTATCCTGTCACCAAACAATCGTTTTCGTTGTAGTAAAAAGGGGTGTGAAGAGCAGATAGATTACTGTTAAAATCCTTCCGTGGAATACATCCACTATGATCTGCATTCAAACAGTTCATCCAGTTACCAGATTTAGATATAAACTGTATGTGCACTGAATTAGATGTACGATATCAATTTATACTATAAGAAGATATGGACTTCAGATACGCTAGTACTATAAGATTCATACTATATAAGATATACTGTAGGGGGAAAAACTGTCCCGTTCGTTCAAATAATCTTGACTTTTACCCAGTATATTGCCAAAACTCAGAAAACAAAGCTACCCCATACTGCGTTCGATAGAACAGCTTATAGGAATCACAGCAACGTAAAAACCTTATGGCTGGACTATATTTTAATTCCAGTATAACCAGCTAAAGTGAGACGTGGCAAAAATGTTAGGTGGGTAATTCTAGATGATATAAAATGGTTGATATCTTTACTTCAAATAGACGTATTGAAGAAATCTAAAAAACTACTCGCGGTATGCTCAGGATATCTAATATCCCAGGAGCACTCTAAAAGTATAAGAGAAGCTAGTTTCTTCATGTTTTTTCTTTATTTCTTTGCTTTCTTATTTTTTTTCAAAACTTTCATTTTGCCTGCTCGTTTAACACAAGATTTGCGCAACATTCTCCAATCTTTGCTCCAACGTGGTCTTTCGCTCTCAAAGATAAAGAATTTGTATCCAGGAGTGGGTAACTTTACCCTTACAAGGCTCAGAAAACTATATTGCCCTGACCTCGCTATACTTGTTGGCGGAAGACCGAAAAAACTTGATGCTAAAACTATGTCCCTAGTGTCAAGAGGACTTCGATCAGGTGCTTTAGAGAATCCCCGAGCAGCACAAGAAATTTTAAGATCGATGGGCCATGATATGTCAATTAATGGCATCCGCAAGTCATTGAGACGAAATGGACTTAAATCTCGTAGAAAAGTAAAGACCAATTTTGTTAGCAAGACAAACAAGCGGCTTCGATTGGCGTGGGCTAAAAAGCATAGGCATCTTACTATTGCTGATTGGCGTCGTTGGGTGTTTTCGGATGAAACAAGAATAAATCTTTGGGGCTCAGATGGTAATTCTTTTTACTGGACGAATGGTGGCCGAATCATGCAGTCGTATCAAGTCAAGTCTCAGTTGCAGGGAAATGACGGTGGGGTCATGTTCTGGAGTTATATAACAACGGAGGGGCCTGGTTATGGTACTACCATTATTGAAGACGCAATAAACTCGGGCTTGTATGTCGATATTTTGAAGACATCATTGGTCGACACTCTTGAGCACTTTGGGAAGGCACCGTCTGATGTGCAATTCCAACAAGGCAGGGCAACACCGCATACCTCAGGCACTACTAAGCAATGGTTCACCGACAATGGGTTCAACCCAGACGAAATTATGGATTGGCCACCCCAAAGTCCCAATCTTAATCCCATTGAACATGTCTGGCATCTCCTAAAGCTTCGTCTTAATAAGTATCCCAATAGGCCCTCTACAAAAGAAGAATTAGAGCGGCGTATTAACATTCAGTGGTACAAAATAACAGAAAAAGAGTGCCAGAAATATATTGATAGTATGCCTGCCCGAATCCAGGCTGTCATCAAGAGCAAAGGTGGTTCAACTCACTATTAATGATTTTATAATAAAATGTACATTTTTCTATATTTATTTTTTAACCAATAAAATCATTGGATTTTAGTTTTTGAAAACGTTATAATTATGTATAGATAGCACTGCTTTCTCTCATTCAAACGATATATATTTCGACTTTGTATACAAAGAAATGACCAAAAACTTGTGCAAAAAGACAAAATTTTAAACGAACGGGACAGTTTTTCCCCCTACAGTAGGCTATAGATGGCACCACGGACATGGATGGCGCTATAGACTTATACTTGTATTCCGATATTGACTACGGATGTTTACCATATCTGGATAAGCACCAAGATTAATGCACTATGAGCTTGTCGCTTCAGATGTGCACTTTATGATCCACGCTATAAGACACATGCTTATATCCGTGATACTAGCTACAGATACTTTATGTACTACAGACTTGTACTATATATGAGACATGCTATAGACATGCATACGATATGCTATAGACATGCCATATATCCAGATACATGCCAAAGAGATGTACGCTCAGCGATATACAATCGGATATGTACTATTGGTATAGACTAAGTAGACTGTACCTATCGGATACATGCTATTAGATTAATATTAATTATCGTTATAGAAAGGATAGATCAGGGTACTTCGGATGAGAGTCTAATTATTCATCCAGGCAAAGCTGAATCATGATTAGCTTGCTGGAGTTGTCTTTTAGCATGATTAGACATTAGTTGATCTGAGTTGACTTATTTGTCAATCCAATTAATAGAACTTTTATCCATTGTTATAGTATATAAGAAGGATCATCTACCTGGCCAATAGAGAGACTTCAGTTTTACTTTACACCTGTCAGTTTGATAATAAAACATACCTTTATCAAGTTGACTTTACTGTTTTTTATTCTTTTTTTCCGTGAATTTTAGTCTATAAAGCCTCAAATTCCACAGATGCTACAGCTTCAAGTAAGAGCTCATACAAAATGTGATGCTTGGGTCTACGCAATGAATATTGCGAGAGATAAATTAATAGATAAAGTACATGATTTCCTTTAAAAACGTTTAAAATATTTGAGAAATAAGCTAATTGGTGTGCAAGCTGTGGAATCACTTTTAAGAGTGGTGGCACCATTCAATGCGCAACTCAGATCTGTACAAACTGATTATGAGCTGGAAACAATAGTTACTATTAATAAAGTTACTTTGAATAAAGTCTTTTTTTTATATGTTTTCCTCGCAGCTATCTGCATATGGTTTCAATTATATATTATTACAAAAAAGTATCTTTGGCTTGGTGAATACGGCATCTTTCTACGATATAATGATATTCGACAGATAAGTCTTTATTCCTTTTTAGTTTGCTTTTGTAGCACTGCCATGATTGGTGATGGCAGATTGGCAGCAATATTGTTTGTAGTAGCAGCAAGGTTATTGATGGCAACGGTTGGTGTATTGATAGAAGAAGCAGCAGCAGTAGGAGGAGGTGTTGTCATGAGCGTTGGGATGGCAGCATTAGGTGTTGTTGTAGTGGTTCTATGATTGACATAGGCATTGTTCATGGAAGGGCCAGTGTATGCTGGTGTATGAAAGAACCCTCTTTGAGGTACAGCGAATCTATTCTTTTTCACTGCGCTTTGTAACTCGATCTGCACACATACTTCTCTCAGTCCATGGATATGGCTCTTCAGTAGCTCTGTTGTACGCTGTCGTAGATCCTGAATATTGACACCATCCTCTACTTGAACATGAACACTGCCAATGACGCTCTCTGCCTCGCATGGCCAGAATCGAGAATAATTGATGCTGTAAACACCTTCTATTTGCTTCAACTCCTCCAATGTGCCTTCCACAACCGCTACAGTAGCATCGTCCAGTTCCAGCATCATCACTGCCGCGGATTGCTTGATCAAAGGTATCACAGACGCAATGATTAAGACTGCAATGAATATCGATGCAATTGGGTCAAATCCTGTCCACCCAAACCACTGGATCAATAATGTCGAAACAATCACACCCACAGAGCCCAGGGTGTCTGCCATGATATGTAGAAATACGCCTGAAATAGAAGCTTGGTTTAGCTGGAAGTCTTGCTATTTATGACCTGCACTTACCTTGCATGTTGGCATTGTGTCCATGATCGTGTCCATGATGATGATCATGCCCGCCACTGCCATGAGCATGGCCATGATTGAAAGCGAATATCCCTACCAAATTTACAACAAGGCCAATAAAACTGATGAAAAGCAACCGATGTGTGCTCATATGTGGTGGATCAATGAGTCTTTGAATGGCTTCTGTGACGATAGACAGCGAGATGAGGACGAGAAATACACCATTAAAGAATGCTGCCACTGTTTCAATGCGACTGTACCTATAATAAGAATTTATCAATATCGATTCCAAGCGATATCTTGATCGGCAACTTACCCGTATGAAAACTCAGAGTTGGATGGCCATTTGCTCATCACAGCGGCAAAGAGTCCAACACCAAGTGCCAGACAATCGAAAAGCATGTGTATCGCTATGCAAAAAGAAACATAAGAGGTCAATCAATGCACGCGTTTCATGGCTGCTGATTCAATAAACTACCATCAGATATAAGGCCAAGGGAGTTTGTCCATACGCCATAGGTCAACTGAACAAACATGTATGACAAGTTGAGCAGTAGAAAGTAGAATATTTGCTTCGAGTCATTGTTGCTCAAGATGATGTCTAGTGATTGTTTTGCTGTTCTCAAAGGAGACGAGTGTGTGGAACTGCTGTAGGCGAATGTGGCACTCTTTCCATACGGTGTTGTGTGTGTAGGCAAGTCTAGAGGCGATGAATTGAACATGGTGTCATTTAAACGAGAGAGAAGGATATAAAGCGAGACCAAAAAGCGTAAATGTAATTTTATTCATCATCTTATGGAAAGGGGAAGAGGTTTGCTGAATTAGAGTCCGCTCTGGCAGTTGGGATGTGCTTACAAAAAATATTCTATCTTGTTGTCCTACATGATCAGATCAGTGTTTGCCATTGTACCGAGTCAACAGTACGGTTTTACCTTTATGGGCATATTGGAGGTATCTATCACTCTGTCATTCTCAGGGGCAGCATCAAAGACATTGAAGAACCTCCCGCCAGAAACGCTCACCTCGAGGATGGAAGCCAGGTTTCCACAGCGATAGCAGTAATTGGGAGCTGACCATACTGTGGATAATTTATCATCAAACAAAACCTGATACCCTGCATTGCAAAGCTGATGTGCTCTTAGAATATGATCCATCTTGTTAAGATGTAAAAACCTATCCACCACCAAACCGCCAAATGTGTAACCTGCTCCTCTTGCTGAAATCGCAAACTCTTCTTTGTCTGGATCTGGATCTGACCACACTAAATCTGCCATGGCGCCTTCGTGTGGAATCTCTTTGAATCGATCAATGATCTTTATCTGGTCTAAAACGTGGATCGTGGGCGACAATCCTATCCACGCATGTATACTCAATTATAAACGTCTTTCTTTCTCCCTCGCTCAAGTTACCTCCATGCACACAAAATATGCTGTTATCTACCACCACTGACAGTGTCAAATAGTCAAACATGTCTGTAAAGTACTTCCACACTTGCATTGATCCATATTTACGAATACATTCGGCGTAGAATCCATATGTCTATCGTGTGATTGTGAATTTCATGCAAAAAAAAAAAAAAATGAAACGCCCCCCCCCCACTTGCCATTACCTGCGTTACAGCTCTGGATTCATGATTCCCTCTCACAAGCTGTACACGATCTGGGTATCTCAATTTCAGGCAGGTCAGTAGCGAAATTGTCTCTATGCTGTAGAGTCCTCTATCCACATAATCTCCCAGGAACAGGTAATTGGTATCAGGACAATAGCCACCAATGCGAAATATCTCAATCAAGTCGTAGTACTGCCTACAGTGTCGTCCATTTCAATTAGCCGTGTTTTGTATTGCATGAGGATGGACAATTTACCCGTGGATGTCTCCTACCACCGTTACAGGCGCACTGATATGCACTACGTTGCTTTCAGACATGAGCAGCTCTTTTGTTCTCTCGCAAATCTCTTTCAAGACGCATTCTGCCAGTAGCTGCTTTTTGTAGAGTCGTTCCAAACAGGCATCGAGGTCGAGCGCCACCATATTGAAGAAAGTTGTTATATACAAAGAAAAAAAGAAAGTGATAAAAAGAAGGGAGAAAGAGGGAGTGTAAAAAAGAAAAGGATTTTATTTTCATCCTGACGATTTGCAATGCTGTATTAGAGAAAGACAAGCACTGAACTTTAAAACATCAATGCAAGCATCATGGTTCGTGAATAGAAAAGTTTATTTAGCATGGTGTGCTCTCTCTCCTTGCATGTGGAATGAGAATCTGATCCTAACTACCACTTGCAGCGTGTAGAGTAGCATGATGATGAGGTTTAAAATCAGTCACCGAGCGAAATTGGAGTACTTGCTCTCTTTCTCTCACTTTTTACAAACAACAATGAAGGAGGATTTGATAACATCGGCTGTATCATTCCTATCGTCTGCTAACGTAAAGGCAGCAGACAGAGACAAGAAGATAGAGTTTCTTAAAAAGAAAGGACTCGATGACCAAGAGATTGAAGAAGCTTTCAAGCGAGTGGAAGCAGCAATGACAACGCAAAACCAAGTAACAGTATACTGTCATTCATCAGAGAGAGTAATGCAGACTGACCGACTCTTTTTGCATGCTAGTCAACAGCCATGCATGCTCCACAGCTACCTCCTAGGATTTCATATGTTCCAACCCAAGTGGTGTATTATCCACCAGCACCTGTACTACGCATGTCAAACAGAGACATTGTGCGCCATGTATTGGCGCTAGGCATGGGTTCATTTGCGATAACAGCTGCATTGGTGTTGATGATCAAGGTAATACCAATGGCAGTAGAAAGAGATAGCAGGCTATTCATCCAGATGGCATGTAGAGATTCATGTTAAAAGTGTTTACTAAGATCGCGGCATATCAGCGTGATATATACCAGCAACACACTCAGCTATTGCACCGCATGGAATCCACGCTAACGCATTATTCCACTGCCACCAATGACCTGCAAGTAGCGCAAGAGAAATTGGATAGCTCACTCAACTGTCTACTGCAATCTACTCGAGAATTAAAGCAGCAAGATCAAGGACCTTACAAATCATTGCGATCCGCCATGGAACGATTCACAAACTCACTCTCGCATAATCCGCTCGTGACGAGTACAGCTGCCCGTCATCAGTTCAATTATCAAAGTGGATTTGCATCGTCCTACGCAGACCGCTACCAAGTGGATACGAACCATAGTCTGACAGTGCAGGGTATCAAGAGCGAGATCCGCGGTGTCAAGGGAATGCTGTTGAGCCGAAGAAATTTCCCCATTGTGAATACAGCAGCCCCCTCCCCACTCATCGCGCAAGGGTTTGTGCCTCCTGCGCCCACCATCCCAACTCAATCCACCTACCATCCTAGAAGAGGAAGATCTTTTCGAAACCAAACAAGCACAACCGTAGAAGATGCATCGCCCTGATAGATCAGAGCTGTATACAAACACATGTGACGGAGAATGGCAGTTGTACGTGACAATAAACATGGATTCTGCTCTGACAAGTAAGGCTCATTGTCCTTCCCTTTGTCCCTTTCCAAGCCTGAGCTTCAGGCATTCGGTGAGTGAATAATACAAAGGCGAACATGAGATTGATTTTCCAAGACCTTTGCCATTTCAATGATGAAAAACAGTGACTGCAAAGAACAACATGCAAATGGAGCTAAATAGTTTCGAGTTTCCTCTTTTTCCTATAATTGTCCTTTGTTCTTTCTCTTTTATACACGCCAAATGGATAATAACAACAACAACAACTGGAGAGGTAGAGGCAGGGGCCGTGGAAACTACAATAACAATAATCGTAACAATCGTGATTACAACCAAGACTACAACAACAACGATCATGGTAACGCGTACGGTGGTAACCCAGGCAGCATCTCCATCACTGCTCGTCTTGGCCCTACCAATGCGCCCATCAATGACCGAGTAGTTCACACAAACAACAGCAACCAACAGCAACACAGTTCAAGAGGCGGACGAGCATTCTCGTCAAACAATTATAGAGGGCGAGGCAATCGAGGCAACCGCAACAATGGTGGTGGTGGCGCTCGATTCAACAGCGAGTTTGTAGAGGAAGACATCAGCATGCAACCGTAAGTGGACTACCAATCGTGTATGGTATGCATAAACAAGACTCATCGTGTCGACATTGTGTAGAAATACCTCAGCTGGAAACATTGTTACCGTAAGTTATATAGGTGTGCCTGTGTTGGTCAGCTTGCATGCGAGCTAACACTGATACATAGATCACTGGCTATCCTCCAGGCTCTGAAGAAAAGGTGCTCGGTTTTATCACCAGAAAAGCCAAGGCTGCCTGGGAGCCTCTCAACGTAAGTGAATTGTACTATGGCCTGGAGATTTTCATGCGGCTGACCTTGTCTGTGGCAGATTCAATACGAGACAAAGTCGATGCATATCACTGTAGTGGATGAGACAACTGCAGAAAGCCTTTGTAGAATGAACAATTTCAATTTTGGCGCAGCTACTGTAAGTCTTGTATTCACAATGTAGTATAAGGTTGACTGACAGAGAGATGGTACTCTAGCTACACATTACTCGCGGTGGACAATCTGGAGGAGGAGCCGATAGCAGGGCAGGTGGTGGTTTCAACAGAGGTGGTGGAGCGTCAGGTGGCGGCGGTGGAGCAGGCAATTCTGCAAGAAATACCAATGCTGGGAGATCTGCAGTGCTAGCCGAATTTTTACAAGAGAGGTGGAACCCTCAAGCTGGATTTTTAGACATGGACGAACTACCACCCACCTCACACAACATCAGTACAGTGATATCCCGATTACTGAATGAAGCTAGGTATCTGTTTGGAGACAATGTAAGTAATTTATGAGTGCACGCGTAAGGAAATGCTTATACAGAAACGTTAGTTAAAAACGCTATCATTTGCTCGCAACAAACTGTGGTCTGTTGTGCCTTTGAACAAAGTGCCCGACATGTTCCCCAACCTCCAAAACTTATCCATCGCAGACAACGATATTGCCGAGTTCCGAAGCTTAGATAAACTCGCCAATCGATTACCCAACTTGCAGGAACTCATGTTATCAGGCAACCCTATCCAAACCAACAACTCATTGGAGCAATACCAGCAAGAGGTGCTGAGACGATTCCCTACCATCCAGTTCTTGGATGTCCAGCCTGTGAATGGCGGTCAAACAGCCAGCCTAGTATCGCAATCATCAGCAGATCTACCTCTTCCTGTCAGATCCCACTTTTTCGACAATGACAATTCGCGACTCGCTGCTCAAGATTTGCTGTCAAAATTCTTCCCCCTGTTTGACTCCAACAGAGGCTCTTTGATAGACTTGTATGATGCCCAAGCCATCTTTACAACAACATTCAGTAACAGCGGTACATATCAGCAACAGAATACCTGGGGAAGTGGCCAGATTACACCTAGTCAGCGCATGGTTGTGGGCAGTGAAAGCATCATTAAGCGATTACTGCAATTACCACCCACCGTGCACGATTTATCGAGCGCAGACAACTTTATAACAGATGCTTGGCAGACACCTGGATCACAAAACCATCCTGTGGTGTTGTTCTTGACTGTGCATGGAGGATTCAATGAGGCAGGTTCCAGCACACCATTGTCATTTGATCGCTCCTTTTTGGTGGCACCGTCTGCTCCTGGATCAAGGTAAGTTGGTGTAAGATGGATATGTGATTAGTGTTGTAACTCGGATCTACTTTACATAGAGCTCATACCGCTGGATGGAGTTATGTCATACTGAATGATTCCTTGATTGTCCGCAATTTCTCAAACAAGCCGGCTTCGTTAGTTACAGTATAAAGACGCTATCTTTGTAATTATGTACAAATCAATTCTGAAATCAAAAAGCTCTTTAATAAACAGTCATTTCGCACACTTACGTTCACACAACACACATCCATCATTGTTTTCTTTGTGCATGTACACTATATTATGGAGGGTCTCGATATAAACACCATACCCAACACGTTGCTAGGCCGTATACTGCTACAGATCCCCAACCTGTCATCGCATGAGAATCTCGATTTGATTGGCATATTACAAACAGCATTACAGCAATTTGGGCAGACGGATAAGCTGGACGCGTTTCTAGATTACTGCCAGACATTGAGCAATCCAGAAACCCCTTGGAAATGGGAGACTTACACCATCACTAACAACGATGATTGGGAAATTGCAAACTATAAAAAATCACAAGAACTCGCTGGTATTCGATTCTTGCTCGCTTCAGACACTGTAATACATACTATTTTTTTTTTTTTGCATAAATGCTGAAATAACACATGGTATCATAGGCTAGACAAGATGCTGAATTGACACGCTATTCTAAAAGCATGCTGTATGATCCAAAATGCATCCATTTCTTTCAGGGCAGACCAGTACACGTCAATGATCTATTGCAAGACACATTAAGCTACTTGCAACGAGAAAACGGACATATTGATCCTATAGTGGAAGCATTGATCAGGCTACGGTTAGACAAGTACGACCAGGACAAGTCGACATTTGAGCGACAGACAAGTGAGTTGGACGCTACAGACTACCATTTATTGGGTGCATTGATGGTGAGATATGATAGCATTGCAAGTCGAGGCAGTGCCCCGAGATCTTGGTGCCTTTATCTAAGAGACTATGTGGAGAACGCTGATGGAACTGTATGGCGCATCTTGTTAGAGGACGGTGAAACGCGAGTCAGTGTGCAATGCTCTCTAAAAGAACATAGTTTCTGACTCCATATGTTGTAGGTGACCTCAGATCAAGCACTTGCAGACATACGCGGTGCACTAGAGAGCGAAACGTTTCCCTCAGAATTCTCAAAAGACTATCGACCCGTGTACCTATTTTACGGTAACTTGGATATATCACAGCCACCACAGCAACCACAAAAAGGAGGAGGAGAAGCAGCCCAAGATGGAAGCCATGTCATCACATTAGACGACTATACATTTGACGATGACTATGATCAACTACTGCAACAGGAGCCACAGCAAGACATCCCTCATGAGGAGGAGGAATTATGTAAACATTGCGGTATAAAGGACATCATCGATGACATCAATGACATGTTCTTTTGCGAGCTATGCAATCAAGGTGTTCATCAGTTATGTGAGGACCCTCCTATCCAACAATTTGAAAAGAACGTGGATCCTTGGTGGTGTCGTGCCTGCTCTAAAGCTCAAAATATACCAATTCCTACAGCAGAGTCTGTCGCCAGAATGCAGCTTGAAGATGCACCCATCAACGATGAAAATGTGCTTAAAAGAAAGAGAGAGGACGAGGCCGAGGTCGAGAATCGTCCAGCAACTGACGGTGATAGTTTCATGGCGAAAAAGGCATCTTGACCATGCTGTTTTATAGTTTTGTACATAGAGAAGCAAATAAATGCACATGTTATGCTGTAGAAACTGCTTCCGGATGGGTCATCTGAAGATGATAGTATAGCAGTTCATTCATGCCTGGTTCTACATATTCTCTAGTGCGCCTGCAACACAAACACATCATGTGCTAGATGATACTAGCTAGCATAATTGTGAAATGTGGCCTCCATTGGCAAATGACAGCCTGAAGCAAGTAACATTGAGCAACGAAAAAAAAAAACGCACTTTTTGAGCGATTCAAAGACTCAGAATGATACCAAACGATTCCTCTCATCTAGTAGCATCATCCCAATGCATTGTCTCGAAATTTTTTGGTGAACGGATTTCGACTCGATTTTCCCTTGCTACTACCATAAGGCAAAATTCGTCAAATTCCTTTGATCGCGTTTTTCGCCACAAAAGAGGGATAAATTTATAATGCACACCTAGGTTCAATCGAAAGGCAAAAAGCCAGAAAATCATCTGCAAACAAGTTTTTGGCAAATTCCATAAACAAAATGTAAATTTTTGTGCCAAAAACTGAAAATATGGCTTTACGCGTTTTACAAGAAATCTCAGTGAGAGTCAGTGCTGATTTTAGTACCATTAGATTCACAAAAGAAATTCTGTATCGAACTTAATAGAGGTATTTGTATCAATTAGTAGTGGAATCTAGAGAAAATGGCATTTGAGTGATGTTTTTTTTTTCGGATTTTGTCAAATTCATGATTTGAACTGAAAATTTCATCTGGGTTTGAAAATATAAATGCTGCTAATTGCAGGCGATGACAGGTAATGGCAGGAGCAAAAACAACGTACATGAACCCAAATTGACAATGCAAACCAGTAGCCAAGTCTACTTTTACGTAGATGTATGGCAAGGTTCAATGAGAAAACAGCCAAACGTCGTTTTGCATTAACACTACGCTTATATCAAACCCAACATTGCTAAATATATCAAACTAGTAGTCCTTTCATATCCAACATCAAGCAAGATCTTTTACATTCTAGACATGACAAAAAAGGTAGTTTATTATCAAGAATAAAGCGTTTTTTTATTATTTAGAAAAGATAATCAGAGATTCCTTGATGCAACACAATTTACTAATAGCAATGTTAGTCATGACCCTTTCACGAAATCCAGATATCAACACTACTTACTTGCTTCATGGCATCCTTCTTACCCTTACGTTCGAGGATGGCAAGACGAGACTTATCCAACTTGAGGTTGGTGACAACGACCTTGGAGGGAGAGATACCAATGGGAGCAGTGGCACCGTTGACCTTCTCGCGAGAGACACGATCAATGTGGATAACCCACTTCTTACGGTAGACTTGGACAATCTTACCCTCACGACCCTTGTAGGTACCACGGACAACCATAACCTCATCATCCTTACGGACGGGAATGGAACGAACGCTGTGCTTCTCACGGAGCTCCTTGGACAAAGGAGCACTCATGATCTTACGACGAACATCGGAGGTGGCGGCGAAATGAGCCTTTCTGCTCTTACGGCGAGAAGAACTGACGTCTAATATATAGAACAAGAGGGTGAGTAGTCTGCTTTATGATGGAGGTAGCGAGTGAATTCTGATTCAGAGAAACATAATGGAAATCGAGAATCAAATGGGATAAATGGCACATGTGTGTCATGAATGGCGAGGCGAGGGCTGTAGAGCACTTGCGTCGAGATGGCATAAAGCACAGTTTCCTGCAGTGTCGTTGCTGAATAAGCTGTTGTACACAATAAATCGCTTCCAGCATTCAGAATGGTGCAAGTCGAGTTGATCTTGGGAATCCTCATGTCAAAATTCATGTCATGTCAATCATCCAAACATCCATCAATCCAATTTCATGTATCATCCACTCATCCGATTCATCCATTCGTTTCTTTGATCAAATTCGCTTTATCCGCTATCTGATATTTACCAGCAGAGAACTTCATCCTGTCTATATGATGAAAAAGAGGAGGATTCCAAATGTAGCTTACTTGGTCAGTACTTTTGATTACTTAATTTTCCTAGCCCGCACCTATTCAACCATGATGGATAGCGCAAAAAAAAAAAAAAAAAAAAAAAAAATTGTAAACCTAACACAGCCGGTCCGGACCCCTCAACCCTCATGCTTTCATCTATCAATGAGCAATGCCTCATGCAAACCATTATTGTGAACGATGCCAAATGTTTAATTATTTACTAGATAGAGAGAGATTGACTATGAAATTAATAGTGTAACGATTATTGCTGTAATATATAAGAAGACTTGAAATAGTACAAATGTATGCATAGTCAGAATAATGCTCTACTGCATACACCATGTATCAAAATCAAGTTATAGGTTGGCCACTGCCAATAGAACAGAGCTGGCACCAGCAACAAGAGCAGCTAGCAAGCAAGCATTGCTGCTACTCTTAGATTCAGATGCACGAGAGGTATGAGAATCAGAAGAATTTCCGTTTCTATTGTTGGAGTTGTCTGATTTACTAATCTCCTTCTTTGGAGGACCATGGTAAGAAGGTGTATCGTTTGGACTTTCGGTCTGCAGATAGCTTGGAGGCGCATTGTCTGTATCACATTGGTAATAGGCATTGCAGGTTGCAGCACATGTAGAAGGATTGACAATGTCCTTGTTACAAATCATTTGACATTCCTGCGCTTTCCCTGAGCATTCTGCTTGAACAACAGGCCATAAGAAAGGTGCGAAATCAGCAACCTTATGCTATATCGTCAAGATTAGTAAAAATTTTCAGATACATCCATTTAATCTATACTTTACTGAGCATCCACAGCCCCAAGCCATAGTAGTAACGTTACAGAAACTAGGCAAGTACAGATGTAAGTATGCACAGAATTTTTATATACAAAAACCCCTTGAAGAGCTTACTTTTTAGGTGCTTGGTTTGGTCCTCCACAATTATTCTGTTTATGCTGTTAGAAATGGCTACAAAGAAGCTACCTATTGGATACTTACAGCGCAATAGGCTGTTTGACGCTGACAAAGATTTTCACGGGCGGATGGATCTATTCTCAAAATGTCCCAATCAACATTGGGTAAGCCCGCTGTTTATATACGTGGTCAGTCTCGATAAATTGAAACGATGAGCCATGCATTATATGCTACAAACCAGGTTTATCAATGGGTTGTTGCTGCAAAACAGTAGAGTTATTGTTCACCGTTTCTACATTTTGAGCATAGATAGTTGCTGCTTGAAAAAGAGCAGCAAGCGACAAGACAGATACGCTGTTGAATAACATGTTTGAGATGTTGGAATGAAAAGAAGAAGGAAATATGGTCATCACAACGAAATATAAAAGTTGGCTAATGAAATATGATCCATCTTACACAGTTATCCCTCACACAAAGGTCCCTTCTCTCCCCTTAAAATGTGGACTTGATTGTTACAGAATAGTTTTAATTATGTGAGAGTATTATTTATGAGTCTTGAGCAGGCTTTTGACGAACAAATTCGATCATCAATTCGCAGTGATCAGTGTGAGGGAAGAGATCAACAGAGATGGCACGAGTAGGCTTGAAGGGCATGCCTCTGAAGCGGTTTGATTGAGGGCGACATAATCTAAAATACTGTATGTGAATACCTTTGATTCCCCTTTTTCCCCTTTTCTTCCTCTTGCAATTTATCTACTTACGTGACAAAATTATCTAAAGCTTGTTTGGCATCACAACTGATATAGACCACACGATCAATGTGTTCAGCATCACGAACAGCACGGATCACACTAGCATGGACACCATTTCTACTCCTGGCATGTCAGTATGACCAAATCAACACTGTGGCATCTCTCACTCTTACCTAGGTGGATCCAAAACTGCAATGACTTCCTCGTTCTTTTCGCCTGTCACTACATCAATCTTATCCTCAACCTTATTTGCATAATATGTCACATTCTCAATGTCTGTAAGGAGTGTTAGCTTATGTAATCCAACCCGCCAAAACAAGACAAACTTACTGTTTAATTTAGCATTGGCTTTTGCATCCACAATTGCTTCAGGCACCATCTCAATGCCAACGACACGATCGACAGAGCGGGCCATGGTGATACCAATTGTGCCAGTGCCACAGCAAAGATCGAGCAAAGTAGTCTTTTTGTTAGCATCAATGCTGCACCACTCTGCGCACTTGGCATACAACAACTCAGCAGCAGGTGTGTTAACTTGGAAGAAGGCGCTTGCAGAGAGACGGAAGCGACAGCCAAGCACATTTTCATAGATATAGCCATCACCAGTCAAGGTCTCCATGGGGGCTTTGTCAGTGATACCATTGGAGTTGCCATCCCACACTTGAAAGATCAAGGTAGTAACGTTGATGCCACTCTCTTGAGTCCAGAAATGAATCAAATCCTTCTTCTCTTGCTCCAAACGCTCAGGAGTCAAATCAGCAGCACGCAGTTGAACCAAGATCAAGACATCGCCAGTACTTTGAGTCTTGGTCATAAGCGTACGCCAGCAGCCTGTCTTTTCAACACGATCGTACACGGGTAAATCAGACTTTCTAACGTAGTCGCCAAATACTCGAGCAATATGTTTAGCAGTGTCAGATACATTCAAACATTCGCTAGGCTCCAATACATTGGTGATACCGTCGCGGTACAGACCCAGCAAGAAGCCAACAGTAGGCTCACCATCCAAATTCTTACCAATAGTGAACTCACATTTGGTGCGGTATCCATTGATCTCAGGAGAGGGAATAGGGTCGAGCACTTCGCAAGGCAAGGAACCCTTTTCAAAAGCCCACGCACGTTGACTCTCATCACGGACATCCTTGAGACCCTGGATCTTTCTCTTGAGGTTCATCAATTGCTTTGTACCATTGCGGTTCTTCTTGACTAATTGCACATCATAGGGCTCTCTCCACAGAGGGGTGACTTGATCTGCTAGCTTTTCAGCTGGTGTACGGGTATCGTCTTTGTCATCTATTATGGGTTGGTTTCTCTTTCCCTTCTTCCCTCCTCTGTTGCCACTCATGAACTTGTCACGATGCTCTTGCACGGTTTCGGTGATGTATTCACCCGCAAGTTGACGGTTTTTGAATGTGCTATTGTTGACTACTTCAAGACATTTTTGAGCTTCCTCTTCAGAATCCACAGTGATGAAACCAAAATCCCATTCAGGTGCCTTCTTGATGCGGTTGTATCCCAACTTTTTAAAATACTTTTTGACGGCAGGAAGTTCTCTTACTGGCAAATTGGTGACCTTGATACGGTGAGTCATCTCGAGCTTTTGCTTCTTTTGTTGCTCAGCGATTTCGTCTTCATCATCCACATCCAAGGGTCGCTTTCTGCCGAAAACGCTATCAATGATTGATGAAACTAACTTGAACATTGTACAAAGGTAAAGAGAGAGAGACATTGGGCCCAGAAGCAACAATTAAATTTGATGAAAAAATTTGATCTGATACATATGTGATTGGCGCGGCTATCTAATGCCATTTGACAGCTTTTCTCATCTCTTCTGTAACTTGGTTGTGGATTTGAAGTATAATACATGAGAAATTACACAGGCATTGGGGATTACAGCTTGATTTGATGTAGTAATGTTGAAAAAACAGTTTGTGGCGGGTAAATTTGAAATTTTTAGATGATAGGAGAAGCTGTGAAAGAAGCAAGATGGCTCATGAATCGAACAACCATGGATCAGCGTGCACAAACATGCCATCGGATGCTTTATGCCAGTTTTCTAGTGCTTTTCTTATCTGTAGAGGCAGGATATGACTCTAAAAGAGCTGACATATATTGGAGCAGTTTGTAGCATCCTATTCCCGCCATATGTCAAGCTGATTTCTTGAGGCTGCTTCTCGGAGATACATAATACAGCGATGTTAGCAAGATTCGGTGTATATTTTGACTTATTTTGCAGAGCTTTTGGATTATTTACCATAGCATAATAATTTTACTGTCCTTACGCACTTTCGAAGCTTAAAAAGGAAATGGGTTGATCTTACAGCTATTTCGGTGGATTTGCGCTATTAGATGCAAGACTTCAAAAGCATATATTATTGCCTTCATGATTAGAAGGGCATTGAGTTTGCCAGCCTGCCTCACCAGCCGCCAAAATTAATTCAAATTCAGAATCATAGTCTGCTCTAGATTGGACAAATTTTAGTAAATTTCGACTCGATTGAACTATCTTTTTCAGATTCGACTATATCAAACATAATGATCACCCCGTACTTCCTTAAGCTTTCTTGGGGTGCTTTTCAAGACGCATCCAGCGGTGCCAAATAAAATAGATGTTTTAAATAAACTTACTGAGCAATTTCTGAAAATATGAAATGAGGTTTTTGGTGAAAATGTTGAGATTTTGCATATGAAATTCTCTTAAACAAAGTTTCAGAGGTTGCTTTGGATCGAGAGAAGCATTTTGAATTAATGTATACTATAGTAAAAGTCTTCAATTTTGAGGTGAAAAACGCGATCGTTTGATTTTTGATGAAAACCATGAGGGGTACCTCATGCTTTTTGGTCGATTTTTGTTCATGTTTTTTTTGATTCCCAAAAGTTGAGCAAAGGTGTCAACAAGTTAGTGCTAATTAATAGCAATTGTTTGGTGCTATTCTGACGATCTAAAACGGCGTTGAACGCGAGAAAACACGGTTTAAATGTACCCAGTATTTGCTGTATTAGGCACACGCTTGACTAGAAAGGGGATAATACCGGTATACTGCTTGCTAGTGTATGAAGTATTTCGAGTGTATACGGATGTGGAACATCACATAAGAGTCAGATCCACAGATAATATGGGGGGGGGGGGTTCTCCTGTGTAGGTGGAGGGTTAAAATGGAATTAGTAGTATTTTGACAAGATGATCAAGAGCAATCGCTAGCGCGAGCTGCCGCGGCGTAAGTTGGTTCTCACCAAATCAAAGCAAAGTTAGGGAGGCGTACGCAGACTCGTAGTGCATAATTAAGCTATTGTTTAATATTAATGGAGAGGGCCCAATTCTCCCATCATTTAACATCGTGTGTCTCCTCAATACTAACAAAAGCAAACATGATCAAGCCATACACTCCAACTAGTGAAACTTGTTGAGTGATTCATCGATTTTTGCGCGCATAGAGCCGAGCTTGGAGCATTTAGAGGAAGCATTCGTAATAAATTTTAATTTATTGATTTATGATTCATCGGAAGCACTCCTTTTTAAATAGCAATCTAATTTGATGTAAGTGTATCATATTTTTAACGCCTCTTTTATAAATCACAATAACAGAAATAATCAGGAACATGCATCCAAGGTATACTCAACAAGCTATGGAAGGCCTCCGTATGGATAAAACTGTTCCAAGAGACAGCATCTGAGTGCACGAACAAGCGTTTAGCAATACCTCCCGCCATTTGAAAAAGCGATTATCATACTTGAAATTTTATATATGAACAAAAATATAATTGAAGGTGAAAACGAATGGAAAAAGGAAGGTGTATTGCTATTAGAAAAAGTGTGTGTGTGCAAATGTGATAAATTATGCTGGTTCGTATAATAGTTTTTTTTTTTTTTCTTACATGAAAAAATGAGTATTCTGTCGACTGTCCATATGGACAAACATATCATTCAGCTTGAAATTGTTCAGTTCCTCCTTGATTTTCAAAGCTAAAACAGGTGTCAACTTTTGACAAGTAGCGCCTGTATCACATCGACGATCATACTCCTGTGCAGAAAACGTTTCATGCAATTTGATGACAGGATTAAATGAGAGTGATTTTTTACTACTATTTGTTGTGATGGAGGAATCAGTATTGGAGGAGCAGGTGGTGGTGGAGACAGTGGAAGCAGCAGGGGATGGCAGCTGTTCTACTGCTGCGAAGGGTGGAGGTCGAGAGCGACGCTGATGGTGGTTGTATCTAGATGAAATGCTTGAATTGGGTGAAGCAGGTAAACTTGTGTTGTGTGCCATGAATGATGGAGATGGGAATGATGTCGTGTACGACGACGATGATGAGCGACCTATTCAGATGACAATGGCATGAGACATCATGTATTTTTATCTTGGTATCGTCAGCTTACCTTTGCTTTTGGTCGTGGAGGATGGAGAAGCCGAAAAAGAGGTATCTACAGGTTTTAATTTCGGCAATTCACCGGCTTGTCTCTTGTCTGCTACAGCAGTGCCATGCTCTGTCATACCAAACACTTTCTTGATTCGTTTGCCCAATGATTGTCTTCTCTTTGGCAGCTCAATTGAATTAGGAGTAGTTGGGGTAGATGATGTGGACGAAGGAGACATTCTATTTGAACTGGATGTATTGATAGGTGTAACCGTGGTTCTCTTGGCAGGCTCGGAACGATGCTTTACGCTTGAATTCGAAGTGGAAGGTGATGGTTGATAAGATAGCGAGGGGCGATATCTACTGGCATTGCTGCTGGTGGATGACACAGTGGATGATCTCCTACTGCTTGTGCTATTTCGCATCATCATCATCATTTGCTGCTGCTGAAGGTACTGCAATTGGTAGTAACTTGACTGCAGTTGTTGATGGTAGAGCTCATTTTGGTAAGACCAATCAGTCCACATGGCATTGGTGTCCATCTTTTTAAAATGTAATGAAAGCAGGTAAGAAAGACAGAACAAATAGGCAGAATCAAATTGCCTAGTTATATATAAAAATAGAGATCCCCCATGACCCATATTACACACTCAAATTGTAATCCCATGGCTTTATCTCTGTCTCTCTCTCTCTCTCTCTCTCTCTCTCCCTCTCTCTTTTCTCAAGGAAAAACTGTTCAAAATAAGTTTGCATAAAAATAGCATTGAAACACCATACATGGTAATTGAAGAAAAGCAAAGTATAGAAAACCGACCCAGAAAATTACCTTTTTGTCACTAGCATTGGGTGAAGAGACATTGATTTTCATGGACATCATGTCTGCCAACGACATGTCATCATCGCCATCATGAGAAAAGTAGTTCATCGTATGTGTAGGTGCCTTTGCTTGTGGATAAGGTATATATAGTATTTACAAGAAAACAAGAAAAATGAAAAAAAGGAAAGAAAGAGCTCTTTTTTCGAAATGTGGACCATCTCCCCTCTTTTGTGCGCATTATATATATATATGAACATTTCCTCCCCCTCCCCCTCTGTCTCGCTCTCTCTCTCTCTTCCAGAGTTTGCTCCCTTTTTTCCCAGCCATCTCCTTTATTCTGGTACTCGAAAATATACGTAAAAACGAAATGATCTCCCCCTCCGCTTTATTCCTCAATTGCTCTGTTTCTCCCTCCTAATAAGCATAGCTGTAGACTCCTTTTGCTCGATTTTTATTATGATACACACTTTTTTCTACTCGTATTCTGGCACATCGTCAGGTTCCTAAAATCAATGCATTTGAGTAAAAAGAACTAAATCGATATGCAAGTATATTAATTTACCTTTGGCTCCAAATCTTCGCCGTATTGCATCGAGTTATCAACGTGCGATAATACGTATTCAACAGAATCTTCGTCTGTAATATTAAGTGGTATAAAGCGTACCATGCTGTAATCATCAATCAATTGTACAATGGCTTGATTCAATGCTTGGAATTTTAGGCTCCTTGGGCTGGGTTCCTCTCCATTAAGCACTGTATCAGCTTCCTCTGTCATCAACATTGGATCAGGTTCCAAGTATCTATCCATCTCACGATCTGTCATAGCCTTCTCCATCAGTCTTCTTCTTCTCTTTTGTCTACGTCTCTTCTTTTCTGCAGCTGTCTCGGCGTCATCCTCGTCATCATCATCTTCTTCAATGGGTTTGTTTCCATAATCTCCCTCGATTAAATCCATCTTGGTCATGACGTTGATGTGAGGAATCTCTAAATTGACCATGGCACTCATGGCACTCAAAACACCAGAAAAGTACTTGCTTTTGTCCTCGATAAATTGTGATTCCAGACAGTAGACACCGCAGACTGACATGTTCAGACGACCAAGTGTCTCGCAAAGACGTCTCATAATGGGAAAATGGGTGTATAATTCAATTTGACCGGGACAATCAATGATCAAGTAATCATCGTCAAATGTACCAATCTCCTCTTCGAGCCAGTCGACATTGTTCATCAAAAACCTAGTATATCTACCATCAGTTCACTGCAGCTGCGATCCAGTGGTATGCTGCTTACTCTAAGCAATAGATCAAGCCACCGTTGGGTCCATAGTCCAATTCCTCCATCACATCTTCCAATGTAATGAGCTCTCTGATATCAATCGTGGGCTCGTATTCGAAATTCTCGGCAGCAGGATCCAGATTGACTAAATGAACCTTTCTTCCAGCTGTTTGGCAGTGTGTCATCATGGTTGCACAGTATGTAGACTTTTTGTATAAAGCACAGTGTCAATCTCTCCAGCTTCATGCTCTCCAAATGTTCACATACCTTGCCACTTCCAGCAGGCCCCATGACGAGTTGACAGTGACGACCCCTAATAATTAGATGACCAGAACATCAGTATCTTGATTCTCTAATGCAGCGTGCAATTACTTTTCTTACATTATAGTGTGATGTGTGTTGAATTAAAGAATTGAGTGAAAAACCTTTTTCTGTAGCTACGCGGGTAATTGTGCTGGAAGTTTTTTTTCTCGGTACAGTCACTGGATTGATTACTAAATCAAACATCTAACGCTACATTTGACCAATAAACGTAGCCTATTCATGCTCGCTTTGACATATTTGTGCTAAATACAATGCTAACGCATTAGACATGGCATTTGAAACGATATACATATCATATTAGCCATCTCGTTCTTGCACGTTTGCAGTTGGATACCAGATAAATGCATCCAAATGACACCTTGTATTAAAATTCATACATTGCACATCGGATTCATGCAACCATTTTTTGATGTCTAGTGCTAGTTTCGATTGTGAAAACCAAAGCGTATGATCTGTGCCATTTAGCATGACAAGCGCCTATCAAGCTTAGACTTGATACTCAATGCCAGCAAGTATGATTTACCCAGCAAATCACTCTATTTTGAAGATGGCCTCATCAGATTTTAAAATGTAACCAAGCCAAGTGAAAAGTGCAATTGTCAACATACGTGCATGTAGTTGGCATGAATTTCATTTTTAATTCAAAGAGTTCTTTCTTATTTACATACATATAACATTGTTCTTTAGCAAAGGAGAACACTATATATTTTTAGGAGCAGAGCATCCAACCAGTTTCTAATCACTACCATTACATAGGAGTAAGATACGAGGGAAAAATAGGATGGAAGAGCATTCTCAAAAAGCAGAATGACAAACATGGTGGTAGATAGGACCCTAATTAGGGATCAACACAGAGAGATTTAATGTGTACAACATCTGGCATCTCGATGCATTTGGAGGACATTGTATCGGTAACTTGAACGGCATGAATTGTTGGCATGCAAAGGAGTCTGTTGGTACTCAAAGCCCTTTTTTTGTTTTTGTTTTTGAACTCGAACATTTGCATATCGTGTCAGTGTTTGAATGTCAATTACGAAGAGATGCTTATAGGTTCATTCTGATTTCCTCTTACATCATCTGTTCTATAGCGTCAAAGCCAGGAGATGCTTTGGATTTGGATATCAATGTACAGCATCACTACGTGTTTATGTTGGTGTGGCGATAATGAAATGCTTCGGTATACAAACATTGCGATAATAAGTTACGAGAGGGATTCTCGATTTACAAGAATGTTTGCTGTACTCAAGTTTATACTCAAGTCTTGAAGGTGCTTTCAAATCGACATACATTCGCATGGAAGGACATGCAATGTACAAGAAGCGACATTTGATGATTTGAAGCCCATTTAAATGTAGTATTTACAGTAGGACTTCCCAATGGTAATTCACAGGCACACAAACTCTATCAATGTGATTTACATTATAAATTGCTAAAGAGAAAAGTGACTAGAGCCAGTGTTGCGATTATGATGAAAAACGTCAAGCGAGAGCCACTAAAATGCGCGGCCTAGAAAACTGGATCGACCAACGATATCATTTTACTAATGGGCTATCTAGATTTTTTTTTCCGGGCATAAATGGTTTTACCCCCCCCCCCTGGCTATGAATTGAGTGATCTAGCTTGACATTTGACACCGATTAAGGACTGTGCGTTCACGGCAAGTACAGGTTTTCATGGCTGATGGCATACGAATACTATTCTATCATCTAGTGGATATGATGGAATAGTCTGCTATGAATCAAAGTAATTCGTTGGTGTCTGATTGGACTCCATGTGACAATGTTGAAGCTTCACACGCCATTTAAACGGCGGCCTCCACAAAATGTTATTCTGCTGACTTATCGTATTCTTTCAGTTACACACCTTATAAATACAATGGTCGTTTTATTTGTTCTCCCTTTTCTTCTTTTTCCTCTTTATCCCCACAATTTAATAGAAATCAATTGCAAGAAAAATGGGCAAATTCACCTTGGAAAAGCAAACCTACGAAGTTCCTGGAAGCAGAAGTCCTGGTCAAACAGGTAAATCAGCTTGCTATTACACAAATGCCAGCGTTTAGTCATCGTAAATAGGCTTTACATGGCTATGTCTTCTACGTCAAAAAGCCATGAAATACTCATATACTTAATTTAGGCATCTATCGTAATGCTCAACGTCCCGTTGTTGAGGCATCCTTCTCGCCCAAAGTGAAATCCATGATTGATGTGTTTAACAATGGTAACACACACAAACAGCACATTCCAAATCTTACCGTAGAGCTAATTGATGCATATAGGTTTGAAAACCTCAAAGGATCGCCCATGTCTCGGTGTGCGCTCAGTAAAGAACGCTCAAACTGGCGAGCGTGGCCCTTATGTCTGGCAAACCTATCGTCAGGTGAGCCATAGAATCACCAATTTTGGCTCTGGTCTCTTGAACTATTTGAACCACACCATGAACGACACTCGCACCTCCAACATCCCTATCGGTATCTGGTCAATCAATCGTCCTGAGTGGACCATCACTGATTTGGGCTGTGCTTCCTACTCTCTTTACACTGTCGCCCTCTACGATACACTGGGTCCTGACACTGTCGAATTCGTTGTCAACCATGCTGAACTCGAAACCGTTGTTTGTTCTGGAGATCACATTGCCGACCTTTTGAAATTAAGACACAAATTGCCTAATCTCAAGACCATCATCTCTATGGACTCCATTGAGGAGGTAGCTCGTCCTGGTGTTGCCTCCAAGAGTGACATTATCAAGGCTTGGGCTGCTGAAAAGAACGTGAATTTGGTCGATTTCAACTTTATCGAGGAGTTGGGCAAGAAGAACAGACGCTCCTACAACTATCCCAAGTCAGAGGATTTAGCTTGTATCATGTACACCAGTGGTACAACTGGTATGCCAAAGGTAAACTCTATTTTATTTCATGTGGGGAAAAAAAAAAAGAAGTGGAAGAATTAACATGTGATCATCTTGCTTGTTAACTTCAGGGCGCCATGTTGACCCACGGTAACTTTGTCTCTGCATTGTCTGCCAGTTATCAAAGTTTCGGTGGTACTGCTGAGGACTCTAGTATCTCTTACTTGCCTCTCGCTCACATCTTTGGCCGTGTATGCGATATGTTGTGTCTCTGTATTGGTGGTCGCTTGGGCTACTTTGCTGGTGACATGAACCTCTTGGTCGAGGATATCCAAGAAATGAAGCCTACCATTTTCGCTACTGTACCACGTCTCCTGAATCGTGTTTATGGTAAGATTGTTGCCTCCACCGTAAATGCTCCTGGTGCTACCGGCGCTTTGGCTCGCCGTGGTATTGCTACAAAGTTGGCTAATCTCGAAGCTGGTAAGGGTTATACTCATCCCTTCTGGGATCGTTTGATCTTTAACAAGGTCAAGAGTGCTCTTGGTGGACATGTTCGTATCATGGTTACTGGTTCCGCTCCCATTGGTAAGGATGTCATGCAATTCCTCCGTGTTGCTCTCTGCTGCGATATCCGTGAAGGCTACGGTGCCACTGAAACCTGTGCTGCTTCCACCATCCATTATCCCAACGAATTCAAGGCTGGCCACATTGGCGCTCCCTTCACATGTAACGAAGTTAAGTTAGTGGATGTCCCTGAAATGAACTACCTCTCTACTGATCCCTATCCTCGTGGTGAAATTTGTATCCGTGGTCCTAACGTTTTCAAGGGATATTACAAGGATGAGGAAAAGACCAAAGAGGCTATTGATGAGGAGGGTTGGTTCCACACTGGTGATGTTGGTATGATCAACGAGCGTGGCAGCATTGTCATCATTGATCGCAAAAAGAACATTTTCAAGTTGGCTCAAGGTGAATACATTGCCCCTGAAAAGATTGAAAACATCTATGCAAAGGACCCTGTCATTGGCCAAATCTATTTGCACGGTGATTCATTGCAAAGCTCTTTGGTTGCTATCGTCGTCCCTGATCCCGATACTTTGGCTGCTATCGTTCAAGCCAAGTTACCTCAAGTGCATGCCAAGAAGTTGAGCTTTGCTGAATTATGTAAGGCTCCCGAGGTGGTTGTCTTGGTTTTGGATCAAATGACCAAGGTCGGTAAGAAGGCTGAATTGCGTGGTTTCGAACAAGCCAAGGCCTTGTATTTAGAATCAGAGCCTTTTGCTGTTGAAAACGATCTCTTGACTCCTACTTTCAAGGTCAAGCGTCCTCAAGCCAAGAAGCACTACGAAGCCAAGATTGCTGAACTCTATGAAGCTCTTAATAACCAGGTTGAACCTGCTAAGGCTAAGCTTTAAATTACTTATTTATTGGTTGGGAATCCTCTATATCATCTATCCACAACCTCTTTTCATTCATTGAAACCAAAATTTCCTTTTTTTTTGTCATTTATTTAGATACGGAATGTATATGAATAAACAATAATGTTATATCCAATATCAATCACCAATATTTTCGGGTTTGTGTAGATTCACGTAAGCAACGACAATTGACACTGTGCGTTGCATTACTTGCATCATGCGAGAAACCTACCTCACTGAGTATCAACTAGCAGGTGACACAAGGAGCAGGAAAAAGGGGTATCATTGCCTAAATGAGGCAAATGTTTTGATTTGCCTTATTTTCGACAAAATAATCAAATAGATTTCGTTTTCCCTCTCGGTTTCTTTTCTCATCTCTTTATTCCCTTAGTTTCCAAAAAAGCTTAAATAGTATGCAATCTGACGTCTGTTATGATTATTACAACAACAGTCAAAACAGTGGCAACAATGGTGGACATCAGTCATTAAGAGGACCAAGGCCCATTCAGCAGTCGCCCATGTATCCATACTCGTATACTCCAAGGCAACCACGCAAGCCAATTGAAGTGAGAGTGCCTACACCGAGAACTCAATTTACCCCTCAGCCTCCATCGCAGCCATATGTGTATCCAGCTCCAAAACCACAGTTGGGAAGAAAGCCCTCAAAGACGGAATTGCCGCTGGACAATTTCATCCCGCCTTCACCTGCGCCTTCTTCATCCACCAAAATAATAGCCCATTCGAATGTCTCCATACGTCGAAAGCCAACACCACCTACTCCAGCGCCCAAAGCAAGTGCTAGTAAGCCGGTAAATCCTGTATATCAATCGCCCTTGAACCGTTACTCGTCTGACGATGACAATGATGAAGATGACGATGTGAATGATGAGGACATACTCCGAGATTTGACCTTGTCGAGACGAATGAGTGTACATGATATCACCATCTCTTCTGACGAAGAAGACGATGACGATGACGATGATTATAATTTAGAAGATACCTCAAGAAGACCAACTAGCAAAGTACCTGATGATTTACCGCCAATTCCTCAGATATCAGCACCTGGATACTCGGACGATGAAGATGAGAATACTACCAGTGCATCCATATACACAATTCGCAAAGATGACTTGCCGCCTATACCCTCCATTTCTGCTCCTGGCTACTCTGACGACGAAGAAGAAGAAGAAAAGAATGTTCACAAAAGCAAAGCTCCATTACCTGTCATCCCTACTATTTGTGTTCCTGGAGGGTTTTCGGACGATGATGATGATCAAGAGCAAAACGCTACACATGCTCAGCAAAAGAAAAAGAGCGCATTATACAACTCGATGTATTTTGGTATTCGATGTGGTGGATGTGAGGAACCATTGAGCGGTCAAGCGATTACGACATCCGGCAAACATTGGCATCCACGCTGCTTCAAGTGTCAAGCATGCCATCAAAATCTGGAGCATATTGCATTCTATGAGAAGGACAGTTTACCTTACTGCGCTCTTGACTATCACGAATTGTTCAGCCCTCGATGTGATTTTTGTAAAACACCAATTGAAGAGCATTCCATTTCAGCACTGGGAAAGACATACCATGCTGGCCACTTCTTTTGTAGAGAATGCGGTAAACCATTCGATGAGGAAACCAACTTTTTGGAACATGGAGGACATGCCTACTGTGAAGCGGATTACTACAAACAGTTTGGAAAGGCTTGCAGAGGATGTGAAGAGACGATTACAGGGGATTTCTTGGTGGCATTGGGTGGTGAATGGCATAAAGAGTGCTTTGTATGTGCTGATTGCGGTAGCACATTTGCATCGTCCACGTTTTTGATCAAGGGAGGTAAGCCGTACTGCGAGGAGCACTATCATCAGCAAACAAGCTTGAAAAAGAAGATTAGTCTACCTAAGGCTAAACCACTGAAACCACTGCCGAGTTTGGATTTACTGGCGTCGCCAAAGAGCTCAAAACCGGTACCTGATACTATCTGCATCACGGAGAATACAGCAGAATCACAGACCAAGACCTGCCATAAATGTCAAACCACAATACAGGGCCGATGCCATAGTGCTTTTGGACGTGATTACCATCCTCTGCATTTCCAATGCTCGAGGTGCAACAAGCTTTTATCTGCTAGACTTACAGGTAATACGTTTAGATGCATTGATAGGATTGATATTAATAAACCTTAATTAGGCTTATACCAGGAAATAGGCGATGGTGAGATTATTTGTAAGCCATGTGTCAGGAAAAATAGATCCACAGATCCATCATTTTAGGCGTTTTGGTATCAAAAGAAAAACGTGAGTGCAATAAAAAAAAAGCCCTGTAGCTATACAGTATCATCTGACAGTTTAAAATGGTATTTAACAAGAGAAATCACTACTGCTCAATTGTACCCAAATCTTGCTGTGTTTTGCATAATTTTGAGTAAGGTGTATGGCAAATATGCTGTCTGCCCGTATATAAATTGCTCTTGCGGATATAGACTTGGAGCATCACGACAGAGTCAAACCTACAGTTATAAAGAATTCCTCTATAATAGTAGGAAGCTAAGAAGTCTACATTAGTCGATTTCGAATGACATAGACACGGACAAATGGTCGTAAGTTGGATCTTCCAGAAAAAGCAAATATAGAGAATCTCCTGAAGTGTTGAGGTGCTTGCAAGTGATAATAAGATCTGATGGGCTATTGTTAAAATGCATGTGCAGTATATTTTCAACAATTGCCAGCACTCCATCTATTTCGATGCGCACCAGTAAGTGGGCGCATCATTCTATTTATGCATGTCCAACCTTTTAATCAAACGACAATTATACTAAAACCATAAAGCCTACTTCATTCCCTTATGGATTAACACAGTATTTCATGTTCCTATTCTACCAAATTAGTGTAAGGATTTTCATCAAAAAAGATGAGCTAGTCAAATAAAGCATATAAATTAGAATCAATATTGCTAATATTTATTGGATACCTGAGTTAACCGCTGCTATCTGTTGTCAGGCACAGCCATGATGTTTTCCCGTAGCAACCCTCTTTTTATGAGCTTCCGGCAGCATCGATGTCTTTTATAAAGAGCATGATGGTCCAATTTGCCACCAACAACCAGTAGCCAAATCTCGATTAACTCTTCGCCTTTTTTTTTTTTTTTTTTTTTTTTTTTTTTTATCCAGATTGGCTAACGTTTGACCATCGTCGACTTGATTGAACTATTTTGCAAGATTCGACTATATGAATTGTGATGGTTTCACTAACTTCTCTTAAGCTTTCTTGGAGTACTTTTGAAGGCGTATCTAATGGTACCAACTATACTAACTTTTCTGAATAAACTTATTAAGTAATATCGCAATTTATGGAAACTCTTTATCTACAAAAATGTTGAAATTTTGCATATGAAGTTCTCATAAACAAAGTTTCAGAGGTTGCTTTGGATCGAGAGAAGCATTTTGAATTAATATCATAACATAGTAAAAGTCTTCGTTTTGAAGGTCAAAAACGCGATCGTTTGATTTTTTATGAAAACCATGAGGGGTGCCTCATGCTTTTCGGTCGAATTTTGGCCATGTTTTTTTTTGATCCCCAAAAAGTTGGACAAAGGTGTCAATAAGTAAGTGCCAGATGAGAGCAATTTTTTGGCGCTATTCTGACAATCTAAAACGGCATCTTACTCGAGAGATATCTTCCTAAATACATCCAGATTATGCTGTGTTTTGCATATTTTTGAGCAGTAAGATGTAATGTAAGTATGATGTCTACCCGTTTAGGCGTTGTTCTAGTTGGTATCAGCATAGAGCATCAAAAAGGAGTCAAATCCACCGTTGTGGGTATTGTTTTACAGAATGGTATCCCAAAAAATAGTGCAAATCCAGCCATTATTCAGTTTTTAATACTTATGAAACGAATGCATTATGCCATCCAACACGATGAGCAGTATTTCTAGTGCTTATTGCTATTTGATAGCTTCATCTGATTCTTTGGCAACAGAGCGTTACTTTCAAGGCATTGATTTTGTGTTGATAATGGCAACAACAGGAGGAAAAATGGTATATATAAGATGTATAATTGGTGCTCTATAAAACTCTCTATTAGTGTTTTGAAAGATGTTTTATGTTGAAGCCTCTAATGATGATGTAAATCCAATATTTTGTGGGAAGTTCCTAAGGTCAATCAATGCTATCATCATCATCATCATCATAATGTGTTGTTCAATCAAGCGAGCATAGATTTCATCGGGTTGTGATTGATGATTTTAAGTAACTATAAGGGATGAATACCATTTCGCGAAGATTTCAAGCATTTCGTGATATTCAGCGCAAAATCCGATGATGGGATTAATATAATGATACCAGTCGACACCTTGATCGAATGCATCTGATTAACTCAACTACTATAAGTTGGCAAAGACTATACCTGCCAAAACTTGTATATCTACTGATAAAGCGTCATATAATTAAACTTTTCTTCTCAAATCAGGATACCAATCAACAGCTTCTAAACTATAGAAACAACTACTCTCTTCTCATAACAAGAAATAAAAATAATAAAAAAAAAATGCCCTGGTCTAGATGTGGTAATGACAAAAGTTTTAAAAATTTAGGCTTAGGTAAGACATTTGCGCAGTTTCGCGCGAGGTATTGTCTAAGAAAGTGCCGCCAAATCGAAAGATCATGGTGATACAAAATTATGGCGACATATAGGAAGGTGCTGATGTATATTTAACATGGTCCGTGTTTCTGATGCGGGATTAAGACCCCGTACGATGCAGATAATACATGTTCCTGAACCTTTTTCTTCATTTTTATATTTTTGTGCTGTTTTTTTTTTCTCGCTGGTAGTTGCAGAGACCAATCAAAGGGTAAGGGAGAGAGTCAAAAGGAGAAGAAGAGCAAGGATAAAGGAAGTACTTGGGATTGTAAACAATCGCTCGGGATCAGCGATTGATTTTTTCAATTGTTTGCTTATTCATGGATCGAGAAGAGAACTAGGCAATTTTGAAGCCTGTATATACACACAATACTTTCAGCACATGGATTGCTTGTTTTCTGTAATGCATCATTGGCATTCAGTGACACTATCAAAGTTGTAATGGTGCTACGATGAGGTGTGCTTTGAAAGGGCGAATCCACATTTGACTTTGAAAAATTGTTCAGAATGATACTCTGTGGCTACTCTTTCTTGTACTTTTTCATTCTTTCGTATCTCACATAATTATATACCACCTTGTTCAATGTCGACGGCAGGATTCCCACATAGATTTCTTAGCAAAATTAAGAAAAAGGTAGGTTCTTATAAGATGGTCAAAATGAAGGCCTTTGCTAATACTTTATAGACTTCAAATGATAACATAAAGTCGAATGACAACCTTGGAGGGCATGGCATTCCCAGAACAAAGCCTTTCAAATCATATGACAACAAGAAGCAATCTGAGGAAGCACGAAATGGCACTAAGCCCACACCAAAACGTTTAACAGACGCCTTGAAGTCAACATTAACTCCAGCAAGGACAACACAGAGATCGAATACAACGACTACTCGAAAGCCGCTACTACGAAATGGAGACAAGCAACCGTAAGAAATCATAATGAAAACGAGCAGGAGAGAAAGCGACACTCAGCGCTTCTATTAGAGATATAAAACATTGGACTTTAGAAGACTTTGAGATTGCTAGGGATTTAGGAAAAGGCAATTTTGGCAGCGTTTTTCTTGCAAGAGAGAAATCAAGAAAAATAATTGTTGCGCTCAAGGTCATGTACAAGCAGCAAATAAAGGATATGGGCATTCAGAAGCAACTAGAACGTGAGATCGATATCCAGGGCCATCTGAGGTAAAGTTAGATGTGCAAGATTGCGCTTGATCCATGCATCTAATGCCTCTCACATTAGACATCCCAATATACTAGGTCTTTATGGATACTTTCATGATGACAGCCGCATTTTCATCATACTCGAGTACGCAGCGAATGGCGCCCTGTATGATGAGCTACGAAAAAGAATCAGATTCACAGAGGAAGAGGCAGCAAAGGTAAGAGAGCAAACAATACCCAACTAGAGGATGCGTCACTCACATTGGATGAACCCAGTACATTGCACAAATGGTCGATGCTTTGGCATATTTACACAATAACCAAGTCATTCACCGTGATATCAAACCAGAAAACCTCATGTTGGGCCGCAATGGCGAAATCAAAATAGGGGATTTCGGATGGTCAGTGAGGACTGAGAGACTCAAGTGAGTGATATTGCACACATGTTGAGAATTGCTTTGAGAAACTCATTGCTGCGACAGTAATAGGAGAGGCACTTTATGCGGCACGTTGGATTACTTGCCTCCTGAGATGGTAGAAGGAAGAGTGCATGATAAAAACGTAGACATTTGGTCCCTAGGCATTCTGCTGTATGAACTGATTGTCGGTAGCCCACCATTCGAGGAGAAACAGGCTGAAAATGACGATGTGAGCAGTGCGATTACTTATGAGCGCATTCGAAATGTGGAACTCCACTTTCCAAAGTATGTCAGTAAGGATGCAGCCGATCTCATCAGCAAGGTAGGTGGCTCTATGCAAGTCAATTGACTCATCTAACATGTATCATGATAGCTTCTCAAATACAACTCTGGAGACCGTTTGCCGCTAAGGAACATTATGCACCACCCTTTTATTGTCAAGAATCTACAAGAAACTTAGATGTTTATATTTGAAATAAAAAGCGTTGTGATACCAGGTTTCATTAGTCATGGAAGTGGACCAGACTAGACTACTACATGAGGCAATGACGACTGCGGTTATCTAATTCGGACGTATATCTGTACATTCTGAAGGATTTTTTTTTTTTTTTCTCTTTTTCATCAACAAACAAAACAATGGCTTCTCACCACCGTTCTGGCAGTAGACATAGAAGTCCATCCCCTGGGGGCAGTAGTAGCAAAAGACAAAGACACTCTTACAGAGACAGAAGTCGTTCTCGTGATAGACATCGTTCCTCTTCACACCGCCATCATCGCTCTTCTCGTTATGAAGATGCCCGCCATGATGATTCTCGTTATGACGACAGAGCGTACCATTCTTCTTCGTCCTCGTCTCGCCGTCATTACGATAATGTAAGTGTTAATGATAAAAGAACCTCTTCACGTGAGCCAACACCAAGAAAAGATGCTGTAGGCAACTCTTCAGCAGTGTCTGCATTAGAGACTCACACAGTAAGTGTTTCCTATTACATTTGATCATATTCAGCGTACTAAATGACATGCACAGAAGCCTACTACTACTACTGCTAGCTCGTCCCTAGACTCACCTGCTACGCCCAACTTAACATCGTCTTCCATCACTGCTACTGCAACTACCACGGATGCTGACGAGGCATTGCGAAAGAAGCAAGAGAGGGTCCGTAAATGGAAGGAGGCCAAGCGATTGAAAGAGGAGGAAGAAGCTAAAAAGAAGGCAGTATTGCAGCAAGATGAAGAAGAAAAGAAGAAACTCGCCATCGCTGCAGCACAAAAAGAAGCTGAAGAGTTGCGCCTCAAGCAAGAACAGAAGGAAGCCTTGGAGAAGCAACAACGTGAAGAAGCAGAAAAGAACCAAGCTCCCAAACAGGAACCTCAACTGCTCCAGCAATTTGCCGCCATGAGAAAAGCAGCCGCTGAAGCAGCAGCTAAGGAAGATGCTGAATCTGGTGCCAAAGAAGATGCTGACATGGAAGAGGCAGCTCAACAAGAACACGCCAACCAAGGATCAGAGGCAAACGGCAAGAAGTGGAGTTTTGATGATGATTCTGAATCAGACGATGATCATGGCATGGATGTGGATGGTGATGAAAAGAAGAAGGAAGCAGAAGCAGAGGCTGCCAAAGCTGCTGAAGAAGCTGAAAGAACCTTCAAACCACTGCAGTCCAAAACGGATGACCATAAAGACGACGACTCTATCCTGTCAAAGCCGAAAAAGACCTTCTTGATGTCCAACAAGTCCACCAAGCCTAAAAATGCTATGCGAATGGGTTTCGGTCTGGGTAAATCAATGATGACAATGAAAAAGTCTGCACCCCCTTCTGCTGCTGCTGCTACCACTGCCACACCTGCTGCAGAAGCCATGGAGACTGATAAAAAAACTGCTACACCCGAGCCTGTTGATACAGAGATGAAAGACTCTGAGGACATTGATCCATTGGAAGCCTACATGCTTGACGTCCATGCTGAAACGAGAAAAATCAATGAAGAAGATAAGAAGAGAATGGTGGAAATGAAAAACAATGCTAGCAACAAAAGAAGAGGCTCCATTGTGGAAGACGATGATGAGGATGTTCCCTCAAAAGAAGCCAATGCCGCTGATGACGAAGACATTGGAAGTGATCCTGAAGACATTTTAGCGTAAGTTGGACATACTTTCATTGACTTGAGCATAAGCTAATGCCTTATTTACACTGTAGATTGGCTGCTAAGAAGGTCAAGAGAAAGGACATTGCACCAGTGGACCACAGCAAGATGGACTATGAATTCTTCCGCAAAGATTTCTACATTGAGCCACCAGAATTGAAGGAAATGACACAGGAACAGGTGGAATTATTGCGTATCGAGTTGGATGGCATCAAGATTCGTGGTGTCCATTGTCCTAAGCCCATCACCAAATGGACTCATTGTGGCCTGCCTGCTGGCTGTCTTGAAGTCATCCGCAAACTGAAATATGAGAAGCCCACCTCGATTCAAGCACAAGCTATCCCTGCCATTATGAACGGCCGAGATGTCATTGGTGTCGCAAAGACTGGTTCTGGTAAAACCATTGCATTCCTGTTGCCCATGTTCCGTCATATCAAGGATCAACGGCCACTAGAAGCAGGTGAGGGCCCTATTGCCATCATCATGACACCAACCCGTGAATTAGCCACACAGATTCACAGAGAATGCAAACCCTTTTTGAAGATTCTCAACTTAAGAGCTGTGTGCGCCTATGGTGGTAGTCCTATCAAGGATCAAATTGCAGACCTCAAGCGTGGTTGTGAGATTATTGTGTGCACGCCTGGTCGCATGATTGATCTTCTTTGTGCTAACTCTGGCCGTGTCACCAACCTTCGTCGTGTCACTTATTTGGTCATGGATGAAGCCGATCGTATGTTTGATATGGGTTTTGAGCCTCAGGTCATGAAAATCGTCAATAACGTGCGTCCCAGTCGCCAAACGGTGCTGTTCTCTGCTACTTTCCCTCGTCAGATGGAAGCATTGGCTCGTAAAGTGCTCAAGAAACCTCTGGAAATCACTGTGGGTGGTCGCAGTGTCGTCTGTGATGATGTAAATCAAATTGTAGAAGTAAGAGAAGAGGATACCAAGTTTGTAAGACTATTGGAAATCTTGGGTGAGCTGTACAATAACTTTGGCGAAGAAGGTGCCAGTGCTCTTATTTTTGTGGATCGTCATGAAGCAGCTGATAACTTACTGAGGGACCTGATGCGCCGTGGTTATCCCTGCCAGTCTTTGCACGGTGGTAAAGATCAAGCCGACAGAGACAGCACCATTGCAGACTTCAAGTCTGGTGTCACCAATGTTCTGATCGCTACCTCTGTTGCTGCTCGTGGTTTAGATGTTAAGAACTTAAAGGTTGTGATTAACTACGAATGCCCCAACCACATGGAAGACTACGTGCATCGTGTGGGCCGTACAGGTCGCGCTGGCAACAAAGGTACCGCATACACATTCATCACACCAGATCAAGACCGTTACGCCATGGATATTTGTAAGGCATTGAGGCTTAGTGGTCAAGAAATTCCTCCAGACCTTCAAGCACTTTCTGAATCTTTCCAGAACAAGGTCAAAGAAGGCAAGGAACGTGCTTCTGGCTCTGGTTTTGGTGGTAAGGGCCTTGAGAGACTGGATAAAGATCGAGATCTTGTCAAGCGATTTCAAAAGAAGGCCTATGGCGGCAATGAAGATGAATCTGATGAGGAAGAGATTGAGCTTGAGAGTAATGTCGTTGCGCCTGGTATCACTGCTGCTGCCTCTGCTGCTGCTGCCGCCGCTAAAACCGCACTGGAAGCTGATTCCAAGAAGGATACAAATGGTAAAGAAGATGCTGGTTTGTCGGCTGCTGCTATTGCTGCTAAAAAGGCTGCTGCCATGGTTGCTGCTCGTATCAATGCTCTTGGTGGTGCTGCTGGAAGTCAAATGATCACTGAGGATGGTGAAACTCGACCTGTTTATGCTGAGGAAATTACAATCAACGATTACCCTCAAAAGGCAAGATGGAGAGTGACAAACAAGGTAAGGGAACTCATTATTATACAGTAGCTGTACACAGGAAGCTAATTGTTTTGCAAAAAAACTATAGGAACAAATCAATCAAATCACCGAAGTCTCTGGTGCAGCCATCACAACTCGTGGTTCCTTCTTTCCTCCTGGTAAACAACCCACTGGCAATGAACGTAAATTGTACTTGTTCATCGAAGGTGATTCAGAGATGGTGGTTGAAAAGGCAAAGAATGAAATCAAGCGTATTTTGGTCGAGGCAACAGCTGCACAAATGGAAGCAGAAGCAAGAGGCGGAGGGCCCGGTGGATCTGGTCGTTACCAAGTTGTTTAGATGTGTCTTTATAGTCATCACTCATAATAAATTTTAAGCTGTTGGTTTGTATCGTCTAATTTAGTTCAATCGATGCTTACTGCCATCTTGGAGCTTGAAGTAAATGTCGAGCAATTATTTTTGAATCAATGAGTTGAAGAAGGTGGAAGATGGCTCATCTTTGAAAGCTACAGAAGCACTACAGTCTATTTCGTTGAATGTAGGGGATTCTTCCTTTTGTCTCCCGTTGTTTGTCTGTCTGTAGTTGGCAAAAACTTGCAAGCTACGAAAAAATAATTGCAGTTTATTGAGTCTGCATGAGTCTATGAATACGGTATAAGTTCAACAGAATAATGTTACCTTTCAATACTTGATACCGCCTAGCATCTAGACAACTAACCCTATCAGCTATCAACAAACGTCTATGAATAGCTCTGATTTTTCATTCGTAATTTTAAAAGCTCAACTGAACGAAAAGAATAGAAAAGATACTTTATTATCTGTGATGGAGTAATGGAAAGAGATAAACCCAAGATGATTGTCCTAAGATTGAGATAATAATAATAGGCATTATTTTGCCACTACCAGCCAAAACTGATTAAACCTCCGTCAAATTTCTGATATGGATTGGTTAAATCTTGATCAATTTCGACTTGGTCCATCTATTTTGCAAGAATCGACTATATAAACTGTGATGATTATCAAATGCTGTCTTAAGCTTTCTAAAAGTACTTTTAAAGGCGCATCTAATGGTGCCATGTATAATGAGTTTTTTTTGAATAAACTTATTGAGTAATATTGCAATTTATGAAATGACGTTTTTGACCAAAATGTTGAAATTTTGGATATCAAGGTGTCACAAAAGTAGCTTCTGATGATGCCCTGGATCGATAGAAACATTTTGATTTACTACATACCATAGTAAAAGTCTTCATTTTGGAGGCTAAAAATGCGATCGTTTAATTTTCAAGAATTTTCATGAGGTACCCCTCATGGTTTTTGGTCGATTTTGGTCGATGATTTTTGGGTCTCAAAAAAAAGTTGAGCAAAGACATCAAGAAGGAAATGCCAAGCGAGAGCAATTATCTGGCACGATTCTGACAGTCCAAACGGCTTATAACACGAGAAAACGCTGCTCAAGTGTATTCAGTTTTCGCTGTGATTTGCGTATTTTTGAATAGTTGGAGGCAATGGAAGTATGCTGTCAACCTGTAGTTGATTCAAATAGTATAGCACAGTCGCCAGGTATCGATTTCGCTAGCTGCAGTATTATTTCGAGCCCCAGGCCTCACAAATTTGCGATTGTACCACAAAAGAGCTCTGTTTCATACAACTAAACCCAATTGCAAATACTGCTTGAAGAGCATGCAGATACAAATCTATGTTCGTTTGTGTATTTTTGCTATATAAATGTGTAGCTACGCAACATATATTACAAATATAATAAATTAGAGCTCGAATGGTGTAACAGATCAACACACTTTCTCAGCGTTGTGCCTGATTCTTTAGGGATAAATATTTGATAACATAAGCGTGGTTTGAGAGTCTGCGCTTTCGGCCACTGTCAACTCCCTTTTTCCAACAATATGGCTCTTGGCGACTATCCAGAAAATGTACAAACTTGAGCGGCTTAGCAAAGATCCCATCATCCGAGCATATGCCATGCTAGTCATACCATCAATTAAAGATGCGATGTTATGTACAACAACATGAAAAGCTAAAGCGAAATACATATAGTCAAGCAAGGTCATTATCATAAGAGTGCACAAAGCATCCATGCTCCAACGTGATGTTTATAGCGTAGGCAATTTGCGCATAAATTACCCTTGATTTATGGAAGACGAGCCTTTAAACAACCTTTCTGGTAAGCTTGTGATGAACACAGATCTCAGCAATGACTCCTTTGTTTAGATGTCCGAAATTACTTGTGCGCATGTTTTTAAGGGATCATCAAGCAATGGTAGTTACAGAGAGATCTAAACTGAGGAGTAGAAAACCAGATTGATTTGTAGAACAGAGAGACATGTGCAAGAGGTTGATATATCTTATCTTAAGCTAAAGTCTACCGGCCCTTCTTTTATTCATCTCTCTTTCACTTTTCTTTACTGGTTAGCATAGTATGGAGCAAGTTACCAAATTTATCCAATCTCTCGACGTGCCTCAGCGCTTCAAGCATGATAAAGCAGTGCCTATTGTCAGCATTGCCGCTGCCACTACACTCTTGTACGCATCCTATCGACTGATCTCAACTAGCAACCGCAATAGGAAGAAGAGAGAATTAGGGCTCAGGGACATTCCTGTTCCAGGATCTTGCTACCCATATGTAGGCCACATGTTTTCTTTGGGTGATTTGCCTGATAGAACTATATCTGATTGGCATCGAGAATTGGGCCCTATTATCAACGTCAAGATGGGATGTCAAGATTGGATATCGCTCAGCGATCCTATCTTGGCTCACAAAATTTTTGTGACCCATGGTGTCAATACCTCCTTGCGCGCATATAACACATACTCATATGAATATTACAGTTTCAAGGGAAAGTAAGTGCTTGCTACTTTTTTTATATACAATGCGCGTTTGCCTCTAACGTCTATTGTAGAGGTATCGCATTTTCACAGCCCACCACTAGCTGGAAGAAGGCCAGATCAGCTGCTCTCTCAGTGCTTGCACCCAAGGTGATTGAAAAGAACTATATGGATTCTATTCGCAAAGAATCATCTGATTTTGCAAACCGATTGATCAATACCACCGAGACCAAGGGCAGCGTTGATCCTTTGAAACAGCTTGAACTCTTCGCTTTGAATGTCATTTTCAATGCTGGCTTTGGGAGACGCTTTGACAGTGTGGATGATCCTGAATTTAAATCCTTGGCACATATGGTATGTATCATTCAACTGCGTTTGTAGATATGTCACTCATTGCTCTGTATAGGTTGAGTACACTATGAAACTTGCTAGTTTGGACAATGATTTGCCCAATTTTCTGCCTGCTCTCTCTATCATAGACTACTTTATCGGCACTCAAGTCAAGATGAAGAACTTTATCAACAATAAGAGAAACCCTGTTTATCGTAAACTGATCAAGGAAGCCTTCAACAAGGAAGGTCCCAATGTCATCAAATCCTTGGGAGAAAATGGATTTGTTATGGACGATGAGGAAAGGCTTGTTTTCATGTGTAAGTGCTAAAAATCTCGTCAGCATTCAACGTATTCATCTGCTTGTATTTAGCTGATTTGATTGCTGCTGGTACTGATACTATCTCTGTTACCATGTCATGGACCTATGCTATCTTGTGTCGCTACCCTGATCTTCAAAAGAGAGTGTCTGCTGAAATCGACAACTTTATCAAAACTCACGGTCGCGTTCCTGATTTCAGTGAAAGAGACGAAATCCCTCTCTGTATTTCAGTCATGAAAGAAAGCATGAGATACAGGCCCACAACTCCATTTGGTGTCTCTCATACAACTGATAAAGACAGTAAGTGGCAATAACATTGTGCCAGTATTGAATCTAAGCACTGACATTTCTTTTATTACAATACTAGTTATTGTTGATGGTTACTTGCTTCCAAAAGATTGTATTATTATTTCTACTATGGGTAGTATGCACACTAACGCTGAGCGTTATGAAAACCCATTTGAGTTCATTCCTGAAAGATTCATGGATAATCTCAAGACAATGCAGGCCTCAGCAAATGGTAGCATCGAGCAAAGAGACACATATAACTTTGGGTGGGGACGACGCATCTGTCCGGGCATTTACTTGGTAAGTCGTTGTCAAATGTCGAGTTGATGATTGAGTACTCATTGCAATATACGTAGGCTGAGGTCGAGATCTTTTATGCTTTTGTTCAGGTGTTTGCCAGATGCTTTATTGAGCCTGTTATTCCTGGAAACTATCCTGATATTGATGATGCAAAGAATGCTGGCCTTACTGTATTGCCCAAAGAGTATCAAGTCAAATTCACCAAGCGTGCAGATGCCCTCATTTAGTTTAATATAAGCCATTATCAACATCCTTCAGAATAAATGATTCACATGCTTTTGCTTGATGAGCCAATAAGAATAAGCTTTTTTTCCTATGTTAATTCAGTAGACACAAGATCTGTGATGAGCTACTGTACAACTGCTAGCAATCATTTGGTTGGGAATAAAGTATGGTTGTATCACCGTAGCAATGCAAATGAAAAAAATCAAATAATGAGCACCAGTTTTGAATTTATTATGAATTGTGATGTTTAATGCGTTTATGTGTATGACTTATTTGCTGATTCTTGTAACTGTGATTGTGTTCAATGCTTGAAAGCGAAAATGAAGGAGTAGGATACTCCTAGTTGCATCTTCCATTAACACAGCTCTCCTTACAGTCGTCTGACGAATAACAGCAAGCTGTGGCAGGTCCTTGTCCATTGTTTAAACCGGCATAGCCAGCACGGCAAGCTAAACCTGCAGGTGGGTCGTTTGGCTTACGTGGGCCATTGCACACACCGCTCTTGCAGCTTTCGACACAGTCATCCGAAGATGAACAACAGTACCCCAAATATCCGTCGCCATTGCGCTTTCCTTTGGCACCAGGGAGACAGGGGCCAAGCGTTTCAGTAGAGAGAGGAGGAGCTGAGGTCTGACTAGACAAAGCAGGACCATTGCACACACCGCTCTTGCAGCTCTCCCAACAGTCATCGGAACTCTGGCAACAATAGCCGTAATAGCCATCACCATTTCCCTTGCCTGAAGAACCGGAAATACAGGTACCAGATGCCTTGACAGGGGTAGCAGCAGCCTGAACGCTGATAGCAGCAGAAACCAAAAGAGCCAGCGAGAAAGATAACTTCATTTTTGATGAAATGCAGAGGAGTGCAAGTATGAAATGTTGATTTAATAAAGCAAAGAGGTACGAAAATGCTCGTCTTTTTATACACATGTTTTTAACTTTTTTTGTGCTATTCGGGAAAAGGTAGTTTTGATCTATAGCGTGCGTTTGCTAGAATAATTCATTTGCACCATGTCCTACTCCTCCAATGGAAAAGGATTCTAGATTTGATCTTTGTGAGGCAGTGGAAGAATGCACCGAGCCAAGGGAGATATATTCTATTTAAAGTTCTTTGGAAATGGGGCAAAAGATATTGGGCCTGAAAACTGTTACAGTTTTGAACAACAGTTTCTTACAAATTTGTTGTATAAACACCAAATCAAGTGTCATTTCAAGGCACTTGCCGTAGCATAAATGTATTTTGTGCAACATTAAAGAGAATGCCTTCTTGTTTTGTTCTGATTCTTCGTTGGAAAAGAACACCGAGATTGCATAGCCACATTTTTTTGTTTTGATTGTTGTGATAGCAGAGATGCCTTGTAGGCATATATTCGGCTCCTTATGCTGATTCACTCCTTCAAGACCAACTAAACGCAATGGCCGTACGAAGCGTGTCGAACGAATTTGGTTTTAAAAGTGAATTTTAGATGAATTCAACCGATAGGTACTTGTAGCAGATCTTTTAGCTGCATGCAAAGAAAATTAATCAGTATTTCAATGGAAAGAAGAGTGGATGTTCTATGACTTGTCCCAGGTTACTATTACAAAACAAGCAGTGTAACCAGCTTTCTTGCAAACATTGTAATTGAAGTGGCAACACAAAATACAGTTTGAAAATGAAATAGATGGCGGCCTCCCCAACCAAGGTGCTCTTCCATTATTAGATTTTTGCTTTCTGCGACGTATTGCGCGCAATAAATGTTTGTAGTCTTTGTGAATGCCTATTAGATGTAAAGTTCTTCGTTTGACTTGATGCTTCAGTACAACTCTCTTTCTCCAACTGTCTACATTTGAAACATTAGGGCCATCATTTTGTTGATCAATCCACTAGCCGATCTATCTCGCTACGCTCGATGTCGGCGTCGCCCTGCGAGCTCTCACCTAAGATATTTTAAATCAGATATTCTAACATTTTGGTATATCAATTAGGTTTTAAACAACCAACTATTAGTTAGTAAAAGAAAGGTTATACCAGAGTCAGGAGGAGGACAGGAAGTATCTCCCTCAGCATCCTTTTTGCTTACACTGATATCAAACAAAGTCTATTATTGAGGCGATATGAAAGAAAATACAGGTTTTATGCAGCATTTGTACATCACAATCGCCATTTTCTGATAATAGAATTGTCATATTATTCACTGCTGCTGATGCTCTTAATAAGATGGCGACATAAAGCTGGTCATAAGTAAATACAGGACTTGTAAAAGATCTACAGCGATTTTTCTGGGATATCGTCACTGCAAAAGACATCTTTATGAGGCAACTCTCCCCCAAAAAAGTATTTGCGCTAAGCGATTGCCTTTTCAATTCCATGATCCCCATTCAATCAGCATCGCAATCATCGTTGTCATCATCAGAAAGGCATTTAGGTCAGCCAGCAGCAATGCCACCCGCTGCTAAAATCAATTGAAACTCAGCTTATTTTTTCTGTTCAAGATTGGACAGATATTGCCTTTTTTCGACTTCTTAAATCTATTCTATATCTTTGTCCCTGAGGCGATTCTGGTACATATCCACTCCACTGTCCGACAGACAGTGGATGAAGATCAAATCCATTCCCTCTTGTAATTTAGATAGTTAGATAGTTCCTTTTGTTAGTTTAGTTTAGTTTCCATTTATATTTATATTTTTTTCATTTCTCAATTGCACCCGCCTCTTCACTCTGACCTATTACTCTTAGTGTACGCGGCTCAATCAATAAACACAATTTAAAAAAAAAAAAAAATCTATTCTATGATATCCGACTATATAAATTGTGAAGATCACCCTACGTTTCCTAATGCATTCTTGAAGTACTTTTCAAGGCGCTTCCAATGGTGCTAACTGTAATAAGTGTTTTGACTGAAATCATTGAGCAATTTAATAAAATTTAAAATCAGGTTTTCAGCGAAAATAGCTATATGTTGCATATGAAAACCTCATAAAAGTGGTTTTAGAGGCTGCTTTGGATCGAGAGAAACATTTTGATTTGATATATACCATAGTAAAAGTCTTCATTTTCAAGGTGAAAAATGCGATCGTTTGATTTTCAATGAAAACCATGAGGTACCCCTCATGATTTTTGGTCGATTTTTGGCCATGTTTTTTAGGTCTTCAAAAAGTTGAGCAAAGGTGTCAGGAAGTTACTACTACTCAAGTACAATTGTTTGGCGTCATTCCGGTGGCTCATAATTGCCAACATGTCAAGATATGAAGGCTTGAAAGCTGTCAAATTTGGTTATGTATTGCTTTATAGAGTCTATTTATACGGCATAAATCACAACTTTGGTAGCTGCAATTTACTGGAAGGGCTGTTCTGCAGCCTGTGAAACTTCTAATCCAAATAGGAGGTATATTAGTTTTGGTAAAGCTAATTCATGCAAATTTTGATGCGTTTTGTTGTTGGTAAACTTGATAATAATGGAAATAAGAAATCGAATTTGCTGCTTGAATACTATGGTTTTGTACCTTTGCTTCGCTACGGTAAACCCCCCCATAAATCAATGCTATCAAGTGTTGAATTAGACGCGCTATGCTCTTTATTTTGAATGTTTTACAGTATATATATTAGATATGAGCTTACTCATAAAGTCGAGCTGATTCAAAAGGAGCTGTAAGCTTTGCAAAACTCTATTCCAAGAGATCTTCATGTAGAAGGTTCTTGCACTATTGCACCTGTTACCAGAAGTTACCAAAACATTAGGAGCAATTATATACCTCTATTGGTATTACATTGGAGTCGTAACAAATACGAGCAATCGGCAGGCGGTAACAGGATCAGTATACATCAATATCATCGAAGGATCCATTGCATCTTCGTTCCATACATATATTACTAGTTCAGATTTCGTAATATTTCATCATGGTACACGTATAGCCAATTGAATCAAGAGGTGATGGCATTTGCCCATTGTAAAATTACCGTTATAGATGAAGTGAGCTACCAAAAGTGAACAGTCTGCGTTGATGTCAGTGGCATTAAAAGCTCATTCTACATACATGCCGAATTTAAGGATATTAGGCATAGCCTCTAAATGTGTTGTCCTGGGTATGGTACTGCCATGCAGTGCAATCTTGGTCTTGAAACTTATGTTAAATGCCTTAATCAGGACCCAGTGTGAGTTTAGAGTCGATTTTTGAAAGAGCAGTATAACTTGTGAGGTAGAAACCAAAATTTTAGAGAAATACATAGAGTAAAAGGCAATATCTGTGATGCAATTAAGCATTTATAAATCTAAAGACAAGAAAGCAAAAAGAATATTTTTACTTATACTCACTTCAGCTTGTAGTATCAGCATGCTTAGGATGCTATTATTCGAGCGGTACCAATCGATTGTTTGATGCCACGGATAACTTGAATTAGATCTAATTGATAGGAAATGTTATAAGCGCTGATATGAAATCTGGTCCTGTTTCCTTACGGGGCCTGCAAATGAAAAGCCAATGATAAAATTACATAATCACGTCAATGGCCCTGACCTCCGATGCCCATGAATTTTGTAGATTCCTGGTTGCCAGCCATTTTAACATTGATGGAAGAGATTGAACCGTGTATTTGCAGCACCTCTGTCATGCTGACAGCTCGTAACTATGCTAAACAGTGCATGGTATATAGGAAACCAATGTTAATACATGTGTCTGGGGTCAAAATCATCAGATATGGAGTAACTGCTCTATCATAGAAGGATCGAGAGTGAGCATGTTTCTATGATTGCTTACCAAGCAGTCTGGTGTGTCTGACTTTTCAGCAGTGATTTGATATATGCTACACTTCTGGAAATCACCAAGCATACCATAAATAAGGATACTACTCCCAATGCTGTTGCACAATGCTGTGAAAAGATGACGTTGTACTCTGAACGGGATGAACCTGATGTCTGTTGGTTCAAGCCAAATTGAATCCCCCACCTTTTTCTGTTCCTACTCCTCCCTTTATTTTTTTTTCTCACAAACGATCTTTTTGTTTGCCTCGATACCTAATTGCTGTGCATATTCAGACTGACCTTGCTTCTATCGGATTCAGTATCTATTCATTGCATTTGGCACTTTTTCCTCTCCATCTGATATTGCGCACATCAAATCAAGAGGGATTCATACATTGAAAAAAAGGGGCAAACATTATACACCAGCAATTCAACATCTACACACCTTCCATCACAAGTGTTCATTATTTAAACAACATATAACAAAGTATTGCTATGGGCTCAGCAGCCGTCAACTGGTGGAAAGAATTCGCGTAAGATTAGATGGTTGCCATCACTACAGAGTCCGTGATTACTAAACAGTATACTAGTCAAAGTCATGAAAATTTAAAACACTCAATCGCAGGCGCAGGCGCAGGCATCGTTTCATCTATTGTAACTTGCCCTTTGGATGTAGCAAAGACGAGACTGCAAAATCAAGGCGTTGCAAAGCCCGGAGAGAAACTATACAAAGGCACTGTAGGCACCTTGTCTCGCATTTGGCAGGAAGAAGGTATTCGCGGATTATACAGAGGTTTAGGTCCAACAGTCTTGGGCTATTTGCCAACCTGGGCTATCTATTTCACAGCATATGATTACTGCAAGAGTCATTGGGCCGATGAATTAGGTATGTCTGTGTGTTCTGTGAGTATTTGCATGTGCTGATTATAAATGATAGGACATGATAAGGAGTGGCTATTGCACATTAGTTCGGCAATGTCCGCTGGTGCTGCTTCGACCATGCTAACAAACCCTCTGTGGGTCATAAAAACTAGATTAATGGTAATATAGAACGAGAGAAACAGTGATAGCATACGGTTTGCTGATGGGACATGGCTTGTGTAGACACAAAATGAAAGAACACCATATAGATATAACAACACATTACATGCTGTCTTCACCATTGCCAGAGAGGAGGGATTTAGAGGATTTTACAAAGGATTGGGCCCATCTCTGATCGGCATTAGTCATGTAGCTGTACAATTTCCATTATATGAAAAACTAAAAGTAGCATTCCGTAAGTATATCAGTGATATGCGTGGGGATGTCGACTGATTTTTTTTTTTTTTTTTTTTGCCCTGATGCTAGATGTGGATAGAGAGGCTGTATCCGGATCATCTTCGATTTTATTAGCGTCAGCACTGTCCAAGATGGCAGCCAGTTTAGCCACATACCCGCACGAAGTAATTCGCACTCGCTTACAAAACCAAACCAGAAAACCATACAAGTACAAGGGGATATTACATGCGATCGAGGTCATGTCCAAAGAAGAAGGCATTCGTGGATTTTACAAAGGCTTACCAACAAACCTAGTTCGAACTGTACCTTCATCTGCAATGACAATTCTTACCTACGAAATGGTGGTAAAGAAACTAGACGATTGGAAGAACCTTTAATAGAGAAGCAAGCGCTTCATCACGCACAAGTACACTCAAATTGTCCCTCTTTGTATATAATACCCTTTTCGACTTTTCCTACCTTCCCATCAAAACGTCAAGAAAAAGTACACCATAAAATATATATATATATATATATATATATATTTATTTATTTATTTATACGTTTCATAAATGCATAGTAAATTTGCTAATTATCGCCATGAGCTCCTCGAAAGCAGACGTCAGGTTGTGAATGATGTTTGCAGGTAGTCACTTTCTGATCATTGCGAGCCTTGGTATCTAGTATTGATCTGCAGCGACGTGGCCAGATTCTGTCCCAATGATGGCAATCAGCCATCTCGCCAGACATGGATCTCTCGCAAGACCTTGCTCATGACGAGCTGACCGCATTGCAAACTTGGCTTGATGTATCCTCCTAATGCCAGGTTTTCGATTTTGCAATAATACGAGGGCTATTCTCGGCTCGAATTTCATGCAGCATCTCTCTTGATGCCACATCAAAACAAGCCAATTACAAATTACGTCACGAGAGGCTCTATCACATGCAGATTTCATCCAAAGCAAGTCCTTTTTGTGATTTAGAATGGAAAATACGACAAGAGAACCCAAGCGTTTCTTTCACACATGTCTCGATCAACATCAGCCTCTGATAGCAGCTACAGCAGCAGCAACAAAAACACATTGAGTTTCTCATCACCGTACAAAGTTCAAACATTGGACCAGATACCGACGCCATTGCTGAAATTGCTGGTCGTTCTCGGCCCCACATTACAAAGCACTGCGAAATTTGTCGACATCCTCATGTGGCGAACAAAGCAGCCTCGACAGTCTGTACTGCTGGTGTTGTTATGGATATGCTTGTGCTTATGGACCTGGCAATGTCTGGCATTTGGATTACCTACTCTTGTTGTGTATAAATTATCCCGCGATTGGTTGTTTGTCAAGACGAGCAAGAGCCGCAGAGAAGCCATGGAGAAGAAGCGTCAAGAGCAGCGACTAAAGCGTGAAGCCCAGCTGGAAGAGGACTACAGCGATGATGAGAGAATCACTCAGCTTCGATTGCAACAGCAAAAGGAGGAGGAAGATGAATTGATCAGCCGTAAAATTCGACCTGATGGAGAGGTATCGCTGGACGATACGCTGGAGGATTTAGCCATTGTCAACACTTTTATCGATCACGTTCGTTTGCAGATCAAGAGAATGTTGATACATGTAGATGGAACTCGTGCAGACACTGCTATTAGCTGCCTCAGCGTGTTGCTGTATACCTGGCCTTTGTGGATCTTGATTTGCTGGATTGCTGGAGCTCATTTAGTGATGGCTGTCGCTGGTGCGTTGTTACTTGTAAGCCCCTCGCCTTGGTTCCACATTATTGTCATGTCATTACGTAACAATATCGTATTGAAGCATGCACTGGCCGCCGCGTGGGCTTATGGCGTTGCATTTATTACGACATCATTAGCTAGTTGTACCTTCAAGAAAAAGGCGTCGATTCAAAGAAAAAGGGAAAACAAGAAGGCTAAAGTCAAAGGCTGGATTTCATCCATATTGACCAGGGCCAAATCAGAGAAATCAAAAGCATTGGGTGTCATTGAAAGCAAGGAAAAGATAGAAGATGGAAACAAGGGCACTCGCAGTGAGATGATATTCCAATTCGAGGTGTATGAGAATCAGAGATGGTGGCTAGGTGTGAATTGGACAACCAACATGATGCCCAGCGAAAGAGGGCCATGGACAGATAATCAGCTGAAGGCCATCCCTCCCAAAGAAGAATTTGAGTTGCCAGAGCCTACGCTTCAGACAGCCATCATCAACAAGGACGGCAAGCAAGTTGAGCGCACTACCAACAAAGTCTGGAGCTGGGCTGACGGAGACTGGTGGGTGGATATGACCGGTGAGATCGACGGCAAAGTGGATCACAATGGCTGGGAATACGGCAACAATGCATGGAAGCAATTGAATGGAACACCTGGTATGCAGACATTCACAAGAAGACGTCGTTGGTGTCGTAGAGCTAGACTGGTTGAGCGTGAAACTGATCAAGAATTACCAAACAGTACAAATAGCAATAAAAAGACGGTTTAGCATGAAACATCTTTTCTCTCCCTTTTTTTCACATACAAATAAATAAACACTTACCTCTTATAATATGAACTACATCAAAAAGAAGATAGCTGTTGGACTACATGTGCCTCGACTCGCTGAAAAGGCCAGAGAAAAGGGCATCGAGCAATTGAGTATCCTAGAAAAGAAGCATCCTTACTTTGATCAGACCTTACCACCAAGGAGAATGACTGAAAATCAGCGCAAGAAGCTCCTGAAGAAGATCAGTAGAATAGCAAACAGTCTAGACAATGCAATTCCATACTCGCCTATACCTATTGGCATTGATACGATCTTGGTAAATATTTCCAAATGTTGATCATGTTGATCTCCGTTAGTTGATTCGATTACGTAGGGTTTCATTCCTATCATTGGAGGTGTATTAGGGTGGTTTTTGTCCTTGTACCAGAGTAAGTAGGCTCGTACTGGCATTTGTCCACAGGTACTAACCCTCCTTCAAGTCTACCTGTCCACTACATTTGGCATACCTCTCTGGCTTATGATGCGCATGATGTATAACATTACGGTCGATTTCATGTTCACATTTATACCTGTACTAGGCGGATTTCTGCACATGTTCTACAAGGCCAATCTTTACAATTACGAGGAAATGTGTAACTGGTATGACAATCCCAGCGACGAGTACAGCCAACGTGTCAAAGCAGGTGAGCGTAGACCAAGTGCAGCTGGACCACCGCCAGGCGAAATTACCTGGACCCAATTAGGAAAGGATCTCGCTCACTTGGTCACTCAAAGTATAAATACCACAAGAAAAAGTGTGATTGAACAAAGAAACAACAGCAAGAAGAAGCCTGAATAAATTTAATTTCAAATTTTTTTATTACTGTTGATTGCTGGTATAAGAAGGGGGGGAAAAAAGATAAAGGATGGGTAAGGATGTGTATGTACATTGGAAGCGATAATATGAAGGAGGATTACGGGAGAATGAGAGACAGACTGGAAGATAGATAATTACATTCTCAATAGATCCTCCAATTCATCTTCATCAGAAACGAGCTCAATCAGCATGTTCATTAGAATAGCAAAATCGCCATCAGCTCGCCTCCAGATGTGATTTCTTACTTTTTGCAATCGAATTTGAGCAGGCTTTTCTACATGTTTCAAGACAATCTCCTCTTTTGCTTCAATGATCAGCTTTTGTAAATGAATAGGCAGTGCGTAGATATCATCATTTGCTACCGTTAAATAGGCACTCATGTCAGGCGCAGTCATCAGATTGAGTAGGTAGTTATAACGATAGGGCTCTTCCTTTGGCTGATTTACGATGGTATTTATAAAAAGCGGGCTAGTCATACTGGAGTCTTCGCCAAATGTGTAGTGTGTGATTTCATCGTGGTGGCAATAACCGCAGGAAGCACTATAAGGATGGCTTGTGTCTGAAGAGTGATGGTATTCCATCATGATTCAAGAGTGATGAAAGTGGAAAAAAAAATAAAGAGAGATGAGGAAGGGAGGGGTCAAGAAAAATTTTCGTTTCTTTTTATACCTTCTTCCTTCATACTGAAGCTATTTGAATGATTGGGTCCCTTTTTTCCCCGCATTAGGGTTGGTTGGTCCTCCTCCTTGGATTTCCATATTACCCCTCCTTTTTCGTAGCGTCAATACGGCGCTAAATTCATTTATGGAGAGTCGGTGGTGTCGCAGCCCAACGTGTGAAGATTGCACTGGAGTCACACTGATGGCAAGCAGTACGACAAAATGTGCGTTTGCATTAACAAAACAAACCGAAAACAAAAAAAAAAGTACGTGGAATCCAAACAAACCTCATGGAGGTAAAATGATTTTGTGCTACAAACAGTTTTTAACTGTATACCGTGAGAGCTTCAACTACCGAATTAGTATCGTTTAGCATGCAACGACAGAAAATTTGACATGCCAAATCATGGAGGGGATACCATGTAGCTTGATGAAAAGTAGCATGACCCAGTCAAGACATTTTAGTAAGCTGCTAGGATTAAACTCGCTTCTTTAGATCCCTAATGAAAAATGTGGGATGATTCCATTATAATCCTAAGAGTACGTCAAATGACAGGGTATAGCTTAATGCCCAAATTACAAGATATACTGTTCAGTAAGTGCAACGCCAAAGGGCGGGTTTTTAAACAAAAAGGCGATTCTAAAAATTCTGAATTGGCGGTTTTAGTTTTTCCAAAAGGGCGGTATTAATTTTTCAAAAGGGCAAGGCACATAATGGCTTAAAGAAAAACAAGGTGAAAGTGTCTGTCTACCTTTGTCCATTTTAAAACAAGAAAACTAAGACCTTTATACAGCCTATAAAACGCGAAAAATAATGACATAGATAACTTATTTATTACATCACTTTTTTTTTTGTTGCTTTATCTCTCAAATATTGAAGGTAATGGTATAAATACATACAGTGGAGTGGGACTTTCCATCTTGCTAGGTAATAGTTATGGCCGTGTATCATAGATCACTCTTCAGGAAGGCATGGTAGTGTGAAGGTCTCACTCGTGGAGCGTAATTGCTTGGAGGTAGAGTACCGAATGCCTACTTTACTACTCTATTTATAATATGAATTGAACTGTGCCAACACATTCTTTTTTCATATGTATATCATGACGTTATTGTATCTGATTGAGACGTAATCATTGAAGAAACGTCAATGGATAAGCATTATATATATTCACAATTGGTTTTTCGGTACATAGTGTCTGGTCATCTGTAAGCGAATGAACTTTTAGAAATGCCTGTCTCCAAGGTGTTTAGTTATAGTGTCCCGATTTGCTGGTATGGGTCTTGGCTGCTGTACTTTTGCTGAATTCGGCTAAATGTTTTTTGAGTTAGATAGGTATACATACATAATTAAAACACAAAGAAAACAAAGTTTAACGCCACTGACGACTTGAATAGTTGAGGCATCAAACGAGATAACAACCATAATAAGCTATATGCCAATTTGTTCTTGGCCTTTGATTAGCGCAAATCGAGAGGCTCAAAAGCGCGAGTTGGGATACAGTATTTAAACTTGAGTCTAGTTTTAGGTTAAAAACCTGTAAAACAAAGGGCGGTATTATTCTTTTTTTTTTTTTTTTTTTTTTACTAAAGTTAAATGAATACATGTTTTTTTTATGATGGGCAGGGGAAAATTCGTGACGAAGAAGGGCGGAATGCAATGGAATGGGTAGAAGAAATAAACCCTTTCCATTTAGAAACATTAACCTTGCAGTGAAAGCAGGTTAATGGATTTCACAAAAAATATAAAGCAATCTTCACTACATATACTGGAAGCCATGTTTTTAAAAAATAGACAAGCCAACCACATCTTTTCAAATATAATTCTAAAAAATTGAGAGCTGGACAAAGGTGAGCAAAACCGCCAGAGAAGCCGACAATGGCGAGGGGTGTTTACCATAGCGAAGCAAAGGTGCAAAACTTATGGCAACTAAGCATCTAATCCAACACTTGGTAGCATTGATCTCTATGAGGGTTTGATCGCAGCAAAGCGAAGGTGCAAAACTATAGTATTCAAGCAGCAAATTCGTTTTCTTATTTCCATTATTATCAAGCTTACCAACTACAAAACGCATCAAAATTTGCATGGATTAGCTTTACCAAAACTAATATACCTCCTATTTGGATTAGAAGTTGCACAGACGATAGAACTGCCCTTCTAGAAGATTTCAGCTATCAAGGATGTGATTCATGCCGTGTAAATAAACTCTATAAAGCAATACATAACCAAACTTGACAGCTTTCAAGCCTTCATATCTTGACATGTAGATCTTTCAGAGCCACCGGAATAACACGAAACAATTGTACTTGGGTATTAGTAACTTTATGGCACCTTTACTCAACTTTTTGGACCAAAAAAAAAACATGGCTAAAAATCGACCAAAAACCGTGAGAGGTACCTCATGGTTTTCATTGAAAATCAAACGATCGCATTTTTCATCTTGAAAATAAAGACGTTTACTATGGTATATATCAAATCAAAATGTTTCTCTCGATCCAAAGCAGCCTCTAAAACCACTTTTATGAGGTTTTCATATGCAAAATATGGCTATTTTCGCTAAAAACCTCATTTCATATTTTATTAAATTGCTCAATAATTTCATTTAAAACATCTATTGCAATTAGCATCATTGGAAGCGCCTTGAAAAGTACCTCAAGAATGTATTAGGAAGCGTAGGGTGATCATAACAGTTTATATAGTCGAATATCAAAGAATAGATTTAAGAAGTCGCAAAAAGACAATATCTGTCCAATCTTGAACAGAAAAAGCAAACTGAGTTTCAATTGATTTTAGCAGCGGGTGGCATTGCTGCTGGCTGACCTAAATGTCTTTCTGTTGATGGCAATGATAATTGCGATGCTGGTTAAATGGGGATCGTGAATTTGAAAGAACAATTGATTAGCTTGAATCCTTTTTTATTTGGCTTTATTAGGAGTTTTTCCCTATATAGGTGTCTTTTGCAATGACAATATCTCAAAATGTCGCTGTAGATCTCATAAAAGTCCTGTGTTTACGCAAGGCCAGCTCTGTGTCGCCATCTCAAGAGCAGCATCCGCGAATGGTATCACAATTCTGCCCCCAGAAAATACGACTCGGACGGAGGATGTTGTGAACCAGAAGTCTTATAATAATATAACGTAAATGCTGCATAAAAAATATTGATCTGTACATTTATATAGTAATCCAAAAAGTTTTATTAGTAGCATCTGCTCCAAACACACCATTTTCTAAAATCACCAATTCCTCAGCAACCATGCTACGCAAATTTGGCTTGCACCATCGTCATCTTGGCAAGAGAACCCAAAGAGAATTGGAGGTAGAAATTTGTTACCACCAATAAAAGTGCTACCTTTGTTTATCGCTGATGTGTCTGAAAATAATGGGGTAAATTATTGCATACAAGTATGCATCTTTGGCTGCGTTTACTTTCTGCTGAAGCCACTTCACAGTCTAAAAACATAGACGATGCTTATTATAATATTACATCGTATCTATATTTACAAGTCTAGTCAAATGTGTATGTACGGATGCCTCAGGAACTACAGTAGATTCAATCTCCCCAATGTCAAGATGTCAAGATCCACTTACACGACTTGGAACATGTCGACTTAGGTCGTCTCTCAACAAGCTATACCAAGAATCACTAAGGCCCCAGTGGCCTGCTATTTACATACCACCAGCTCAACGTAGTAGCCATTGACCAGGGATCTGTCGTATTAAAGCTAGTGAGATGCCCTATAATAAAGAAGCTCTTTGCTTTCGTTTTAGATACAGTTGACAACTGATTATCATCATTGACTTTACTTTTACGAGTTCATTGCTTCTGTCAATTCTACTATATAGAATATTCTATTATTCTGGATCCTCACAGTTGTTTGCTCCTGACTGGTGGCCCATGAGCTTTTACGCAGTACATCTTTGTTAACTGGTTCAAGGCTTATACAGTTATTCCGTATTCAAGATCATATATCAAGTACCTACTGCTGCATCACTGTCAAATAACGATAAATACCTTCGAAATTTACATTAGTTTTAGACCTCATTCAATCTCGGAATAACACAATAAATATATTTAGTTCTAACTGTATTTTCTCTGTCTATATTTCGTTATCCTAAACACTGGCATCTACCAAACAGTTTTATGTGAGTGATGCCTTTTAAATTTATTATGTGGGGGATGCAGTAAAAAGGGGTTAAAAAAGCAGGTAGAATACTGTTAAAATCCTTCTTTATTTGAAATTAGGATAATATGCAATAAAATGTATATTCTACGTCTCTATTTATATTATTTGGTTTATATCTCTTATCTGGCAGCAGTTTAGTAGTTGCCAGTAATCCCATTACTTTATATATTTTTGTTGGGTCATTTAGTTGTTGATCTGATCGATCAAGAACGGTATTTCAATACATGGTTTTTGAATCATGCGTAAAGAATAGCTCTTTATTGTTGAGCCTGCATCCTTTTAGGTATATTTACGTTACAACACATTACAATGCCCTTGACATTTACTTTAGTATCTGTCATCTCTTATTTTAGAGCATTTTACCCTTGCTATCATCATGCTAATACTATTATTATGCATGCTTATCTGCTGATGGTAGCATGGTTTAATTGAGATGACATTTATTTTGGGCTTTGTTTATGATGGGAATCTAGTCTAGTTCACTTCAGGGGAATCATATTATAATAAATGCTCAGTCCCTAGACACTTTTACAGCCCTAATACGGAAACTGAGTTTCCAGGCACTTGCCAGGCCTGGCTCTTATATGAATAATGGTTTTACAATCAATCAACAAAAAGCACTGTTATTTCCACCCTCTTTCCTCTGCTCAATGCTGTCAACGCTTTCTTTGAACGACGACCTAAAGCCTCAGAGATTTCACTGTTTACTTCAGACATTTTATGCAGCCCATGAATCGTCAATGTCCAGACTAACGTTATTGAATATAGAATGCTAGAAAATAGTATAATAAACGATAGTGATATGAATTGCCACATACTTTCCATACGCTTCAAAAGCATCTATTACTGCATTGCCTCCGTGATGAAAAGGGCATTCAGTTTTCCAGGTAGCCCCCCACAAGCCAAAATTAATTCAAACCCAAACTCATAGTCTGTTCTAGAGTGGCCAATTTTTAATGGTTTTCGACTCGATTGATTTATCTTTGCAGATTCGACTAAGTAAAATATGATTATCATCCTATGGTTCTTTAAGCTTTCTTGGAGTGCTTTTCAAGGCGCATTCAATGGTATCAAGTAAAATAGATGTTTTGAATAAACTTATTGAGCAATTTATGAAAATATGAAAAGAGGTTTCTGGCCAAAAAGTCGAGATTTTACATATCAAGGTCCCACAAAAATGATTTCAGAGGCTACGTTAGATCGATAGGAACATCTTGATTCCATACATACCATAGTAAAAGTCTTCATTTTCAAGGTCAAAAACGCGATCGTTTGATTTTCGATGAAAACCATGAGGGGTACTTCATGCTTTCTGGTCGAATTTTGGCCATGTTTTTTTGGTCCTCAAAAAGTTGAGCAAAGGTGCCAGAAAATAACTCCTAGATGAGAGCAATTGTTTATTGCTATTTTGATGTTCTAAAACGGCCTTTAATGCGAGAAAACACAGCTCAAATGCGCCTGGATCTTGCTGTATTAGGCACACTCTTGACTAAAAAGGGATAATATCTGTATGATACTTGCCCGTATATGAAATAGCTACGTGTATATGGATGTAGAGCATCACATAAGAATTAGATCCACAGATAATATGAAGGGTTTTTATGTGTTAGTGGAAGGTCAAAATGAAAGCAGCAGTATTTTGATAAGATACGCAAGAGCAATCGGTATCACGAGCTGCCGCTGCGCAGGTTGGTTTTCACTGAAGCGAAGCGAAGGTAGAGAACCATCCGAAGCATAAACACTCATATGATTAGTGATTTCATATCAATCAACAATCAGGGTTCTTCTAATAATATTCTAATATTAATTTTTTGCAATATTAGCCAAAGGCCCACGGCAACGTGAGCCACCTGAACGTAGGTTAATTTCTACCAAAGCAAAGTGTAGGTCAGGAAACCACCCGAAGTGCCGAAAGGTTCGTTCTAGATAACGGTACTACTACCAGCCTTTCAATAAAAAACATCACACCTCAAGCTGTCAAAGCTATATTAATCATGCTATATCGGTAGCTCATCCATGCCCCGCATGGTTACTTAAATAAACTCTTATGGCTAGTGCTGTTGCAGTGGTTTCCAGTTTAAATCAGAACATCAGTAACATTTGCTAGATATTTCAGTAGCAGTTGATGCTAAAAGCTGAATTCAAATGTATAGATACTTTTGTTCATTTACTTGAACTCAAGATCTTGAGATTAACGTTGATTGCTATTGTATTTTCTATTTCGCTTTTAAAATCATTTAACCGCAATTTTATTGCTGTTTGATGAAGAACTTCTATGAATATGAAACATTATTTCGAGATAATGCTACGTGTTTGATGATAATAACGGCTTGTGGAATACACTTACTATGATCTATGCCCCTGTGGCTACTCCTTCATCATTTGAGATGTCATACAATACATACTTTTACCAAAAAAAAATGAATATTACATATCTATATAACAAATTGCATGTGAATTTCTGCAGTGTACGACCGACAATACGAGACATCTGCTTGCATTTATGGTATTAGCCTAAATGCATTGTGTGCTACAGGCTTGTGCCTTATATGACATGTTATAGACATAAAAATAACCATGCTGCAAGCATTCAAATATCCAGATTGGCGATTAGAATGAGCAATACTCCATGGCATTATATTCAGGCATGCATCATTAAAATAGGCGAGGCAGACTCTGTCTATGCAATGCATGTTAATATGTCTGTAGTTATAACCGCTATTAAAATCACTAACAAAGTCTTTTAATAGACCTGGTAAATTATCATGATGTCCCATATTCCGGGTATTTAACACTGTTTGTGAATAGTACAGTAGATTCATCGCGTATGCTTTGGCGTAATATACTACCGTTGACAATGAGCGGTGATGTATGTAATTGTGGTCTAGGCAGTATCTTGAAGGCTGACAAAACAGTAAGAACTGAACAAATTGGGCCCCCTTTCAGGACCATATGAGCCCATAAAACAGCCTCTTCGAGTATTCCTTCAGAGAACATTCCGCGAATTTAACGGTGGCACAGAAAGCATGCATTTGCTCTCAGTATGTCTTCCAAGTTGCAAGTTGGGTATTATCCTTTGAGACCCTGTTATTCTGCTACTAACACAAGTATCTGACAAATACAGATGCATGGTTTATTTTAAGGTATACAATTTTGTGGGCGGAAAGACATTCTTTTGGCTCATATGACAATCTTTTTGCACCGAACATCTTTTGTCCTCAGCAAATCATTCGATATTTTGATAGTGAATGAGTTTGCTTTGGATCAGCTTCACAATCAATGCTATACTCTTTGAGATAACGTGTTAAAACTAATGTGATTTCTTTGTACGTTATTCACGTTTTGCAGAGTTCAATGTTCCCTAGTAAATACATTATATGATTGCTTGAACGCTTTGGTGTGAATCAAGTTTCATGCAAGGAGATGATAGAGATCAGAGCTATTTTTGTGCTACTATGAGCATATCATCAAAAATCCCACACTGCAATGTTTTCCTTGACCCTTGAAATTGCTCAGGGAATTTTGTAACACCTTGTTTGCGCGGAGGAACCCTTATGAAACAGGAAAACGTATTGCCTTTTACGTAGATGTAAGAAAGGGAGTACCCATCAACCTTACCTAAGTTTGGTAGATCGAGAATATGAGGAAAACAAGAACGTGCATTAAATAATATATTCCCATTCAACTATATTATGTAACGACGTCTTGATTATGTATTTATCTGATAAAAGACATGAGCTTCCTTGAATTTGACAGATAAACAACATGCATGACCAATGTGATGTGCATATCTGTCATTGCCATTTTAAAGCATTTCGCTTCCAAAAGATGCTGTAGACAAGTTGATAGTGCTGTTGCTTATAAAGATGATCGAAAAAAGGGTTCTAAGGGTGTAAAATGACCGCGTTGAGATCAAACACTGATCATCCTCGGATGTACATGCGTATCTACCAAAGCATTACATTACACAACAACTGTTGAAAAAGGAAGACGAGAGCATGTCTAGGAGCAAAAGATTGGTTTCCCATTATTTCACTTTTAATATGAGTACAAAAACCTCATTAAATGGCTGTACCACATATTACAATGATGTTGTATTGAGAAATGTATGCAAAATCAGAAAAGCGAGAGCAATTGCATGCAAATGCATAATCGAATGATTATTTGGTTGATGCAGTATTATCTCGACTTGACACCGAGTCCATTGCAGTAAATATAGCATCTTCACTATCGGAATTTCGAGTGGTTGCAAGCGATGCCCTATATAGAGTTCATGAGAAAAAACTCGAATCGAATATAGGCGGATAAATGTTGTTTGGGGTTTAGTCATAACTATCTCAGGTACAATTTGCATTTCGAAATGGTAGCAATAAGCATTTCTACCCCAGCTATTCTCGGTTTCTCACTTTCCATTACGCATTTTGTTTATCACTGAACATGTCTGAATCCGTTACTCTGGTAGGTGCCCCATTCTCCACCTTTACTCGTACCATGCGTATGGCCATGCATTATCTGAACGTAGAGTACACATTGCTGGAGACTACACCTCACACTAAGATTGCCTACAAGTACAATCCTTTTGGACGTATCCCATCTTTGATACATAAGGATCTAGTAGTCTTTGAAACACCTGCTATTCGCGATTACATTGACACCACTATCAACAACGCCCTCACTCCTCAAGACTTGAACACAAGACTCAAGATGGACCAACTCATCAGCGTATTGTGCGATTACATTTTCCATCACATTGTGTTTGGTGTCGCTAAACCCCGTATGAGTTACGAAGCCCAAGGAAAGTCTGAGTCCGAGATCACTGAGCTCTTAAAGAAGCCGCTAAAGCAAGCAGGCAAGATCATTGGCGCAGTGGATGGTATGGTGGATGAAAATGGACCCTTTTTGTGTGGCCAAAACATAACCTGGGCCGACTATTTTGTCTATCCTGCCATTGCCGATTTATTCTCGATCCCTGAAAAGGCCTTTCTTCAAGAGAGAGCACCAAGATTGACTAAATGGTACAAGCAATTCAAAGAACGTGAAGAGGTTGTTCACACCTACCCTGATACTGTTGCTGATCAAAGAAAGAAATCAAATTTGTAAAACCCTGAATTCATTGAATCTGTGAGACAGTACTAAATTATCAAATGATAAGGGTCAAATTATATAATAAACCTTATCATTTGTGTTTGTGTATGTGTGTTTGTGTCGTGTGTGTGTGTGAGGAGAGCTTAAGACATTCCTGGATAATATGATTTTGTAACCTTGAATTTCGATATAAATACAACACTCATTCAGCTCTTTCTCCCTTTTTTTTTATTCTCTCCCTATCCAAAACAAACTTACTTTCCTTTTTCCTATCCAAATCATGAAATTGTTGTCAGTCATTGCTGCCTGTGCTTTGGTTTCCGCTGGTGTTGAAGCCAAGACCTTCCTCTTCCCTATTCCTCAAGATGTTGCCTGGGCTGGTACCTCTACAACTCTCTCTAACAACTTCAAGATCTCTGGGGCTCAACACACTCACGTTAAGAGCGCTGCTAAACGCTACTTGTCATTGGTCAAGAGCGAGAAGTGGGTTCCAGTCCAAGTTGCCACTGACAAAACAAACGTCAAGCCTGTCAAGGGTCAATTGAAGGGCCTCAACATCAAGGTCAAGGACAACAAGGCTAAGCTCGACATCGATGTAGATGAATCCTACCAGTTGGACGTCCCCTCTCAAGGCGGTTATGCTACTCTTACTGCCAACACTTGGGTCGGTGCTCTCCGTGCATTGGAGACCTTCTCTCAATTAGTGGTTGCCGACGGTAAAAAATTGGTTGCTCACACTGCTACCATCAAGGATCAACCTTCTTATGGCCATCGTGGTATTTTGTTGGACACTTCTCGTAACTACTATCCCGTCAAGGATATCTTGCGTGTCATTGAAGCCCAAGCCTACAACAAGATGAACGTTTTGCACTGGCATGCAACTGACTCTCAATCATGGCCTTTGTACTTCAAGTCTCACCCTGAACTCTCTCAAAAGGGTGCCTACTCCAGCAAGGAAGTCTACACTCCTGCTGATGTCAAGAAGATTCTCTCCTTTGCTGAGAGCCGTGGTGTTCGTGTCGTTTTGGAAATTGATATGCCTGCTCACACTGCTACCATTGGTGAATCTCACCCTGATTACCTCATCTGCGCTGACGAGTTCTGGGCTGCTTACTCCGCTGAGCCTCCCGCTGGTATGTATTGAGCAATGTAAAGCTGCTGCTGAAAGAAATATTAACCAATTTTTTATGCATCATAGGTCAATTGAATCCTTTGAGTGACAAGGCTTTAGGTCTCGTCAAGGACATCATCAAGGAGGCCACTCACACTTTCCCCGATACCCTTTATCACACTGGTGGTGATGAAATTAACACTGCTTGTTGGGATTTGGATGCTGGTATTCAAAAGTACACCAAGAAGAACAACATGACCACCAGCGAAGTTTGGTTTGAGTGGACCAACAAGGTCTTGTCCTATGTCAACACCAAGACCGACAAGCGTCCTATCATTTGGGAGGATCCTATCAAGGATGGCGGAAGCTACCCTAAGAACACTGTTGTCCAATCCTGGGTCAAGCCTCATTCTGTCTACACCAAGCTTGGTCACGATGTCATTGTCTCCAACTACGATTACTTCTATCTGGATTGTGGTCACGGTGGTTGGGTAGGTAACGACGATCGTTACATTAGTCCTACTCAAACTGAAACTGCTGCTGATACTTTCAACTATGGTGGCGTCGGTGGCTCGTGGTGCGCTCCTTTCAAGACATGGCAACGTATTTACAGTTACGATATGACTTATGGTATTGAAAAGAACCATAAGGGTAAGGTTCTGGGTGGCGAAGTTGCCATGTGGGCTGAGCAAACTGGACCTACTGTCATTGACGGCCGTCTCTGGCCCCGTTCTGCTGCTGCTGCTGAAGTTTACTGGTCTGGTTCTTATGACAAGAAGGGTGCCAGACGTACTGTCAAGACTGCCTCTGAACGTTTCTACGACTGGGTGTTCCGTCTTCAAGCTCGTGGTATTGACGCTGAACCCGTTCAACCCAAATACTGTGCTCGCCATCCTGGTGCTTGTGATCTCAACGATCCTCATGCCAAATAAGATTAGAAACTAATTTTATAGTACAATATAACAACTTCAAATATAACTAATTGCTAATAAATTCAAACTAATGGAAGCACGTACTTTCATCTAGAGCGATTCCATATCTCTTAAGAGACTGTATTTTATTAGACGTCTTATGAGCAAAATGCTAGCTTGAGCACTGTTCATTCAACGCAATAAATGCATGTATCTCACTAGAGTTCACTTATTAAGTTTGCATTTTCAATCTGTAACTGCGAATCCAACTCTTTTCGAATGCTCCGTGTCCGTAGATATGGGGAAAATCTGTAAACGAGCAGATAGCGTAGCAGCATTATTTCTTACTACTCGAATATATGCAAATCACAGCCAAATTTGAATGGATTTAAGCCGTGTTTTCTCGTGTTATACGTCGTTTTGGACTGCCAGAATAGTACCAAACAATTGATCTCATCCAGCAGCTACTTTCTGACACCTTTGCTCAACTTTTTTGGGATCATCAAAAATCGACTCCAAATCATGAGTGATACCTCATGATTTTCATCGAAAATCAAGCGATCGCGTTTCTCACCTCAAAAACGAAGACTTTTACTAAGGTATATATTGAACCAAAATGATTGTATGGATCCAAAGCAACCCCTGAAGCTTTGTTTGTGCAACCTTTATATGGAAAATTTTGACATTTCCACCTAAAACGTCATTTCATATGTTCCGATATTACTCAATAAGTTTGTTATAAACATGCTTTTTAATGAGCACCATTAGATGCGGCTTGAAAAGTACTTGTAAAAAGCTTAAGGAAGTATGGGATGATCATTACGACTTTTATAGTCGAACCTAGCAAAATAGATCAATCGAGTCGAAAATCGATCAGAAATCAACGAATTGAAACGAAAGCGTTGGACTGGATTTAAAATAATTTTGGATGGCAAAATCAATGCCATGCTTATAATGGTGGTAACTGATGTTGTTGGAAGCCCACAAGCATGCCATTGCGAGTTGGAAAGTATTGTAGCTTAACTATATTGTTATGCTTTTGTGTGTGTTTTTTTATATTTGATTAATCCGACCGCAAATTCCAATGCGATTCTTGCAAAATATGATAGCAAATGTTACTCAACTAGTCTAGCTGTTTGCCATATTAGTATTCATGTTTCGCATGCAACTAGGCCAAAATATCAAATCCTGGTTACATGGCAAAGCCAGTATGAAAAAAAAAATACATCTTTTAAACTACTGGCAAGTGTGATACCGTGAACAGAATCGGCTTGAATCTAATGGTCTTCACAAGATGATAGTACTACACATGATATAGCGCAACACAACCGAACCATCTATGCATTGTCATTTGATTCAAGTGCGGCAATCGCCACTACCGTATGTTGTATCCTGTCTCAACAAATCAATATCATATTATTCGAACTACAGTTGGTTAGTGCACAGTTACTACACGTTTAGCCGACTTCTTATCTGCTGCTGGCAGTTGTTTGCCTAATGCACATTGCCGAGGTTCAACAGAATTTTTATTCATAAAGCCATCTAATGTCTATGATGTGGGCTTGCTGTTCTCCTCTTTGTCTTTCTCTTTCTTGCCGTCTTGTCTATACTTGATGTAATCCTTCTGTTGATGCCTATGGCTGAATTTAGCTGACTTCTGTGCTTGATATGTGCTTTGGATCAAGTTGTAGAAAAACTTGTAGTAAAACATGAGATTGTCATATTTTCCATCATAAGGTGCCTCATAGGTCTCTCCGAATTCACGATAAAGATAATAGATGGCCTCAATTGTCGCTAAATGCTGATCATCTACATTTTGAAAGCGCCAGAAATGAGTTTTGCGTGGTGCGATAGTAACTCTCTGCATTTTCTTGAGAATAGGTGTATTGTTGGTAATTTGCTTCGCTTGGATCCATGTACCATCAATCACAACAATGCGATCAAATGATTCTCGGGGTATATCAGTCAACTGTTTTGCACTCTACAAAGGATACGTCTGTCAGAAAACTGCGATCCCAATGCTGCATTGAAGAACTTACTGGACCGGGGAATAGCAGCAGTGTTCTCTCTGGGTCAGTGAAATCAGGCACTTCTGGCCATGTATGAATATCTACATCGTCTTGGGCGATTATCTTGGCATGAATGGCTGTCGATTTGCCATCCAGCTCTTTGTGATGCTTGATGCTATCTACCATGTCAGAAGTCAAATCATTTCAAGGGTCAGATAAAGAGCTTACACGTCTAAATGAACAGGAAGCTTGACCGATGGTAAAGTTGATCTCTCCATGCCAACTACTTTGTGGCATTTGTAGCAAAAGTATTTGACAGTTTTCTTGCAGGTTGGACAGGTTGAGCGTTGCTGAATGTCTTTCAAGGCCTGATCATCTGCTATTTTCAATTGATCAAAAGGACCCTTTATTGTTTGATCCAATTTCCTCTTTTTGTTGGCTTCTGCTCTCAATTGTTAGTCCTATAGTTGCATTTCGACACTATTAGTATACCTTCTTGGCTCATTGGATTGATGAAATGAAGGGAAAGGAAAAAATTCCTGGGAGATTTTGTGACTCCATTGACCTTGATGCGATGAGCAGCGAGCTGAGACATTCATTATGCGTCTTGGGAGAGGAAGATTTGCATCTTGGAAGAGGAGGATTTATATCAAAGCCGAAGCTAATGGCTATATGAAGGACGCAAGCAATTTGAAAGCTCATCGATATAAAACAATTGCATTAAATCTCAAGAAAATCCCTATTATAATTGATTCATGAGATTAGATCAAGTTGACATTTGATCTGATTGTACAGGATCAACAGCTCTTCTCCGTTGATGTGCTGCGATCAAATAACCAACTGAAAAACGCAATGTATAGTAATGCATTCACTTATTTTTTGGGAGACATACCGAGATAAATGCAATGTAGTTTTCGCTTTCATTAGCTAACCTTAACTGCAAAATGAACGATTTACATCCGTGCCTTAGAGAGAGATGGCATGCCCCTCGTATAATTGGTGGCTTTTGGATCTAACAGCCAATTGAAATCTTCCTCCAGAATCTACAATAGCAGCTGTTTTTTTTCTTTTTGACATTTTTATTCAACCCCTACACTATTTACAATATCAAATGGCACTTCGAATTTTGAGTAGACCTGTCGGTTTGGTGCATAAGCCAGCTTTGAAGATTACACCCTCATTACTGAGATCATCCTATTCAGCTGGTAAGGCATGAACTGCATTTTTGATTTAGGATTGCTCTGATATGGTACATGTAGCTGCTTCGACAAACAACAACGACAAGGCTAGCAAGCCAACAGACACCAGCACTACCGCCGAGTCTGCTACATCCACAAACACTGCAACACCAGCTACTGAGAAAGATGATGTTGTGAAATCAGAAAAGGGTAAATTGAAAGGTTTATACTAAACGTGGAGGAAATGAAGAGCTAAAATCCTGATGGCCTATAGTTGAGGAATTACAGGAAGATGGCAAAAAGAAGAAAAAGGTCAAGGTGGAGGAACCCGAAGAGGGCTATGCCTATGGAGCACATCATTGGAACATGGAGCGCGGATCAGCCATCACTTTGATCCCACTGGTCAGTACACAACTTATCTATGGTGCACATCCAATAGTAGATGGATTATTAGGTGTTGTTTTGCCCTACCACATCTATATGGGTTTTGATTCTTGTATCACAGATTATATCCCCAAGCGTGTCTATCCACGACTGCACAAAGTAGCAAATTGGACATTGACAGGTACAACAGGTCTTGTCATGTGGGGATGCTACGAGTTCAATACAAATGATATCGGAATCACTGAGTTTATGCAGAGATTATTTGCCGCTTAATCATGTTTAATTGAATAAACTTGTTGTTCCATTCATTTACATGAAGCATTGTTGGATAAGCACATTGGTGCGAAAACTAACAACCCCGAATCCGAAATTTATCCGAGCTTTTAGTTGGTGATAGCAATTGTAAATCAAGAATTGAATCGTAGGCATGATGGCAACAAACAGTGGGCTTCAACGATCCAGAATCCAGGTTTTGTGCAGTAAAAAGTGTGTTGAGAGAGTTTGTTTATATTCCTTTTGACAGCTGCTATCCAATGCAGCAGCAGCTCTTACCAAATAACCATTTGATGAATCATTCGTGACGCTTTGTGCGGGGGGTGGTAGTGGGGGTACAGGAACCAAATTACTTGGATATAAAAGCTGTGGATTGTGAAAGGTCTTTTGACCATATACACATCAATTTAACAAAATGTCTCATCATCCTTCTTATACCTTGGCTGGCTTGTGCGCTGTTGGGTAAGTGAGTGGGAGAAATGTACCTGTCTACATGCATTAACGCGATTTTGTCATGAAAGCGGTGTCGCTGGATTCGCCAAAACTCGCTCAGTTCCTTCCTTGGTCGCTGGTCTTGGTGTTGGTGCCCTTTACGGCGCTGCTGGTTATTTAATTCAACAAAACAGAGATTATGGCCATGAAACTGCTGTTGCTGCATCTACTTTGTTGGGTGGTGCTATGATTCCCCGTGCTCTCAAGACCAGAAAGCCAGTTCCTATTGCCTTGTCTGTCATTTCTCTTGCTGCCGGTGGATACTACGTCAAGAAGGTTATTGAATACAGTTAAATCAACTTGCACAAAATAAAACAGTTAACATGACAACAGAGATCAAAGAGGTAGAAACGCATGAGGTTTGGATTAAATGTGATGTTGGGATGTGATGAATGAATTTACACATAAGCTATCACTACTTTTCAAAGACTATGCGGCTGTCAAATTGACTCTACAGTGATATATTGAGCGTACATGCGAAATGGCAGATTAGATGCTGCTAAAATGTAGCTTTCTCGAATACAGTATATATCATAGCATAATAAATGTATTGTCCCTACACATTTTTAAAGCCTCAAAAAGAAAAGAAGTTGATCTAGCAAGTATTTTGATAGACTGGCGTTATTAAATATAGAATCCAAAGAAAATAGCATGGCTAACGGTAGTGCTATGTAATTTGCCACCTACTTTTTATACGCCTCAAAAGCATCTATTACTGTATTGCCTTTATGGTTAAAAGGGCATTGAGTTTGCCAGCCTACCCTACAAGCCAAAATCAATTCAAGCTCAGAGTCATAGTTGACTCTAGGTTGGTGCTAGATTGGACAGCTTTTGATAATTTTTCGACTCGATTGATCTATTCTTGCAGATTCGACTAAGCAAAATATGATAATCATCCTATGGTTCTTTAAGCTTTCTTGGAGTGCTTTTCAAGGCGCATTCAATGGTATCAAGTAAAATAGATGTTTTGAATAAACTTATTGAGCAATTTATGAAAATATGAAAACAGGTTTCTGGCCAAAAAGTCGAGATTTTACATATCAAGGTCCCACAAAAATGATTTCAGAGGCTACGTTAGATCGATAGGAACATCTTGATTCCATACATACCATAGTAAAAGTCTTCATTTTCAAGGTCAAAAACGCGATCGTTTGATTTTCGATGAAAACCATGAGGGGTACTTCATGCTTTCTGGTCGAATTTTGGCCATGTTTTTTTGGTCCTCAAAAAGTTGAGCAAAGGTGTCAGGTAGTTGCTGCCAAATGAGAGCAATTGTTTAGTGCTATTTTGATGGTCTAAAACGGCCTTTAATGCGAGAAAACACAGCACGAATACACCCAGGTTTTGCTGTATTAGGCACACTCTTTGACTGAAAAGGGTTCATAATAGTATGTTGCTTGCCCGTATATGAAGTAGCTACGTGTATATGGATGTAGAGCATCACATAAGCATCAGATCCACAGATAATATGAAGGGTTTTCATGTGTAAGTAGAGGGTCGAAATAAAAATAGCAGTATTTTGTTAAAATACGCAAGGGCAATTGGTAGCGCAAGCTGCTGCGGTGCAGGTTGGTTCTCACCAAAGTGAAGTGAAGGCAGAGAGCCATCCGAAGCGTAAGCACTCGTAATTCATAATACCATCTTTATTTATTGCAGCCAGAAGCCCAGGCGAGTTGCTCTGGTTTTGATAGGCCATCACAAAGAACTACCATTTTTCTTTGAATTGACTTGATGGCTTCTGTTTGAATTAGGCTCATTTAATGCGTAACAGCTGGCTTGAACTCTACATGGATGCAATGCTGTTGTAGGTGCCTTTAGCTACATCTGATGCTACTGTGTAATGCGATCCATTCAAACTTGTTATCGGAGAGTCAATGTAAATCACAGCAGTTTGAAGGGACCCTTCTGCAAATCTGCACCCACTACTCTTTCATTTTCTCTGCAACATCCGGGGTTGTGAGCCAATATAAGCAATGACAGAACATACAACAACACATGAAGACAAGGATGCCACCGCATTCTTTGAAGAAGTTGAAAAAGAAAAGAAGAATGATTATGAGACATGCAGTGCATCTCAGGCATTTGATGCCGTATTCCAATGTTACAGTAAAGTGATTGTATACATGACATGTCATTGTATGCCTGCATTCTCACAGCATCTACAACCTTATAGCGCTCGGATCACAGGCCATCAACTATTATCGATATGGCACAAAAAAGGATTGTTCTGGAAAATGGGATGATTTCAAGTTTTGTCTCAAAACAAAGACCAAATCCTCTGAAATTGCAGATGTAAGTTGCCTGATGAACACATAATAAGCGGGATTTAACCAGGATGGTTAGGCCATGATCAAAGAGCATCAAGCAGCCAAAGAAAGTCTAAAGAAGAGAGGACGCAACTCGGAAGAGGTCTGGGAGGCTAGACAGTAGTAGTAATGCGAAGCCAATTGTAATTTATATCCATCTTGTACATTTATAATTCCAGTAAAGTGATTTCAAAGTGGCTTGTTTGATTTTTTTTAGCTTGCAATTCGCTTTGTAACCCCCCCCTCCTCCTCCCTTCAACAAGCGATACGCGGATTACTTTTTTCTTTTTCCCTTTTTTCCTTTCCATTATACACTTGAACTCACAGTAAAAATAAACAAGATGAAGTTGGTTAGGTAATAATCTTGCTAGAGCCTGTTTATGTTGGGCTTGTGGTGCGGTATCCAATAACACCCAATGTCTGTAGATTTTTGATGAAATTGAACAACGAGACAGTCTCTGTCGAAATGAAGAATGGCACAGTTGTTCACGGCACTATCACAGGCGTTGATATGAGCATGAATACACACTTGAAGACAGTAAAGATGACCGTCAAAAATAGAGATCCTGTCAGTTTAGATACCTTGAGTATCCGTGGTAACACTATCCGTTGTGTTATTTTGCCTGATAGTCTGCCGTTAGATACACTTTTGATCGACGATTCACCTAAATCAAAAAAGAAGCATGATGGTAAGCACACACGGCTTTGCTCATTTCACGCTTTGCAAATGTACTGACGCTGCCTTTAGATGACGGTGCTGGTCGTGGTCGTGGAAGAGGCATGTCGCGTGGACGTGGTGGACGTGGTGGCAGAGGCAGAGGTGGACGTTAAGCAGCAATATGGAGCAGCAGCAAATGATAACAGCAAACAACATGAACAACCCTCAACAATCAACACCAACGATATACATGTATACGCAAACAAAAAAAATAAACACACGCTTGATACTCAAACAATGCACCTTTTTTTCCTACTTTACATACATGCTAGAAAACCAGCTAACATTGTACATAAAGTGTATTTATTCATTTATGTCCTTGAATGCGTTCGTGTCTTTGCAAAGCGTCTAAGCGAGTAAACTTCTTACCACATGCACGGCAATAGCAAAGCGGTCGGTTCTTCATGTGAATGGATTGATGTCTTGATAGGTCGTAGGATCTGCGAAATGCCTGGCAGCATGCTTTGCCACTGCTATCCACATGGTCGCAGACGAATTGTGTTTGATGGGGGGCACACTACCTCCTCTGGTCCGCTTTTTGTAGGTCATGGTTCTTGCATTAGCAGTACTAGAGGAATAAGGGGATGCAGAAGCAGACACTGGTGAGAGAGGGAGCATGTGAATAGGAGCTAGTTGTGGGCTGTCAAGCAGGTATGATAGGGAAGGTAATTTATGATTGCTGCCAGCAGGAGACCAATGAATAGGTGGAGAGGTGATGATGTTTGATAGTGTGGGTAGTTTTCGCTTATGGCTGTATGTTGTATTGAATTGGATCAAATCTTGCTCAAATGAGATTCCCGAGTCTTTTCGCATAGGGAGTGGTGTTGGCGAAGGCAAGGACGAGAGTACGGTTTCTGCTGGATTCATTCTTATCACTATGGGCTTGATGATATGGAAGGGTTCTTTGCCTAAAAGCCATTTTATGAGATGGGTGTGTATGTCAGTGGTCGTTGCACTGTGAAGCTTACCATGCATCTTCATCAGCTTGAACTCCAGTCTACTCTTCTCTGTAATGGCTCTCAAGGCATTATGAAGACCATAGTCATTGTTGAATTTGAACTTGTAGCTGTCATCTTGCTGAATGATCATGTAATACTCTTGGATGTAGAGCTTATTCAGCTATGCAACGGGTTAGTTTACAGAGCAATGGTTGGGCTCGCAGTGTCAGTTACCCTTGAATGATACTGAATCTCCCGTAGCAGATCAATGTATCGAGGCGGTTCATTGTCATGCACAAACATGTGTAGTAAAAAATCCAACGATGGTAGATCTTCGATCTGAACCCTGTTTTCGTCAGTGAAATAAGGTTTAGTCATTGGTTGCCCATGCATCATGGGGCATGAAAGACAGCACTCACCGGAATTGATAGACGTTATTGTTCATGAAGGAAAGGGCGATGTGTATAAAGTAGAGGGAAACAGAGAGAGAGAGAGAGAGAAAGAGAGAGAGAAAGGAAGAGAAAAGAGTATGTAAAGAGGTTCTTTATATATAGACACATAGAGCAGACATTATTTCTAATACATAACATTTACATGTGTTTTGTTTTATTCTACCATTGATTCACAGAAAGAGAGAAGAGGGAGTGGCAATAGGAGTATATCATACCTTTATGAAGAAAACTCACAGAAAGAATCGAATGTCAGAGGACAAAGCTCTTTGGCTCACTTGTAAATAGATGCAAGTATTATACCAAGTGGCTAACTATATGCGAAAACCCTGAAGTGATCCTTTCTCTTTATCCACACTGTGAAGAAAACATTCAAGTAGAGCGTCTCCTCAGTCTTATTGAGAAAACCAGCATACGCACACACATACACATGCCTGTATACTACGATATGATATTCAAACATCATACGACCTTGTCTGTTAGAAAAGAGGAGATCTATTGTGGCTGTCATGTAATTCAACTGTAAGCAATGTCTGTAGTTGCGCGCACTTTGTTTCTCGGCTGACATGATCTAATGTAGGTGTGTATGATCAGGTACTGCCGTTGAGTGTGCCACTTGGATTGCTTTTCAAGGTGCAGCGTGTTGTATAGACCTGAAAAGTTTGCAAACAGTGGATATATGGAACAATGCCATGATGAAGTGATACGACTGTACGTTTTTTTCTTTCTCTTCCCCCCCCCCACCCCCATGTAGCCCCTGTTCCTGAACATAACAATCATAATAAATCTATTTAAAAAACGATTTCTTCATATAAGAAATCAAAAATGAAATGAAAGAAGCAAGGACAAGAACAAAAATGAAATGCTGTATACTACAGGCAATTTTTCAAGAAAAAAAAAAGTTGTTTACGTACCTGTAAGAGGTGCATATCAGGCTAAAGTATGATAGTTGTAATGCCCAAACTGTTCAAATTTTGAGGCTCGCGTCCCTTTTCGTGTCTCCCTAAGTATATCGTATATATATATATATATGCCTTTTTGTGTTTATGATTATACTTGCATCTGTAAGCCCATTGTCGGTGCTATTGCTTATTCAGGAAATAGTACAAACCTTGGGTGAGGAGAGCAACAGGAGATACTACCGATTGTCTGTCAGTTGTGATCTGCGATGAATGATTAAACTGGCAATGACAGCAAATGGTTCATAGTATTGCGTCTGTAAATGGTGCTCTATACCAAACTCTACACAGCGTGCACAATCAACTCTTTGGGACGTTCGCAATGCAATGTACAGTGCATTGGCTTCTACAAGAGAATGTATTTGCACACACATTCATATTAAAGGCTCCTGGATGCCTCCGGTAGACATTTATGAAATGCTGTTTTTGTAATAGGTTACAAGGTACATGGCTAGCATAAAAAAGTTGCAGATAGGATCCATGTACATTGGTTTTGTTGCACTGTTTCAGTCAAAATGGGTCGCGAGGTTCTTCTTGCTTTATCTTGACAATCTGTAGAGACGATCCTCATTTATCTGATCAAAACTTTAATCAGGTCGAATGCTGCTCTTGATCGTGGCTACCTAATTTTGAGCCATTGCTAAAGTGACATTTGTCTCGAATACAAGATTACTATTGGTGCAGCTCCCACTAATCAATGGATGCTTCTTTTCTATATTGAATGGATTTAAAGCAATGTATTTGTTGAACAGCCGCTTTAGAGTGTGTAGTTGTAATTTGAACCAATGCAGTTTATCAGAATGATGGTCGATGGAAAAAACAAAACATCTTTTAGCTTCTTCATAGTGACTACATGCAATAGCACTGAATCATCTTTCCGCTTTTTAATGATCGTGGGAAACATTCAGCTGGACGAAATAGCGTAATGGCTACAAAGGTCTGTGCTAAATACAAAGAGATAATGCGGGGGGCGAGTCTATAACCTATAACTCAAGAGGGTATTTTTATTCGCTTTTTTTTTTTTTTTTTTTTTTTTCGATTATGCTATTCAACATTTAAAAAGCCCTGGAACATACCCTTTCTTTCTTTTCGTTTCTTTTTCTTCTTTTACTATATTTTTCTTGAGCAATTGCAATGGATAGACTTCCATTCGAGGTGTTATTACAGATATTTGGCTATCTCCCCTTCACCTCATTCGAGACCCTATATGCCGTATTTCCTCGGGTACTTTTGGACGAAGCATTGATATACAAACTTCGAAGGCACAAAGCAGAGCCTATGGTCAACTTGATATCCACCAACCTTCATGAACTGTCTACCAACACGGCCAACAGTCGAAACGAATCATCCTTATCTTTGTACTTTGACTCCTATGATCCCACACACAGATTTATTTGGACTCTGCCTGACTTTGATCGCTCACAGCATTATTTTAAAGTCAAGGATGCTTATGTGTCCCATGGTAAACTTGTGCTCAGAAGGCCTCATGATACTACTCTTTTCAGTCAAAAGTCTTTGGTATCTTTATGGGACATTAGAAAAAGCTTCCCGCCTACTCGAGCTGGCTCATTCTCTGGTGCAAGTGAGTATTCAAGAATCAAATCCCAAGAGTTGACCATTCATCAATCAGGTTGTATACTGGACTCTTGTCTGATTCCCTCAGGTACTAGTAGCAATGCCAAGAAGGTTAGCTTGGTCGACAACATGGGTGAGGAGAAAGTGATTGGGATGAGTGGTAGTGGGGAGAATATGAACAGAGTATTGCTCAAGAGGCCTACTTTACCTCCAACATACATGAGACAGGTTCCTGAAGTTGGTAAGCATGGTAAAGGCAGCAGTGCTCGTTCGGCAACATCTTTCCTCGTACCTACTTATCCGGACCCTACGTGTGGCTATTTCCTGGTCGAAAGATTTGCTATTGACATCCCAACCTTCTTGAGGCTTTATTGCTGAAATCCCAACATTTATATATATATATATATATATACATACATACTCTTCTTGTACTATCCCTTCCACCCCCCAGACATACTGTATACACTCCCCCCCAATCCTTGACAGACAGAGAGCGCCATCCTCCTGTTTCGTATAGACATCTATTTTCGGTTTCAAACATGCACCACATACATGTGAAATGCAAATCTTTTTCATTTCGTGTGTTCCCCTTTCTTCAACATGGCACATTTTCATCATTTTGTATTATGAATGCATTGATGATATATACCAAATTTGTAGTTTTCGCTTACAAATAAAATATGACATAAAATGCTATCCAATAACGTGCAGTGGAATTTACGTAAATCTGATCTTCTATTAAAGGTAAACATTGCCAACCGCTGTAAATGCAATGTCTGCAACAAGAAACTTGTATCCTATGACCATGCAATGTGTCTTATCTACTTCCTACCTGCCCTATCTTGAATTTGAGCGCTTCAGATTTATAAAGGACATGGTGTGCAATGACATTGGTAGTAGGCTTATGGAATTGGCAGTGGGTTCATAGGAAATTCACGATTGACATTGTGGAATTGTGTAAACTGACATCAGAGCATTTGATCTGCTAATACATAGTCCTTTAGGATCCTTTGAATCCATGTTATTGATCTTGAAAGCTTCATTACAGATTGCTGTAAGAATCGCAATTTGGATGCACATGCCGCATGTTGATAGAGTCAATTTCTTGTAGGTGAATCAAGGCAAAGGCATGTATGAATGTTGAACAGAAAGACAATGATGAACCAGTACGCACAAAATCAATTAAATGGCCGCGGGACAAAATTTTGCTGAATTGGTCTTTTTCTTTTGCAAAACACACAATCAAATCATGGGAAACGTTATAAGCTCGCAAAAGCATCGACAGCTGAAAGCTAAAAGTGTAGAAGAAGCAGGGTTTGAAAACTACACCGAGGTGTCCTCTTGTCACCTCGGTGGATCCATTGAGGTTGTCACGGATGAATCATGTGGAGATGCTGCCAACTTGCTCAAGATGGAGAAAGCCAATAGACAGCTCAATTTGGACGATTTCAGTAAAGTACAATGGTGCGCTTGAGAAGAATATGAACTGAACTGAGTATTGCTAGATGAAGCGACGGACGGTTGGTTGACGAAAAGACACGAATCTGTTGGCAGGTAAAGAGACATGAATAGCATCATGATGTCAATACTGAACGTTCTCTGTTTTCTTGACAGTGTGACCATTACACTATGCAATGAGAGCAAAATTGCTGGATTAGACATTGATACAACTGGATACACTGATTGCTGTCCTTCGTTTGCTAATGTGGAAGGATACCAGAGATCCAGCATGACTGTAAGTGAACCTGTACAACAATGAATGAGACTCCTGCCAACATGAATCGAGCAGTGGCAAGTGATACTAGCTGAATCTCGCATCAATGCAGACAGCCACAACTTTTACGATGTCAAGGATTCCAATGTATACTCGAGTGTCAGATTGAACATTGCCCCTGGTGGTGGCGTCGTAAGTGTTTTTTTTTTTTTTTTTTTTTTTTGTTCGGCTTGGATGTATATTGACAGTTCATATTTGACAGGCCCGTTTTCGAGTGTACGGTGAATTATCACCTGATTGGTCAGACAGATCCAAGGATTACAATCTAGCATCTGCCAAGTTGGGCGCACGCATTGTCCGTTGGACAGACCAACGCAGTGCCAACAATCCCAATATTTTGCTTGACGGCGGCACTAAAATGTAAGTGTGTGTATTGTTGTGCATTAAGGCCACCCTTAAATGAATGAAATTTGAAATAGGTCTGATGGATGGTTGACTCCGAGATCAAAGCTTGAAAAGGAAAGGAATGATTTTGTTCTGGTTCAACTAGCCACTGCTGGTGCACTCGAGTCCATCGTCATAGATACGACTGGATTTGCCAAAAACTCCCCCGCCAATGTGTTTATCCAAGGCTGCTGCAGTGAAGATGTGGATCCACATTATGATGTGTTTGCCTCTTGGGTTTGTCTAGTGCCCTTGAGCCCGGTCTTGGCTGGCGGCGAAACCACTTTTTACTTGAGCAATGTCAAGGATCCAATCACTCACATTCGCATGCATTTGATCCCTGATGGCGGTATCCAGCAGATCAAGGTCATGGGTAAGCCAGCCGTGAAAGAAACAAAGCAGCAATTGCTGATTGAGCAAGCACCTGAAGTCATTGTGATTGAGCAAGACTCTGAAGAGGATGATGATACCCTATCCCTTATTGTGGAAGAGATACTTGATACACCGGTCATCGAGCAACTGAGCACTGTGAAACTGTGTGCTGTGAACCAGCCTCCATCTTCTCCTACTTTTAGCAGAGGAGAAAAACGGGCTCGAAAGAGTGCGTCTACCAGTGTTTAAATCACTACTGTAAATAACATTGATTGTATAAAAAAAAAAAAAAAAAAAAAAAAAAGAGCAAACGGTATCGCCTTTCATGTATTTCATTACGGTGGCTGAAAATTGAAATGCGAACAATTGACAGCTCAACAAAACAAGTACAAGTTGGCATTGAGCCCTACAATGACAAAGTAAGATCTGGAGCATTATTTACGGATGAACCCTATAAAATAAACAAGGCGGTCATCTTTCAACATCTAATGAGTCCAGCCATAAAGACAGCCTGGCTACCAAAAGAGCTCATCTACTTGCTGTCAGTCTTCAATCCATTCGAGACAGATGAAGGCTTTTCATGTGGCAGTGTGTGTAACAGTTCAGGTTTACGCCATGTTTAATATGAAAAAAGCGCAATTAGATCAGACTCTATACTTTACCTAAATGGACAATTTCTTTATTTATAGTGCAAATTTGACCCGGTTGATTGTGTCATTAGGATATGATAATAACAACTGCTTGGATCCAACCTTAAACATCGTGTATAATGAAATCAACCATCCATTGGCACAGGTGAAAATACATCATGGCACACAATTGATTTGACCACCCGCTACGTGTGATAGAATCAGCATTTAAAATTGTTTATGGATACGGCTCGATCATGAAATCACTTTCTTTCTCTCTTTTCTCTCTCTCTCTCTCTCTCTCTCTCTCTCTCTCTGCTTGCTTTTCAAAGCCTATAGCATATATACACTCAATCTCAATTCCTTCTCTCATATCAAATACGAGACATGTCAAACAGTCCTGCGCCTGCATCCAGAGTAGCCGACTATTTCTTTGTGGCAGGACTCCATGATAGCCTTTTAATACCAACATACGAATCTGCAAAGAAATACCAAAGAACAGGTGACAGTGACGTATCTTATTACCAGCAACAGGAACAGGCAGTGTCAGGTAATGCAGCCATGGCAGAGTCTCCACCACCACTCGACACGATGGAGTCCAACGTACGACCTGTAGTGGGCAATCGTGGTCGTGGTTATACAGTGGCCGAGCCACCAATGTTACGTTCCACTCTATCGGAAGCAGCCACTTCCGCTTCCTTGTTGGGCGTACTAGACCACGTACAAAATGTCATTGATAATTTCGACAAGGAGAGAGACACAGCCCGAGACAATGTCATTGCAGTACAAGGCCCTTACACGGAGAAATACAAACGAAGCGATAGCGACAAGACGATTACAATGAACTCCAATCATAGATCCAGCGTCTACTCAATAGACGAAGCAACTCGACGCATGTCCATCAGAGATGCCCATACATCGACATCTACCAGAAAGTGGAGAAGCCCATCTGATCCCAAAATCTGTAAGTGTGTGCTTGGAAGGCGTTTTAGAAAGAACTAATGAGGCGCAATCAAGTAGTGGACAAGACAAAGCGGTACTCCACTATGTCTGTGCAAAAGTCAACATCGACAGAAAGTGTGCCAGCAATTCCCTTGGAGCCAGAGGCTGTGCCCAACATACTTGATCTCAAGTACACGCCTACTGTATTGATGCGATATCCAAAAGCCAACTACTCGATTGATACGCCTTTTCCTGCTTATGTAGCCATGGTAAGACAAACAAGTTTAAGGGCTTTTGTTATGTTTAAATTAGCAGTAGAAATTGATCTCTATTATCTTGTGTCTGTAGTTTTGCTTTCCAAGAGATGTGTCCCTGTATTGTGGCGATATACCACCCCCACCAGAACAGTGTCACTCATTCGTAAGTGTCGCAAACATCAAGCTCAAACAGCAACTCATCTCTCTCTCTCTCTTTCACGTAACAGACAATGACAGACGAAAACGGAGCGACAGTGTATGGCACATGTGTCGTATTTTATGAGCGACTGACAGACAAACTCAAGAAGCCAGTGAACGATGCTATCCGAGAGTGGGTCAAAGCCAATATGGCTACCAGCACAATAGAATATGCGCAACATTTGCAGGGAAAGATCGATGTAGAAAAGGCAGAATTAGAAAAAGCAACCAAGGATCAGGCACAGATGACGGTTGGCTTATCGAAGCAGGAAAAAGATGGCCACTTGGCAGAGATTGAAGAGCGGATCCGAACTTGCCATGAGAACATTGGACTTTATAAAGAGTTGCTGGAGCCTGTCAAGATGGGCGTGTGCACTGCAGATGACGTTTGGGTGCCCAAAAGCATTGGCTTGCTAGGAAAACTGCCTTGGATGGATCTGTTTAGTGATTGGATTCGTATCTTGCTGGATAACATTGTGGGTGTGGGTGGCCATCGCAACAATGCAAATCCTACCATCGATATTGAGTCCACCGTGATCAATTTGATTGAGGAAGTGCCATTGCCGCCTCCTGGCCGCTTCGAGATAGGACTGACCATCAACAAGAGACCGCTGTTCTTTTCAAGGCCGCCTATCAATCAAGTGCCCATATTGAAGAATGTAAGTGCTTTGCTGCTTGGGAAGCTGCATGTGTATTGACTCTATCTTGCAGTTTTCTTTATTTCCTCTGTTCCGTGCTCTATCACCTCATCTGATTCTTGCAGTGTTAGAGGTACGTGCTATAGCAGACGACCACTTGTTGACACTCACGCATATATATATATATATATATATATATCTAGACTCTACTAGCAGAAGGCAAAGTTGTATTTTTATCCAAGTATTCAGGGATGCTTTCACTTGCATGCGAGTCATTTCGTTACTTGCTGTTTCCCTTTTATTGGCAATTTGTGTTTATTCCGGTTTTACCAGAGAGACTCTTGACATGCTTGCAAGCCCCTGTGCCCTACATGATTGGCTTTCAGGGCAACATGCTAGACTTGGAAGACCACGCACCAGAAGATGTTTGTATAGTGAACCTGGACAGCAACAGTATGCATCAGAGCCAGAGATCGATGTCGATACCCGACAGACAGAGACGCAAGCTTCAATCTGCACTAGAACAGTATGCTCCTCTGCACACCAAATGCAAAATCCCCTATGGAGTCCCTCTGCCTGTACAGTGCACTTTTCCCAAGGGCAAGATGATCCTAAACTGCACCCGTTCCAAAGCGACAGACATCTTTATCAGCCCTGCCAGATCAAGGGACTCTGAAAGCTCAGATACAACTTCTGTCTGGTCTCACCCTGCATCCTTCATGTCCAAGCCCTCTGGCTTTTGGTCAAGCAATGCAAGCACACGAAGCTCCAACGAGTCGTCTACGTCCATCAGTAACACGACACCAATCAAATCCAACACTCCTATTCCACCCAAGATTAATACAACAACAGAGCACATGCTGCCCCAGTTTCCTGGATCTGCAATGCTGTCCACCAGTGCTGGCAACTACGCATCCTCTTCGACAAGCTCATTGCATAGCCCTCCTATGAGCCCCATTAGACCCACTACAAGCATCCAATCCATACAGTCTACTTCCTCCAATCTCTCGCGCTCTCCCAACCAACGTGTCTCCATGCCAGCTCCCATGACAGCTGCAAATGTCACTCCACTGGACAAACAAAACTCGTACAGAAAAGCCAACTACAGACGCTCTGAGCCTCCTCCCAAGCCCACAGAACAAGACAACTCGTCAAAGACACGGCTTGTCAACTTCATGTCCAAACCAAAGGCCGTGTTCCAGCAGCTGGAGCATACCGAGCCGAGTACTAACAATGTAGCATCCTCGCCTCGCATCTCTATCACTTACAATGATACTTTTGATCACGGCTATCACAACCAAGTGCCGCGTCGTGTCAAGCACATTGAAGGGCACATCATGGCCGAGATTTTCACCTCCGAGTTGGGCAGATTTCAAGGCTATCGTTGTGTATGTGGAAGACAGGTAGCAGAGGACGATGAAGAGAGCCAGAGAAAACCTCGCATGTTTATGTGCTGTCAAGGTAATATAGTGCAGTATATGTGTTTATTCTATTACTCACTGTGCGCTGTGTAGAATGCCATCTCGTGACGCACGACACTTGCACAGATCAAATTTTGCATCCCTGTTTGCCTGCCTGCTTTGACGAGCAAAAAGTGCATGACGCCTTTATTCGCATGTTTGCTTCCTTGCTATACAATTATCGCACTGGATTTGTGGATCATCTGGAATCAAGCTCCATTACAGCCAATGATGCCAATGGCAATGCTAAAAAGGGCGTTTATTTCTCCAAGGAAAGGTTTTTGAAGCATTCCGACAAGGATACACGGGTATGTTGGCACTGATACAAACAATCCTGCTTTTTCACTCGCATACTGATTCCTCGGGTTTAGGGCTTTCTGTCAAACTTGAGCAATTCGCAAATGTTTACTCAGTTCATCACCGATAGATTACTCAAGTCGAGTCAAGATCCCGAGATTCTGGTGTTTGATGAATACATCAAGCTCAAGCTGAACCGCTCTAAGCTCAAGTTTGTCAAGGAAGAGACGCCTTTTCTCAATGTAAGTGGATGATGGTGAAGGCTGCAATGTGTGTACTGACTGTATCTGCACAGGATGAATCATTCAGAGTGTCGCAGATCATCTGGGCAACACCACCACCCAATGTAAAGGTCATTAACCAAGGCGATTGTAAGAGATTCCCCACCAATCTTCGGTTCCTGCAAGAGCATTCCACTGCCACTACTCTTACTACTAATAATTATAATGCTGCTACTACTACTACTACTACTACTACTACTACTTAGACCCACATTGTACATTTTCATTTCTCGTATTTGCAATTTATCTTTAATATCTCTCTCATTCATAACATCTAAAGTTATCTGTCTAAATAAACGAATAGCCATTGATCGAAGCTTATACATCACACGGATGGCGTATCACATCAAATTGCGTGATGGCCATGATGCGCGCGTGGTTTTTTTTGACATGTTGACTCTATCCATTTTGGCTCGTGTCAAGATTCAAAACGCGGTACATGAACTTGGCGATTTCTGTAACATCCATTTAAAGGCGACCTGTCGTGAAATTGATGCAAAAAGCGTACTCTTTTCTTCTTTTTATTCGCCTATTCTACAAGATGAACGATACCACTGAAGATTTGCTCAAGCTCTTCTTGCATGGCGTGGACACCATTGAAAGTAAATAGCGTGCTATAGTGTACTTTATGAATCTTGTTCTCAGCTTATTTGTTCAGACATCCATGCATTCTTACAACAGTCTATTCAAAACGGCGTTTCTCCCGATGCTTGCTGTGCCTTGGTATTTCCTCTCTTTCTACATGCAATCAAGCGCCCCGCAAACCAGCTTCAAGTGTATGTTGATATCTTGGTAGACATTCACTCTTATTCGAGCCAGTGTGCTATGATGGACGACAATATCATTTTTAAAGACGTAGCCGGCATACTCCATGGTAAGAGAGAGAGAGAGAGAGAGAGAGAGAGAGAGAGAGAGATACACATACATACAATCATACAACTTACATATACAACTAGAATCCTTACATTTGTACCAAACAGAAGGCGACTTTACAGTAAGCGAACCAGTATGGAATGCACAGATCATGTACACTAAATCGTGCATTGGCAGACATTATTCGACAACGCATTAGGCAAGGATCAAATCATGCGAGTTATAACACTTGCAAGCACTGCTTGCTTGGATGTGTTGAGATCATTCAATGGCTCAGAGTCAGAACCTCTCTGCGACACATTATGGCATCTTATTCCCAAATCAATCAATATGCTTGTAGCAAAGGTGGATGGACAAAATATTGCTGTCATTACCGTAAGTACTGTGCTATGCTGAATCTTTACTCGCCTTTTGTCTGACTCTGTGGATAGAAAATGGCAGCCATTGCCGAGTCCTTGTTGTGCCAAAATCTCATCACCCCTACAGACGATGAAGTATCTTTCTTGCTGAACAGCATGGTCGCTGCTACTTTTAAATGCATCATGTTTGCTGAACATGTCAACATTGTCGCATCTTGCGTCTCGGCAGTCTGTACAGCTGCCCCTGATCTAAGCCTGCCATATACATCAGACTTATCAGACCTTGTAAATTCGTTGGCGGCCTCCCTGGTCCACTCCAACAATCACACCTTGGTGAGTTCAACTCGGCATACACGCACATACACACATAGACAACGTATGCTCATTCCATTATCTCATTCCAGTGCAAGGCTATGTTTAATGTCTCTTTCTTGCTGGCGAGAAACAATGCTGTTACACCTTGGCTCTCTGACTTTGATACCATCCAATACGACGATCCTGAAATTGAACTGCTCAAGGAAAACATTGCCTCTGCTCATGCCGCTCCTGTTGACCAAGTGGATTTCACACAAGTTCAAGATATGGCAGTTGTGTATGATAATTATGAAGCCAAGGCAAGCGACATCATTACTAAATTGGTCTCTATTGAAAATGGCTCGGATGAGTGCTTTATGTTACTGAACAATGTAAGTAGCCACATGTCCATCTCACACAAAAGATACCATTGACACACGTCTTGCTTGTTTAGCTTGAATACCTGGCTGTCCACTCTGATGCCAGTTCTGTCGAGTCCATGTGCAAACCTCGTATGAAGCAAATCACTGAATACGTCACTCAGCTTCTTCTCAAGGACCCTGCTATTGCTACTGCCATCGTCAGCCGCATTGGCTATGAACCCTCCGAGTTCCTCAAAAAGCACCTTCATTTCGCATTACCCTATGCTGTGATCTATACCCAGGATCAGGATGCCTTGCTTGGTCTCTGCAATGTCTTTGATCAATCTCCCATTGATTTGGTTCGACAAGGAGCCAGCGATATTGCCATTGCCATCCTCCTCGAAGAAGACTCAGACGTCCAACACGCTGGTGAAAGAAAACTGATTGAGATTTGTCGTGAAAGAGATATTTTGGAACAGCTTGTGGTAGACAAGCAAACCAGCATGATGACTACTATTGCAATGAACCTGGGTCACCCTACTCAGGGTCAATTGTACCACAAAGCCATGGAGACCATTGATCGTACCATGAATGGCGCAAAATCCAAGCTCTCAGCTCTCTTGAATGAATTCCTCCTGGCCATCTTTGAAGAAATGTTCAGCTACATTAATCAAATCAGAAGCCACTCTCCAGACGTGCAATACCCTTATGCGCTCCAGTCCTTGAAGATCATCATGCATTTACTGGAAGAAAATATCAACAATCACAATCGTCATGTAAGCACAACCGCGCATGCTGCTGCTCTGCTGTATTTCTCATTTTTGTGTCTATTGTAGTTGATGAAGATTTTTGAGAGTGTGCTTGAGCTGCCCAACATGCAATTCCAAGCGCTCTCTCTGTGGAAAACCTACATTGAACATTTGAGCAAAGACGCTGTTCGACTCAACATCAATGCCATCATCCAAGGATTATGCAACCTACTTGTGGTCAGCCCCTCTTCCATTCGTGTCCAAGTAGCCACCACGCTCCATGACTTGCTGGTTCACAACAGAGGTCTCACCGCCGAGGATTACGCCAATTTCCCCGTCTTGCCCCACTTTGAGGAACTCGCTGCTGCCAAGAGCTTGGTTCAAGAGCGCCAGAAAGCCAAGGTCGAAAACGAGGTTCTCAATATCATTCTGGGATTCTCCAAGTTTGACGACGGTCTCGTACTGTCCAATCTTCAAAAGCTGCAAAATATCCTTGCCAACAATCCCTACAACCGTTGCGAGGTCGACAGACTCTACGCCCATCTGATCCATCTGATCCGCAAGTACAGCACGCATGAAATGATCTCTTACTACGCTGCTATCTGCCTTGGTTTGCTTGGTGCTAATGATCCCAGTGCAGTCAGAATGAGAGCTATTGATGACACTGTGTTTGTCATGCGCAACTACAATAACGACGAAGAGAACATGGACTTTATCTACGATCTGATTATCAATCACATCTTCCCGTCTTACAACACTACCAATGATGAGACCAGCCGCCATTGCATGGAATACTCTATCCAGACCTTGCTGCAAATCGCTGGATTCCGTCCACCCAAAAAAATGAGACGCGATGGCCTGTTGCTCGCATACAATCGCTGGAGAAGATTTCCGAGAGAAGTGCAAGAGTTTCTAGCTCCTTTCCTCGAGTCTGCCTACCAAGGCGCTTGGCCTGACGTGCATGTGGAATACCCCATCTTTACCAAGGCTCGTACCTTCAAGGACTGGGTGCACAAATGGTATATCTGTATGACCAACGAAGCTCGTGGTACAGCCGCACGCATATTCAAAGCGTGTCTCCCTATGGTCCAATCTGACATGACTGACATTGCGCTTCACTTGCTCCCTTACTTGGTTGTACACACTGTTCTGTCTGGTATCGGCGATGCTGGACTTTCTGTTGCTAGGGAACTCCAAATTGTCCTGGACATCAATGCCAAACCCGCTGAAAACCCTGAGAAGCTTAGCATGAACCGTTACGCACTTCAAGTGGCTGTTGCTATTACTGGATACTGTCGTAAATGGCTGCACCGGGTAGGTCGTGATGATCTTAGCTTGACAAGCATGGTGGACCGTATCAACGCTTTCTTGCGCCAAATACCTGACCGAGACATGGGTGTTGCTGCTTTCAATACTGGTGCCTATCCACAGGCTATGATGCACTTTGACACGTACTTGAAAGAGCATTTCGACAACAAGATACCCAACACAGACGCCGCCATGGTCAACTATTTTCGTCACATTTATCTTGAAACAGAGCAGCTCGAGGACTATAAGGCCTTGATGAGCGCTTACACCGCAATTGTAACTCGTGATGAACAAATCGCTCAGCATGTGAATCTTGGTGAATGGGATTACGCAGAAATTTTGTACAAGAGCAAGATTAACGATAGTCCTTTGGATTTATCAGCTTACACTGGCTACTTGGAATGCTTGTCCAAATCAAACAGATTCGGCTCTTTACTCTACGAGGTTGACAACAAACTTACCGGCTCAATTCCATGGCAACCGCAGATCAACTCTTACCGTATTGATGCTGCCTGGCATGTGGAAGATTGGCCAGCCCTTGAAAGGGCCGTCAATAAGCCAATGGAGCGAAATGTCCGTGCTCTTGTGGGTTGTGCACTTCATCAGATGAAGAATAACTTGCCTATTCAGCTGACGTACACAATTGATGAAGCAAGAGCCAACATCACAAAGCAGATCGCCATGGCCACTTCGGAATCATACAGAAAATGCTACCCACAGATATTTGAGTTGCAAATGTTGCAGGAGCTGGAGACCTCTCAAGAGCTGTGGAGCAAGCCAGATGCAGTCAGTCAAATTCAAGCCATTCAGCCTCTCTGGGACGACTCCCTCCGAAGAATCATGCCGCGCTCACAATACAGATTGAACTTGCTTGAACTTCGCAAAGCAGCACTCTTTGACATTAGGTAAATGTGTGTGTAGTATCGCATTGTAGAGAGGATTCACTGACGCCTATGTTTGTTTGTGTGTAGAGGTTCCAATTTGACCAGGGCGTATGAGGCAAAGCTTTGGCTGAACTTGTATAGAGAGAACAGAAAACTGGGTGACATGGTGGCATCTCTTGATGCATTAAAGCACGCTGAGCACCTCTCTGGGCGTGAACTACATTGTGAAATGGCGAAATGGTTCTGGAAGAAAGGTTCAGTCTCTAAAGCCGCGCGACTCCTCCTCCATTACAACAGTCCAGAAAAGTGGGACCCACATGTAAGTTTGATACAGAGCATAGTGAGTGTTGAAGCAGTGTATTTATTATGCTTCTCCTGTAGGACGCACTATTGATGTCAGATATCTTTTTGGAGAGACCCAGCATTCTCAAGGATGACAGTTGTAGAGCCATTCTCAGATATGCTTTGGAAATTGAGCCTGAAAAGCAAGTACTTTCCACATAAAGAGATTGCAGTGATACTGACATTCTTTAAAAAGGCTTGAAAAAGCATTCTACAACACTGCAACCTACTATGTGAACCGTAAACCTCGTTCTGCACCTGCCTCGGAAGCCTTGTAAGTCTATCGGATGCCCTCATGTTGCTGCATCTCACACTCACAGACTCTTTCTCTCTCTTTAGCCTGAGGCTCCATTCATATGTCATCAGATTATCTATCCAGGCACTTGAACACGGCTCCAAATATTACTACACCACAATGTCTCGCCTGTTCAACTATTACTTTGATAACGAAAAGCTGGTGAAAGATGCCAAAAATGAATCGTAAGTCTCTTCTTTTCTTGTATGAAAATGCAACAGTCTGAAACTTGTTTTTACAGTGGTACCGAGACAAACAAGAGAATCCTCGAATGTGCTGACAAAATCCATGATTTAATGCTCAAGGCGGTCGAGTCTATTCGTCCCTTCCAAGTAAGTAGAGCGAGATAGAGAGAGGGGGCACATTATGTTATGTCTGTTGATACACTGCTGACATTGCGCTACTCTAGTTTATCTTGTTCCTGACCAGATTGACCTCGCATTTGAGCACTGACAACGAAAACGTCGCTACCTGCTTGCAGAATATAATCACGATCTGCTTTGTCAACTATCCTCTCAATACCATTTGGCTCTTGTTGGGTGCTTTGGACTCTGATTCTGCTCTTGTAGCAAAAAGAATGAAGACCATCTTTGATAAGGCCAAGGTAAAACTAACAACCACACACTGGAGGAAACTTAAATACTGACTGTTCTTCCAGGCACAGAGTCCTGATAACTCAATCACTGGAATCATACAAGTAAGCACCTGTATTCACTCAAATTGACTTGTTACTAACACTACTGAATATACAGCAAGCCACTGCCGTCAAAAACGCTTTTCTCGAAATATTGAATACTCCCTCTGATGCTGATATTATTGATTTGAATGACCGTGGCCACCGCAATCCATTTGCCCACCTCCAGGACCTCAGTATCTATCTGCCCAATGAAGCCACAATGGTGCCTACTTTGCCTGGCCATATTAGACAGAACGATAATTCCATCAACCCGTTCCCGAACGCTCTTCCCACTATCAAATGTGAGCGTGAACACACAAAAACATGTCCACACCACAATTTTGCTCATACTTTCTCTACGTTTTTTAGTCTTTGATAGCAAGGTGGCTGTTATGAAATCAATGCAAAGGCCAAAGCGTATCAAGATTACGGGCTCTGATGGTGAGGTCTATAGCTTTTTGTTAAAGAAGGAGGACGATTTGCGCAACGATGCTCGTACTATGGAGTTCTTTTACATGATCAACCATTTCCTCAGAAAAAATGCTCAATCTCGAGACAGCGATCTCTGTAAGTTGTCTGTGATTGCTTGCAGTGACACTCCAGGATGTTAACACTCGAAATTAGACATTCGTACCTTTGCCATCGTGCCACTGGGTAAAAGATGGGGTTTGATTGAGTGGATCGATAACCTCGCCTCGCTAAAGTCCATTGTCAATGGGTATTGGGAGGCTAGTGGTAACTTGTCAGTCAATGTGAGTAATCGCTGTTCCCATGGTGTTGTTGTAGCATTGCTTGAACTAACTCAATGGCGATTGTAGCAAATTGGCCAAAAGATGAGTGCCCAAAAGTTAAGTCTCGGTAGAGAAAAGGCAAAGTATTTCATAGACCATATTCTGCCCATGTAAGTAATCTTCTTTTTTCATTGAAGCATGCTCGTACTGATGGTGTGCCGTCGCTCCATAGATCACCTCCAGTGTTTTATAAGTGGTTTTTGAAACACTTTCCCGAGCCAAACCAGTGGTTAGCAAGCAGAACAAGATATATCAAGACCCTTGCCGTCATGTCTGTCGTTGGCTACATCGTCGGGTAAGCCCATATGCCACATGTCTTTTTGAAATCATGGTCTGCTCACATCTCTCTTTCTACTTGCTTTTAGCCTCGGCGATCGTCATGCCGACAACATCATGTTCGATGTAACCAACGGCGACGCGGTCCATGTGGACCTTAACCTAGTGTTCGGCAAGGGTTCTACTTTACCTACGCCAGAGATTGTGCCTTTCCGTCTTACGCATAACTTGGTTCATGCAATGGGTATCCTGAAGACCAAAGGTCTCTTCACTACTACTTGCGAGACTACGCTTCTTGTCTTGTTACGCAACAAAGACTCCCTGTACAGCGTATTTCAAACATTGTTGAATGAATTGGATGCAACAGAAGCCGCTACCCACAAGCTATCTCTCCGTAGCACTCAAAAAGGTACTGACAAGATCATGGCCTCTTTGACGAACAAATTCAAGATTGAGCAAAACGCTGTGAATGCCAAGATTAAAGAGCTGATACAATCAGCTACGAGCAATGAGAAACTCGGCCAAATGTTTGCAGGTAAATCTCTGTATTTCATATCATCATCAAGCATGGACTAACTCGTTTGTTCTGATTTAGGATGGGCACCCTTTGTTTGAGTTGTTGCAACCATGCCCACTTCTTCGATCGCCCTGGTTCGTTTTTTTTTGATTTTCTTATCTGTCACTTGTCAACATTATAATGTACAGTATCTTTGCTTTCTGTGGTCTCAAGGTCAATTATCATCTCTTTCTCGGCTATTATCTGATCTCATTGTATGCATCCATTCACTTATCATTACACATTTCATCGACTAAGTCAAAGATAATTTCTTTGCCTTTCTCATATATTCAGTCCCTAGACATTTTTACAATCCTGCTAATATGAAAACAGAGTTTCCAGGCATCTGTCTGGCCTGGCTCATATCATAACATAATAAATGTTTAGTCCCTAGGAAAGAAGTTGATCTAGAAAGAATTTTGATATAGTGGCTCTATTAAATATAGAACGCAAGGAAAATAGCGTGGATAACGATAGTGCTATGTAATTTGCCACCTACTAATCATACGCTTCAAAAGCATCTATATATTACTGTATTGCCTTTATGATGAAAAGGGCATTGATGAGCTTGCCAGCCAGCCCCACCAGCCAAAATCAACTCAAACCCAGAGCATTTTATCTGTTCAAGATTGGCCAATTTTTTGCCTTTCTTCGACTTGGTTGAACTCTTTTGTGAGATTCGACTATACAAGTTGTGATGATCACCCTTTGCTTCCTAATACAGCCCCTGGTGGTAGGGCGAAGTGGTAGAAACTCCCGTATGCCAACGGGAGGATCCCCGGTCCAAATCTTGGTGAACGCAAGTTGTTTGATTTTTTGACGTAGTACTGATGTCCTCGTTTGGTGTTTTGTACTCTATCCATTATCTATATTTTGACGATTTCCGCAAGACTGTATTGGCTCTAGGTGTCGCACCTTATTAGTAGTAGATTTCTTTCCCAACTTAATTCAAAAATATCTTATTCCCCTTCATTGCAGACATTGGGTCCACCAACAGTCTTTTCTATCCCTCAGTATGACATTTAAAGGACTTTAAATAAAACCTGGAGATCGACTCCTCTACAAAAAAAAAATGCTTCCTTAAGCTTTCCTGGAGTACTTTTCAAGGCACATCCAATGGTACCTAGTAATATCGATGTTTTAAATAAACTTATTGAGCAATTTATGAAAATACGAAAAGAGGTTCCTGGCCAAAATGTCGAAATTTTACATATAAAAATTCCACAAAGACGATTTCAGAGGTTGCTTTGGATCGATAGAAACATTTTGATTCAGGATATACCACAATAAAAGTTTTCACTATCAAAGTAAAAAATGCGATCGTTTGATTTTCAATGAAAACAATGAGGGGTACCTCATGCTTTTTGGTCGATTTTTGGCCATGTTTTTTTGATCCCCAAAAAGTTGAGCAAAGGTGTCAGAAAGTAACTATCAGATGAGAGCAACCGTTTTAGGCTATTCTGACAATCTAAAACGGCCTTGGACGCTAGAAAACGCAGCTCAAATGTACCCAGATTTTGCTGTATCAGGGACGTTAATGACTAAAAAGTGGAAATACCAGTATGCTGCTTGCCCGTATATGAAGTAACTACGTTTATATGGATGTAAAGCATCACATAAGAATCAGATCCACAGATAATATAAAGGGTTATTATGTGTAGGTGGAGGGTCAAAATGAAAGTAGCAGTATTTTGATAAGATACGCAAGGGCAATCAGTAACATGAGCTGCCGCTGCGCAGGTTGGTTCTCTACCTTCGCTTCGCTTCGGTGAGAACCGTCCACAGCATAAACACTTATATGGTTAATGATTATATATCAATCAACAATCAGGGTTCTTCCAACATTTTAGCTATATTAATTTTGGGATATTAGCCAAAGGCCTGCGGCAGTACGAGCCGTTTGAATGTAGGTTGGTTTCCACCGGAGCGAAGCGTAGGTTAGGAGACCACCCGAAATGTCGAAAGGCTTGTATGATATAATAAGGATGCCATGCTGCACCATACCAGTAATGTCTGATGGAAGTAATATTCGGTATATAGCATTCTGTACAATATGATTAAAAGCACTATAAATATACACAGCTGGAGGCCTATTGACAGAACAAATAATACGCAAAACCAGTTTCGTTCGCTGAAAAGGCAAAAAATATTTTACCCCTGAATTTTGTCCATCTAACCCCTTTTTCCTGATTTGTATGCAAATTCTGTCACTATTGAGAACATAATAGACGAGACAGATTTTAACAAATAAAACAAATTTATTTTTGATATTAGTTTGTATATAATTGAATAGAAGAAGATTATTACACTATGTCTTTTGTAGAATTAAGAAACGACTTTTGGCACTAGATTTGTATCAGAGAACAGTAATTTCATCAGCAGCAGATGCATATTCATCGCCAGTCTCATCAGGCTCTTGAGAACCCTCAACGGAAGCAGCAGCATAACCATCTCTGTAGCCATCATCATATTCATCGTTATCATATTCGTCTTCGTCTTCGTCTTCGTCTTCGTCCTCTTCATCTTCATCTTCCTCATCCTCTTCTTCCTCTTCTTCATCAGGCTCTTCTTCATCTTCTTCTTCACCTTCATCAATGTCCAAGTCTTGATCTACATCTTGGTCTTGATCCAAATTGAGGTCTTGATCTACATCTAGATTTTGATCTACAGTTTGGTCTTGATCATCATCAAATGATGCAGGCTCTCCTGTGGTATCATTAATGGCAGAAGAAAGATCAGCTTCGGTATCTTCAGCAACGGCGGTTTCATCATCGGCAGCAGAGTACACACCAGCTTCTTCTGCACTCAATTCACTAGTATTTGTTTCTCCTTCTTCGTTAAAATCGGGAGCATTAGCAAACGTAGCATCTGCTGTGGAGGCGTACAGATCAGAATCATCAAAGGTAGAGGAGTAAACATCAGTGTCATCTTCAGCAATAAAGCTTTTGTCCGCAACTTCTTGCTCTGTGTGCTTGTTAGAGCCATGGCGTCTTATTAACTTTCTTCTAGATAGTCTCAATGATCGCTTCAAGGGAAGAGTTGATTCAGTACTTGGAATAACTGCATCAGCGACACACGGCACAACTGCATCGGATTGGTCAATAGCGACACAGCCAGGTATGCCGGCAGCCATATTTGCGGTTACATCAGCTGCACCAGGAACGTCAACAGCATAAACAGAGGATGCTAACATGGCTAACGCGGCAATAGAGAAGAGAGATAGAATGTTTAAATGCATTATAAAGTGTATAATTGGATAAGAAAATGATGTATGAACACGGCGAGCAATTCCTTTATATACGAGAAACAGATACATAACAGCTGTCATTGGTTTAACCTTTTAAGATGTTGATAAATGTGTTTGACTCCATTTGATTGTTGTTTTATTTGAAAACTCCTCTTCTACAATATTGCGCTCCTTGATCTTCATCTCAAAGGACCAACAGAACAATTTCTTTTTACAGATGTTCTAAATACCGTTGAATAGAAACAGCCAAGTAAAAAACCTATTGCTAATCTTTCTACTATGCTATGATGTAGTCTAAGTCTACAGATATAAATATAAAACGAACACTAGTGAACACATCTAATCAAAATACTGCGATTTTAGGCACAAAACGCCCATTATTGGAATCAAAAATCAATTAACCACCTTGAGCGAGGATGTCTGATTTCATTAATTAATGTTTTTGAAAGCACCTACTACTTTTCAGTGTAGCATAGGTAGAGTAGCATGGTGTGTGGTAGTGGCATGAACGTGGTGTTGCAAGGAATAGAATGAGGAGGACTATTACAAATCTCCTTTATGCTAATGGAGTACATCACTGTGTTTGAATGAAGAGATGTATTGTCAAGACTTGATGGAAGAGAAAGGGGTAAGATCGTCCTCGACTCCTTGATAGAGCATCATTTTCTATGGCCCAGGAGTTATTTATCTTTTAAAGCATCACAGAGTCATCTGTGGATGGCTATACTCAATGCTCGGAATATATGCATGTTGCTAGCCTCACATAGTGTCACTCACTATGCAAATTGTATAGATGCAATGCATTAGCCCTATAAGCTGTACTGGTCATATTACTACATTATACATTGAGCATTGCAGCTTGATCATCCGTGCGGATTATGAACACAGGTATCTTCAACATTCTTATCCTTCTCTCCCGACACCTATCCTCTGCCATAAATCGATATAGATTTGGAGATGGTATTTATTATATAAAAAGTTGCTGATGAGGTACGGCATGGCATTTCTTTATTGCTCACTCACCGTTTGACATGGTTATAGTATACTACCAAGAGTTGACATTAATGTAAATCAAGCATGCCGAATTTCCACAGGAAAATGTACTCCATATTGACTATTGGGCTACATATGAGGCATAGTGGCTATCAGATAGTCATGAAGCTTTCGATTGACAGTATGAATGAACACAATATATGATATTTGTTAGATGCCGGATATGCTTCAGCTATTTCCATCTCCATCAGTGAAGGTCTTGTATACTATTCATGAATTGAAATAAAAGAACAATGTATTTAAACATTGGCTATGGTAACAATCAATGTTCAATGTGAAATACAGGACATATTATTCGACGCAATATACATTTGGAAATTGAAGTATTTTTCGGACTAGATTACGGCTTTTGCGCACTACTCAATGTCCAAAAATTAGGAACAAAGTGTGTTTTTTTTCCTAATAGAGTCATATGCGTAATAAATCGTACCCTTCTTGATGCGACATGTCAAATTACAGCCAAGCTTTAGCCGCTTCAAAAAGTAAATGCTTTTCTTTCCTATTATATATAGCAGCAAAATATTTCAATACAAATAAAAGACGCTTTTATTTTTTGATATTAGTTTAGCAAGTACAAATGAAGAGATATTTTTTAATGGGACAAAGACTATATCGTATAAATAGATAGGCATGCTTTGGTCAATACAAACAACCAAAATAAAGTAAAATTTAGCGACGACCAGCAGGCTCAGCATCTCCAAGCTCATCAGCTTCCTCTTCGTCGGGTTCAACTTCGTTCTCCTCAGGCTCAATCTCGTTTTCCTCAGGCTCAATCTCATTTTCCTCAGGCTCTTCTTCTTCGGGCTCTTCTTCATCAGGCTCACCAGTGATGGAACGCTTGCGCTTTCCCTTATCATTCTCATCATCTTCGTCTTCATCTTCATCTTCTTCGTCTTCGTTAGCTTTACGGCGAACAAGGTTCTCATTGCTTTCAGCAGCATCACCATCAGGACCACGACTAGTCAGCTCGTCCTCTTCCTCCTCCTCTTCTTCCGGCTCTTCTTCATCAAGCTCTTCCTCATCTTCTCCACCAGCAGCAGCATTGGTATCAGATGCATTATTAGCATTAATATCTGGATTGGCAATATCATCAGTAGTTACGGCTTCTGCACGACGTTGGAACAATCGTCTGGGGGAAAGGTTGAGGGACCTCTTCTTGAGAGCGGTCGCTGCGGGATCAGAACTAGCTGTTACGCAGCCAATGGCGCCTTCCAAGCCATTACCAAGAGCACAATCAACAAGGTCACCAGTGATGTGGCCATCAGTAAGACTATTACCAAGATTACCGTTAGCTACAGCATCGGTTACGCCTTTAGCAGTGTCACCAACACCGCCGTTTCCAACGCCACCAGCAACATCATCAAGGTTTTCACCAACAGGGATTGCACGAACAGAAGCCGACATAAAGACGGTAGCGACTAAACCGAGAGAAAGAATATTGAAACGCATCTTGTATTATTGTAACTATTAGAGAGACTAAATGTTGCTTATGGAGAAAAGAAACTATTTGGCTTTCATATAGACCTCTTTTATATGAAAGAAAAGAGAACGATGACATATTTACATGTAAATACAGAATATTTGTTGTAAATCATTAAAGGGATATTGTTGCTGCATGCGGGATACGCTTTATCAGTACCAACTTTTGTTATGTATATCCATGCATTCAAGTTTTTGTTCATTCAATATTACAACATTCGAAACTTGTAAGGTGGTTCTCCTTATGACATCTTCACTATCGATCAATATGAAAAAGACTATTGTGTCAATTAAGTTAATATTTTTTAGAACATGCCGAGGAAACAGCTGCTTGAACAGCAAAATATTCTGAAAGCTAATCTGTTGGTATTCTTCGCACATGTGCACACAACTAGTTTTCCAGCATACAGGCAAACAAACACATCAGCAGAGCTTCGCTCTATTTTGCTGTTACAGTATTTACACCAATGGAAACATGATCACCAACATGAGGCTAAGGATGATGCTGGTACAACGAGCATGATCTCCTTTTTTCAACTTGGTTACGCTACAGTGTTTTCTATTTATTCCAAACAAGTGTAGATCTCTTTGCTATGTATGTGCTCTGCCCCTGACCCCAAGTAAAACATCTTTTAGGGCTATAGTTATTGGTAGCGGCACGTTAAGTTCCATAATGGTTCGTATACTCTAAATACTCAATTAAATGACTATGGTTTGTTAGAGCAAGTTTTTGAAAATAGACTTACAGTTCCACCCCATTCGACGTTTTCAACGTATTGTAAAAGATAAGGGTGTACGCATTAGTTATGCAAGCTTCTTCCAACATGCAAATGGGCTATATTCATGTTATGATTCGCACATTGGCACAAATGTAAAAAGAAGATCGCCGTTTTTGTTTACAGCGAGTAGAATGGGTCCTTTTTTGCCACATTTCGTCAACTGCATAAGTAAAATAAAAGGGTATTATTCTCGTTTGTGAAGTGCATACTACCAAACTATAAAACTAGACTGATTTAAGCTATTGATATTAAGATAGAAAAATGTTTGTAAGCGTTCTTTATTACAAGCACAATTGACTGCACTTGTATTTAATGGATGGACTAGTATTTAGCATAAAAAGTGCTATCCTTCTTAGTATCCAAAGATCGACAATTAAGCACCAAATGTTTACATGCACCATGCATATAATCTCTATCTAATGGGTTCCATAGGAATCAGCTCGTCTGGGTTCGTATGCTACAGTATCACGCATGTATTACTTAACTTCGATAATATAAAAGATAGATATTCTTTCCCCAAGCCTTGATACTACAGTTGGTTCTGAATTATTAAGCCAGTCATACGTTTTTATTTGGTACCATTGCAGGACTACGTATATTTCTCAGAGACCAGAATCAGGTTTCATGCATTGATTTTCAGGTACCCCTGAGCGGAGAAATAAACTTTTATACACTTTTTGATCCGCCTTGTTGATGGAAGTTTTGTGATTCATCAATCCTCGCTCATCATTGCATGTCTCAAATCATACTGAAAGGTAGATCTTATGCTATTTCTCGAGAAATCATAGCAATTATTTGGTGTTAAAAGTCAAAAATTCTATAGGGAAGATATGTTCAACCAACAATAGTTTTGAAGATTTGCATATGCAATAGATCCACATGCTTATAATATTGGCTCTACCTACAATATTCTAACATACCCCAGTGTTTAAGCACTTGAAAGTAATGTTATATAAATCAAAAAAGGTGGATTTCTTAAAATAGGGCGAAATTGAAATTCTGCAAGCTAGCAGTACTTTAATTTGTTAGAGAGCTACACTCTATCTACATACAACCACACATCCTGTAATTCTGAAACTCTTTGAGAAGTTAGCGTCCACAAAATGAAATTCAAGACAGAGATTTTAGCAGATAGCCTTTCATAGTCAACTGCTGCTGAAGTTATAAATAAGTAAATGTTGCTTGTGGCCTGCGCTGTGACGAATTTCAAAATAACCAGAGAAACAGAACATCTTAATTAAACGATCTAGGTTGTCAATCGCAATCACTTTAAAACAATCAGGCCAGACACTTTATTTGGAAAGGCTTAGTCATTAAATCGACTTAATTAAATTTCGAAATCGAATCATCCTACGCAATGCTCTTTTAAATGACCTAGTTGATCCGATTATCAGGTGTAACTAGAGCTTCCCCACCTTTTTTTCCTCAAGTGTATTTTGTGTATCATTCCCCACTTTATTTAATTCAAGAAGAGCGAGAGAAACAAAACCTTAACCATATTCAATGTAGAGACTATCATGTACAATAGGACATATAAGGATTTTATCGACTAAAATGCCACCGATTACTTTTTATCGTAAAAAGATGAATGGGTCGCACAGCTGCTTTTAACTTCTTGTCAAGCACCGTATGTCACCAACATAAAACAGCATCAACAACAGCTATGCTAACAATGGCTGCAATATCCGCGGACACAAGAGCCATACTTTATTTACAACATCCTTGCTTATATAAATTCAAGAGGTAACATTGAACAGTTACATTGTATATCAACTGTTCCAATGCTATCATATAATGCCATGGGCACAAATTTCGTTCAGGGCCATAGTCCAATCAAGCATTTTTTGGGGAAAAAGTTCGAGCAATGAAGGCCTGGAGACTTTTGCAACACATGTTTAAATGTAGCACAGAATATAAAATGATAAAAAAGGGTTCTCTTACCCCTTCCCTTAAATTAGCCGTATGGGAATATTTGGCTGTTTTGTGTTTATTTCATTGATAATAAAAGCAAGTGTTTTAGATTGTGTGTGTGGAAATCACCTGTGAGAAAATACATGTTTTAAGTGTGTTGTTAGATTTGTTTGAATTCAAAAATAATTTTCAAATAGCTCTCTTGCTTCGTTACCAAACAAAAGAGAGCTGATAGCGTAGTTTAGTCTATCTTCTTTCTGTTGTCGCTGTAAAAAAAAAAAAAAAAAAAAAAAAAAGCAAGAGAGCTGATAAGATTACCAAACTGAATTTATCTCTGTATTCCCATTGGCACAAGAAAAAGGGTTTTCCCAAAAGACCCTTCTTTGTAGTTACCTAGTATTAATAATGGCTAAAAGGGTTACCTTAGACCTGTTTCGTTATTGAAATTGTGATGATAAAACTCGGAATCAACGACGCAGTTTCATAAATTTTGCGTATGAAAATCAGTCTATAGTGTTTGCATGTAAATAATGCTTTCATGTATCACCTTTAACAGCTGTCTTCCTTCACTACACTCCAAAAGTGCAATGATATGTAATGAAAAAAGGGTCTTGTGCGTACTTTACCTATTTAGTGCATCCTTGGAAATAACGTTACTATCGATAATATTGCTCGTACCACTTGATTACCATGGGTAAAGTAGGATTTTACGATATACAATTCGAACAAATGATAGGCCTTATCCGTGTGTGTCTGTATTCCCATCACTTACACCCCCATTGATTACGAACAAGGTGACATTTATATCAAACGTAACTCAAAACATCTAAAAGCATATAAAACTGATTAATTTTTTGCTCGACTCTGGTTTCTCTTCTTCTCTCTTTTCCTATAGATCTCACAGCTACACCTTACAACCACTCTCCCTCCATCTAATGTACTCTTCCACATCCAGCCGTCATCCACATATTTATACTGCAAGCCACATGTCTAGTCTCAATGTGAATAGTGTGTCTGCTAGTGATCCTTACCATTGGGATCAGCCAATGCATGGTAAACTGTAAAGATTTATGCCCAAACGTATGGTCATCTCATCCCGTAATTTCCAGTAGCCCACAATCAAGACCGAATGACCCTTAGTGACCATTCAGATGAATCTCCCTGGTATTCAGGTATGTGAATTCACACACAACTCTAAATATTACCAGCTTTTTACTGACGTGGGTCCCATATAGATGCCGTACTTTGCCAACCAGAACAATCAAAAAGATTGCACAATAACAATCAAATCAGCATAGATCAGTCCAATAATAGCATCAGCCATAAATCACTGAATTCTCATCAGCCATCTCTTGTTTATTCCTCCCTTCATCACAGTGCGGGTCCCAGAGCTGTAATTCCATCTAAAAGAGCGGCTCAGAACAGAGCTGCTCAGCGTGCGTTCCGTCAACGCAAAGAGCGCTATGTTAAAGATTTAGAGAGGAAGGCCAAGCTTATGGATGAATGGAAAGCTGAAATGGACCTGTTGCGCCAGCAAAATAAAGAGTTAAGAGAGTGCAACATGAATCTAGAAAAGCAAATTCACCAACAACAGCAACAATCACCCTCTACTGTGAACCAAACAAAGCTGATTTCACCTATTCATTCACCCAATCTATCAGCTGAGGTCGTTCCTGCTCCCGTTGTCGTAGTTATGGACCAGCCTACCCTCAATTCAACGAGAAGAAGAATTAAGCAAGAGCCACTCACCACACAAGACAAGTATCAAACCTCATTTGTGCCTGTAAATCTTCGTGCTCCAGATCAAACCAGCTTCATTGGCTCGCCTACTACCTCTTGCTCCTCATCTTCCTCATCTTCCTCAATAAATGGGTTGGAAGACATGTCATTGCAAGCACCAACACTGTACCATTCAAGTCAAATCCCTTGGACAACACCTGCTCCCAATGATTTTGACCATCGCTACGATGCAAATCTACATTTTATGTCTGGTGAACAAGCCTTGGATGATCTTTTTGTTATTTTACAAACACGTCAGAGACCTGAAATCTCACACAACTATGCCAACAACAGCCCCACCACCATAAGCTATGCAATGAATGAACAAAGATTGCCGACGCAGGAACATGACCAGAACGATAGCACGATGTTGGCAACAAGTTATTAATGAGACACACATACAACTGCCCTCAAGAAGGTTGCGTGTGTGCGAATATTCCACAACGTTACTCGAGATTGGAAACCCTTGATTCTTACTTGATCACTTTGACCCTTAATTCGTATGGTGTCACTTTCGCTTTTATGTATTCCCCCCCCCCTCCCCTCCCCTTCACTTTTTACATAGTATATACCATTTCTTCTCTTCTTTTTGCCCTCATTTATGTATGTATCCATTATAATTTATTCTTTTTATCATTTACAAAACAAATATTCCTATAAATAAATCTAGTACCTTTAGAATTTCAGTAAGATCAATGCTTGTTGTAACAATGTCTATTTTGGCTGGCTTGAGATAAGATTGGATTATTACCATTACACGCCCACACACAGATACTGGTACCCTGAACATTACAGGGTCGAATAAGGGGTTTCTCTTTTATTACGCATCTCTCCCAATTAACAGTGCTTGTTTTAAACGAGTTACACCTAACTGTAATGTCTTGGTATCGTAATGTGCAAAAGATAGACGAACATAGTAATCATCCTCGTTTCTCTTGGTTACAGTGAACAGGGTTCCGAGGCCTACACCAACGTCAATATTGTGTTGTCGTGTGATCTCCATCAACTGACTTCCTGGAATTGGAACCCTTAACCACACAAAGTAACCTCCTTTTGGTCGAATGTCGATAGAGCAGCCCAAAGGCACTAATTCCTTTTGAATGGGTTCGTATAAACCATGGTAGAGCCTGTCAGCGTGTGTCTTTTTGAGAAACTCAATATGGTAGTGAAGAGAGCCATCTATAAGCATTTCGTTGATGATTTGGCTTGCTACGTATACAGGTGTTAAATGTTTACATAATAGCAAATAAAAGGGTGTTCATGCAACAACTTACAAAGATAGGATGGGGAACCACCTGATATAAATGAACCACTATCAGAACAACAAAGAGAATTGCCTGTTGTGAGTAAAACCCTGCAATACAATCGAACCCTTTTTCGATCACTCACCATGCTCCAACTTGCTTTATAATGGTTTCACCAGCTTCGATCCAGCCAGCTCTTGCACCAGGTGCGAGCAGCTTAGAAAAAGAACCATTACTGACTACAACATGCTTATCTCCTCCATTGCTTGTGCTTTCCAAATCATAAGCTACTAGTCTCTTTGGTATTTCGCCTTCAAAAGTGAGGATGTCATAGACATCATCGCAGATAATCAGCATGTTGTACTTTTTTGCTAGTTGCACCAATCTTGCTCTCTTCTCATTAGATAAGATAGACCCTGTTGGATTCGCGTGTGTAGGTACGCAATACAAAATAGAATCAAAGATCATGCTCTCTTCTCTATCAATACTGCCGCGATGGTGATGCTCGATCAGGTAAGCTTCCAATCTATCTACATTGATGCCTGAGTCATTCTCCTCTGGGATACCGACAAATTGATCTCTTGTAAAGCCAACATTCAAAAACACATTGAAAGCTAAAAAGTAAGTTGGATCTTGAAAATATACCTGGCGAGTCGTTGTTTGTGGGCGAGTCAATATAGTCAGCAAATGCTGTAATGAGAGTGATGCTCCGGGCGTTGCGCATAAATGACGGCTAGGAACAAATCAGGTTATCCATGCATTTTATCTCTTTCCTTCTACTAATACCTTGATACAGCTGACTTGTACTCGTTCGAGAGGAACTCGGCTAGATTCTTTAGAAATCCTGGATGCCCCAATTCATCGCCATACTATAGTGCATAAAAGTATTACAAAGTTTATTGCCATCTGTGAGATGTGCTTTTCCAAGATAAATGATCAAAATTACTTGTAACACGTCGTTTGCTGCGTGGGGTGCAGTAAAGGCTTTCTGTGCTGCATTTGCAAATAAATCAGTTGGCAATATATCAGCAGAAGGCTGCCCATTCATGAAATTGATGCTCATAATCGATATTTTGGTGAAGAAAGATGGATCGAGCGAGTGGAGAAAGGAAGAAGATGACTAATGCTATTCATGGGAAATTTGGCTGGTTCCATAAATCAGGGACCCTGAGTATGAATATGTAAATGAGTACCACAATGTCTGTTTGATGTAGTTTGCCAACAGATTATAGTCAGGCTCTTGCAATGTAGCCTGGAAGTAGGTGTAAATGAGTGACCTGTTGATATAGATGTTTGTAAATCGATGCTTTCAAGCTTCAAGCTTGAGATCTAGATAGGTCTCGTTATTTTATTACATAATTTAACATCCAAATGGGCATCAAGGATACTTAATGTCCAAGCGTAATAGCGGACAGCCTGTACGGAATATCCGGTATGGATCAGACTTTTTAATAGGGACAACCAATGAATTTGAGCCACTATAACAGGGATAGATGAGCTACCTTAATAATATAGCCAGCAATTAGTTTGGAATACCAAGTTATAGATCATCTTGTTTTTTAAACTACTAAATCATACATTGCACTGTGATTTGAGCTGCTTAATGATTTGAGTAGTCTAATGCTTTAATATGTACAATATAAGACAGATAAGGCATTAAACAACGCCTCCGTACGTATATACATATGGGCATTTCTTCAGTCTTTTGTGAGGAAGTCCTTTTCTTTCTGACGTCAGGGGCAATGTTTCAAATTTTAGAATAGGATCCACCTTTCGAATATCTTATACGAAGTATATAGTATCCATTTTTGGAAAAATCAATGTGGAAGTTGTTTTCCTGTGCATCTTTCATAATAAAGACTTTACGAATTCACTATTGACGTTGTTAGGAATGTCATCGAGCCTTGCGATGACCTTATAGAGACGAATATGCATTGTTGAAGTTAGATGTCATTTCTAAAGTAAGAAAAGAGTTGATTGCTTGAATCCTATTAGTTGTCCCTAGTTGCATTACTTGAATTCATTGCACCATAAGAGCATAAAACTATGTTTAAACAAACAAACAAACAGACTTTTTTTCACTAGAAGTTTCTGATAATTACTGCTGTAATTTCCGTGTCTTCTTGTCATGTGCAGAGATATAGTTTAGTAGACTCAAATCATCATTATATATGCTGGGGAAACAGGGATGTGATTTATGCCGTATTTATTAAAGCCCTAAAGCAAAGAAATACAACCAAATTGGACAGCTTTTAGGCCTTCATATCTTGACATGTGGATCCTTCTGAGCCACTAGAATAACGCCAAACTATTGTACTCGCGCAGCAGTAACTTCCTAACACCTTTGCTCAACTTTTTGGGCCAAAAAAAAAACGGCCAAAAAAACGATCAAAAAGCATGAGGGGTACCTTATGGTTTTCATCGAATTTCAAACGATTGCATTTTTCATCTTGAAAATGAAGACTTTTACTATGGTATATATCATATCAAAACGTTTCTCTCAATCCAAAGCAACTTCTGAAACCACGTTTATGAGGTTTTCCTATGCAGGATTTTGACATTTTGGCCAAAAATCTTATTTCATATTTTCTAAAATTACTCAATAAGTTCAGTCAAAGCACTTATTACAATTAGCACCATTGAAAGCGCATGGTAAAATACTCCAAGAATGTATTAGGAAGCATCGTATGGTCATCACAATTTGTATAGTCGAATATTACAAAATAAATTAAAGAAGTCGACAAAGGACAAAATCTGTCCAATCTTGAGCAAAAAAAAGATGAGTTTAAATCGATTTTAGCAGGTGATGCTACTGTTGGTTGACCTAAATGCCTTTCTGATGATGACAATGATAATTGTGAAACTGATTGTGATGCTGGTCAAATAGGGATCATAAATTTGAAAGGACAATTACTTAGCTTGAATATTTTTTTCCTCCCTTTTGTTGGGGGTTTTTCCCTATAAAGGTGTCTTTTGCAATGACAATTTTACTATTAGAAAAATTGACACGAACGGAGAATGTACTGTATGCTGCATAAAACCTGAGTTCTCTTTCACATCGCCTCAATGATAGCTTCCGTGGATACCAGTGTAGAAGCAAAGGAGGACCTAAGGTGGAGGGGGAGTGCCACCCCTGACTCTGATATGACTTTCCTTTTATTATTTGATTATTTAAAATATATGTGATATACTAATTTTAAATGTCTTTGTTGGCGACAGCCCGCAGGGCGAGGCCATCATCGAGCATAGCGAGACCGATCGATTAGTAAATGTATACAAAAGAGTAGACATGGAATAAAAGATGATGTCTATTGTTTTGTAAATTGAATTCATCTTTATACTACCAACTGACACAAAGATTGTGGGTGCCTAATAATGCTTTTGAATACACAAATTATTGGCGCACATTTGGAAAATAAAATGGCACACATTTGAGAAAAAATTTGGCGCATAAAAAGGTTTAATATTGTCGTATTTGAGGGCTTCTTTACTTTTACATTAATTTTGAATATGAATGATTTTGTACATGAAGACGGCCAGGGAAACCTTTTTAACGACAAAGGCATGGCTGTTGCAGTCGTGGAAATGGAAGTAGATGAAGAGATGTATCCCATTGAAACGGTGACAAATTTTGGGATGTACCAGGAGCTCAAACCACCTGAAAAGCCCGAGAAAAACAATGAAAAGAAAGAAGACAGAGGAGATGTCAAGCTAGAGAACAATACGACAACCCGTATCTACAAAAGTTACAAGGAAGTAGAGAAGGAGCAACTGTTTGCTTTGGTCTATGAAAAAGGCATGAGTGCTAGAGAAGCAGCCCTGTAACTTCATATCACTCCACGCACAGCACAAAGATGGATAGCGAACAATCAGCGAGATCCTCAAACGTATACCGCAAAAAAAGAGGGTAGTGGAAGACCAGTCGGTAGACCAGCAATTATGGATGATCGTCATAAAACACATTTGGTCGACTTAATCGACGAAGAGCCTGCATTAGTGTTGGATCAGATGATGGATAGCCTAACAGCCGAGTTCATTGACCTCGAGATATCAAAAACAGCACTGTACAATTTCGTTAACAAAGAATGCAAGATCAGTCTGAAGAGAGCTCACTTCCATTCGGTTGAACGCAACTGCTTGGAAAAGATCACAGCAAGAAAGGAATGGGTAGAAAAATGGATGGCCACCGACATGGACTACATGAGCAACTGCGTATTCATCGACGAAGCAGCATTTCATATCAACATGAAGCGATCTATTGCATGGTCAAAAGTGGGAACTCGCGCCGTTGTCAAAATACCAAAGACTAGGGCAAAAACAACAACAATCTTGGGTGCAACCTGTGCTTTTGGTGTTGTCAACATTAAAGTAAGACGCCCTCGAGTAATGCCCACTTCCAAGAAAAGAAAAACCGTTGGATCGAGCGGACAAGCTCAAACACAGAGCAAAGGCACCGTTACAGGTCATTACTTTAACTTTATAAGCGACACCATGGACGAAATGGACAAGCACCCAGAGATTTTCAAGGACAACTACTTGATCATGGATAATGCTCCAATCCACACAAATGATGATATCAAGCTTCTTATTGAAAGTCGTGGCTACAGATGCGTCTATCTTCCTCCTTACTCGCCAGAGCTTAACCCTATTGAGCAATTCTGGTCTATTTGTAAGAGTAAGCTCAAACGAGAGAAGCTGTTGAAGGAAGAGACACTCACATCTAGAATCGGAGATGCATGCAATCAAGTGCTTATTAGTGATCTTAAAGGATTTTGTAAATACTCCTGTGATAGATTCGATGATTGCTTGAAAGGAATGCCTGTCTAGAAATAAAGATTATTTGTCGCATGTGTCGCATTCAATTTTTGTGCCAAATTTTAATCCATCTATGCGCCAGTTTTTTATCCAAATGTGTGCCAGTGAAAATAGTGTATTTTCCTTGTTATGGAGGGCCTCTGTATTTCTCGGGTTGATTCGGACTAGCAAACATCTCATACTCCTTTTTCAACACCATAGATCTCTTTGCCTCCTCGTGGTAAGATCTACTCCATCAACGAGGGTAACTACAGATACTTTGACGAGCCCAGCAAGAAATATGTCGATCAAGTCAAGCAAAAATACAGCGCTCGTTATGTTGGTTCCATGGTATCCGATATCCACCGAACATTGTTGTATGGTAAGTTACACACACGCGCATCAAAAACATGCGAAAGCACAAGCTAACTCCCCCTTCATGTGTGTAGGTGGTATCTTTGGTTACCCTACTGACTCAAAGTCAAAGAAAGGAAAGCTTAAAATCTTGTATGAAGTGTTCCCTATGGCCTTCTTGATTGAACAAGCTGGCGGTAAGGCGACAACTGGTACTATGGATTGTTTGGACTTGGTACCTGAACATATCCACGATCGTTCTGGTATTTGGCTCGGTTCCAAGGAGGACGTTGAGAATTTGGAGGCTTGCTATAAGGCTTAAATTTGTAAAATATATAAGACTTGAAAATTGTAGTAACAATAAAAAAAATGGGGGTTTCTTCATTATGCTGTAATTACCACAAAGGCGTTTTTGTTGTGCATTCGCAGTGTTCCTCTTGGTTTGATTTTCATTCTACTGGAGTGATGTTTGACTAAAGACCATCACGAAAGAGAAGGTAAATGTTAAAAGCAGGATGTCTGCATGGCCATCCAAATGAAATAAATATTTTTGATCAACTTGCTTTAGAAGATAGTGCTCACAATTCATGCTGATGTGTTGTCTGGTAGAAAACTCGCTGCTCTTCCCAGATGGATTTGTACAGATTTGAAAAGTGATGTAGTAGCAAAAGAGAAAGAAAGAGTCAGCTCCAAATCATTTCGCAACCTCATCATCAAAGCAATAAAAAACAAAGCGATCCCTCCTATACCAAACTTCCCTGATGGGCGCCAGAGTCATGGCATTATGGAGGACCGCTGCGTCTCAGCTACATCCACCTGATTCATGGTTGGAACTTCCTGGATCACAGCAGAGTCAACACTCCTTCCTTGCAGACGAAGAGGTGGCCTCAGCGATCATAATGTAACCCTGCTGCTCGTATAAAATGCTTAAAAGTACGTTGGCGCTTCTCACGTACTCTGGAAGATTCATTGTAGACAGTCTGAGGCTTTTCAAAACGAGCTACAACGAGCTACAACGATCTATAACGATCTACAACGATTTAAAGAGAGCTATAACGAGCTACCACGATCTACCAAGAGCTACAACGATTTAAAACGAGCTAAAATTCAAATACTTGTCAATTGTAGCTCATTAACTAGCAGCTATGCTATGCTATGAAGTGTTTGTATTGCTACAGATTCTAGAGTGTGTTCAATTTATTTTGTGAATCGTCGTCGCTGCTCTACTGTAGCTTTGTTATCAAATGATGATCTGCAATTAACATATATCTAAATTTGAGAGAAGAGAGAATTACTCAATGTCCGTTGGCAGCTTGTTCTTGAGCGAGTTTTCTGGAAGCACTGTAGTCAGTCCTTGCTCTTCATTTTCCATAATCTCGTACACCAGCTTTTGCTTCTGTAACTCCATTTCCAAATAGCACAGGATCTCGAAAATTTTGGGCCATCGATTTCTTTCGCCATAAATGGTAGGCACCTGAGCAGATCGGATTTCTTTGTATTCATACTTGCCGTCGAATAGGAAGCGAACTTCAGACAGAATGACGGTGGAATTGACGCTCTGGATTCCATAGACTTTGGTATTGATAAAGCTTTGCACGTCAGAATTGAGGTGGTGGCCTGCGATTCGCTTCATCATGCTGATTAACGTGCTAATCTGCTTGGTAGCGTCGTCAATAACCTTGTCACTAGATGCATTTGATAATCCAGATGATCCCTCCAATGCCACTCTTTCGAATCCCCAATGATCGTAGCCCATTCCGTCGACAAGCTTATCCTCGTCAATTGATAGCGTTGGGATTTCACACCAATTCATTTGTAAGAGACCCGTCTGATTTGAAAAGTTTCAAAGATAGGCACAATATAACGTACCCAAAACGTTCGTTCGTAATCCCTTTTGCTGGTCGAGGAAGGCGGTACAGCAGACGTGCATGTGTCTACAAAACGAGTAAACATGAACTTGGCGGCGCGTTCTGCTGGGATCTCTGCTCTGCTTGGGCCAATTTTGCTGGAGAACACCTGTACACTGTTGATGTTGCTGCGCTTGCTGAGGATGATAGTGGTGGCATCTGTTTGCTTTGTGTGCTTGGCGACATGTGTTCTGAAGTCTTCAGTGTCTCCAAAGTGACTCAAGCATGATGGGCACGCGAATCTCTCTGGGATCTGGCTGTTTGTTGACTTTACAAAGACAAAGTCCTTTGTATCTCTATGGCGCTGTCCTCGTTTCATGGCTGGTACTTCAATCTCGTGCTCAGTCAGCAGATGCAATCGTAGATTGCGACCCTCAGACTTTACTTCATTGCATTGGTAACAAGCGTAAATGAGCCTGACAACTTGCGGAGTAGCCGACATCTGAGCGCAATCTACGATATGCCGAAAGTATCTGAAATAAGTTTAATTTTTTAAAAAATGGAAATTCCCTACATACCGTACCGTCACTACAAATTGAAACGCGAACGGTTGAATGCCAGTAAATGCTTGCAAGCATGATCTTGATGCGATTCACTTACCGAGGAGGTACTGCTCCAAAGACCAGGAGCGCAACCGTGTTTATCACGGGGAGCTTGAGAGGAGGGACATCAATTTCCTTGAAAGCATTGTCATCCAAGCCAAAAAGCACTTGGTGACAGGCACGTATACAATGTTTCGAGCATTGGTACCGTTCAACTTGTACGATAAGCAACACTTGTCAAGGAATCAGTCAGGCAGAACCAGTCGCAATTATAGATAGTTAATTTGCTTGGCAGAAATGTAAATTTAAAGCAATTTTGCTATAAAATCGATACAAACAGTGATTATATGGATATTGGTGTATTTTTAATGCTCGGCTGTATTGTTTTTATGACTTGAAACTACTTGAAGACGAAACCCAATATTTAGCGTTGTGCAGGAAGTAATTTTGGATGGTGCAAATAGCATAACCTTTTTTTCTCAACACAAGGCCCTGTAAAAGATTGTCTTGTGACAAGTCAATACACATTATGGCTTGACGCTTTTGTCAATGGTGTCCTTTGGAAAGCGATATATAATATACACAAATGAAAGCGTATCAGCCTTCTGGTCTACGTACTGTTGCCTTATGTGAAATTGGCCAATTTGCATCCCTATTTCGATCTGTTTGCCACACTTCTAAGTTGGGTTTGATAACAAATGACAGGCATTATGCTGTCTGCCCGTATTTGAAGCATTTACAGAAGCTAATTGTCAACCAATGCCATGTCGTTCAATTGCCCAAAATACTTAAACCGCTCCATGTTTACATCATAATAACTTCCAACGATTCACTAGTAGATGAGCAAGTCGAGCGATATTATTTTATATTATGACGAGAAGCCTTCAATTTTATTGTGATTTACTATTTGAAAATGCAATCATGTTCACCATTAGTTTCTCACAGAAATAGTGGTAGGGGTGATATTTCGCATCGTGCACAATCGAGATCTCTTCAATTACATTTGCACCTTTCACTACGGCCGAACTTAGGAGTTCATGGGCTCCTTGACAAGATCAAATGAGCCCAAGCAGCTCATTTGAGCTGGTGAAAGAGATCATTCGAGCGTTTTTTTAGTTGAGTATATGAATGTATGTATATTCTTATGAAATTGAAGGTATAAACTAACGCATTCATCACAAACAGTTAAATTTGATTCTGAAATGAAAAGGTGCAAAATTGATTGAGATATAGCGATTTGAAATTAGCGCATAGAATACTGGAAAGCTCCCAAGCTTGTTTATGAGATCAAATGAGCAGCCACTGTTCCAGAATTATTAAAAACCATGAGTGCCGTCTTTTTATTCCTGATGGGATCGCAAAATGTGGTTATTGAAAGCGAATCCGTCGTAAGTGTCTCCTTGTGGATGGAAAATGACCATTTCAATGCGCAATATAATAGATGGTTTTGCAGTACGTATGTAGTACATTGGTTCATTATTGGATCGTTTATTTATAATACATAAAAAGCAAGCTAATAAAGCTTTATAATCTACAAATTAGCTGTATTTCACAGGTGTCCTTAACATCTTCCCCTCCTGGCGTGATCACTGAAAACTGGTTATCGTTGTTCAGGCGCTGAACCAAGCAAAATTGGTTTCAGATTCAAAATCTATAGATTGTAAACGACATAAATACTAGCGAATTTGAATACTCACTCTCCATCTTATAATTTGTATTGAAGTGAAGAGTTTAAGTAGAAGTTTCAAGCCATGCGAAAGCAGCTTAGTACGCTCTAAGGAAAAATTTACCCTTCCTACATGGCTTGCCATAAAAAATGAGCATATTATTAAGTTAACTTACATATAATAGTATAAATGATTGCCATAGTTTCATTAAAACATCGGTTCATAATGACTCGCTTGCTGTAGAGCATAAACTTAGTATAAATAGAATAACTCTTGTCTTCATCAATGAATCTTTAGTTTTTGTGTCTGATCTTATTCAAATAAGTCTTTTCTGGGTTTTATAATATCGAACATTTTTGATAAGCGACAAATAATAATCCTTTTATTCTTTGTGCTTAACATTATTAGTATAACTGCCAATTCAACCAGGCCTCTTTTTTTTACATTAACTAAACTTTGCTTCTTGTGTTTGCTCTACAAAATGAAACCATAATTGGATACCTACTACGATGCTTTCTACCATGGCAAAAATACGGTACGTCCTTCTTCAATAACAATTGCGTTTGAGCGATCAGTTTTGGATAATTTGCCTTTACGGCAGTGTACGGTAGCTCCTTGAGTAATCCATTTTAACCCGATCTCACTGCAGTATGTTGATGCAGACTCTTTTATGACAGGACTTGTAGGTAGTATCATCATAAATCTTTGTTGTTTAGTCAATTTCAATGCATTGTGCTGACACTGACTCAGCGTGCACAGTATCAGCCATTTCTCCTTAATAATTATGAGTGTCCAACATTGTGGATAGACTTTAAATCTAGTTCATGGCTAGACATAACATCCCTATTGCGGACGACCATCAAAAGTTTACTGCTGACCTAACGAGCAACTTGTTCAAACCGAGCAAGTGGTTAGATTCAAAGTTGTATAATATTATTGACGCTCAAGTCTTTAAATTACTGTAATAGCGCATTTCAAAAAGAAAGATTTATGTCTCAGAATTACAATAAAAGCATCTTTCACTTAAGACTTGAGCTTCTACAATGCTGAATATTTGGAGCGTTAAGTAGAAATGAAATTTACTTACTCGTTTGTCAATACGATCTACAACGCCTTACTTGGAGGTCAGATTCTGTCCAAATCTAACCATTTTCAACCACAAATAACTCGTGCCACAAAGCGTTTTATGCGCTTGGAGTAACACCAAACGGCTCCCCTTGGTTGCGCTTTACTTACTGATGCTTTATCTCAAATTTTTTTAGGTCACTGCAAATCCATGAAAATCTTTATTTTTTCATGAGTACTAGCAAGGGAAAATTCTTGAAAATCAAACGATCGCGTTTTTCACTCCAAAAATGAAGACTTTTTCTATGGCACATATGAGATCAAATTGATTGTAGATTTGAACTGCAACATTGGCGACTACGTTTATGAGACTTTCATATGCTAAATCTTGACATTTTTGCGGAAAACCTATATTCATATCTTTGAAGATTGCTCATTATTTTCAGTCTGAGATCTCAACGCAACCAACATCATTCGATGCGCTTAATTGACTCTGCAGTAAAAAGGGGGTTAAAAAAGCAGGTAGAATACTGTTAAAATCCTTCTTTATTTGAAATTAGGATAATGTGCAATAAAATGTATATTCTACGTCTCTATTTATATTATTTGGTTTATATCTCTTATCTGGCAGCAGTTTAGTAGTTGCCAGTGATTCCATTACTTTATATATTTTTGTTGGGTCATTTAGTTGTTGATCTGATGGATCAGGAACGGTATTTCAATATATGGTTTTTGAATCATGCGTAAAGAATAGCTCTTTATTGTTGAGCCTGTATCCTTTTTAGGTATATTTATGTTACAACACATTACAATACCCTTGACATTTACTTTAGTATCTGTCATCTCTTATTTTAGAGCATTTAACCCTTGCTATCATCATGCTAATACTATTATTATGCATGCCTATCTGCTGATGGTAGCATGGTTTGATTGAGATGACATTTATTTTGGGTTTTGTTTATGATGGGAATCTAGTCTAGTTCACTTCAGACTCTTTATAGACGCATTAGAAAGTAAAGACTGACAACGACAATTTCTATAGTCGAATTTGACAAAAACGTTTAGAAAATGTAAAATTAAGTCAAGTTGAAATACGAAAATGGCCACTGTACAAATCCATGTTCAAGTGCCGCAACCGCAATTGCCTCGGCAGAAGGCTGAGGTCAAGTCTACTGACGGTGACGTCGGATAAGGCGCTGCCCTTCTATTTTTTTTCTCCGTTTCCTCCGTTTGCAAAACGCGTTTAGTATCAAACCATAATATTTTCTTTAAAAGCGTTTTGATTGAAGATAGCACTCTTGCTTCTGATAACACTGTCGTGTACTGCTAAAAGAGCCTGACATTACCGCTCTGACGTGTAATATAGAAGGTATTATTTGATTATGTGCACTGGAAGGTGTAGAACTAACATTAAACGTATATATTTATTAAACTTTAATATTTCTTTTGCCTGTTTTACGTGGATGCTGCTGCTGGTAATCTGGTCTTTCCTGGTCTACTGTCTTTATTGTATGGTTGTTCTATGGTCTATCTGTGGTCTATCTGTGGTTTATATCTGGTCTATCTCTGGTGATTGCCTATTTTCTGGTCCATTTACGGTAGTGGTAAGTGGTAAGTATCTTTTTTCTTCTGGTAGCGATGATATAAACTTTCTTTGAACGTTTGTACTATTGCTTCCTTCCTCATGATGATGCATTCATGATGTTTTCTTTGTTGCTTCTTTCTTTTTCTTTTGTTGATTGTGTTGCCTCTATGGCTTCACATGAAACAACATCTTAGTCATTATGTTCTATTGCAAACTTATAATACCATTGTTGCTTTTGCAGTTGTGCGTGTTTGTGTTGCTCTATATCTGGCTATTACCATGTATGTTGCTCATATATGCATTTTTGTTGCAACAACAGTGAGCTGTTCTGAACGTCTCTAATGTTGTATTTCTTATGCTTTTCTTTGACTCACTTTGTGTGAGTATCCCTTTTTTGCCTATGTACTACTACTATATTCTTGTAGTAGTATGTTCTCTTCTTCTTTCTTTTATTCTTATTATGTTTCTTTGAAGCATACCTTTTTTACGTTGTGTGGATGTGCCTATCCCTGAAGCTCAACAAGATCTTATCCGAGGCTAGGAGGTGGATAGGCTGCCTCCACTTAGTTATCACTACTTACTTTGGTGATGATTGAGGGTCTCAACGCCAGAACTTAAAGCTAGGTGGTGTAAGTAAGGCATGCTCTAGCATCTGGGGGAAGTTTGATGATAGCAGCGGCTATATTGCTATTATAGCGGAGCTTAAAATTTTGCCTCACATCAAAACAGGGGGAAACCCTCGCAAAATTTTTTTAGGTCAGCGGAGTTTTCAAGCAATTTGATTGGCTGAAAGATTCAGGGATCGAAGGATTCTAGCTAATTGATCTCCTATTGAGCTGTCATCTATAATGAGTTTATATTTGTAATAAAAAGGTAGCAAAGTATGTTGTTGTTTAGGATATAGATCATCTCTGAGAGACAAATGTATTAGGCGTTGTATATTACATAAGAGGATTTGAGAATGAGCTGAGATGCATAGTAGAAGTGAGAGGTCTTTATTCAAGCAGCACGAAGGAACATGAGTGGTGCCATCAAATGGCTAATCTATATCCTGGTTCCTGGAGAGTGGTAGCCTATGACCTTTCGTCTCTGGAAGTGGGTTTCAATTCCGACAAATGTTCTTCCGTCAAAGCTATTAGGAAGAACATTCTATCCTGGATCGTCTTTGTTGTTTATCCTTGACTGGTGGTTCATGAGTTCTTATACAGCACATCCTCGTTAACTGGTTCAAGGCTTATACAATTATCCCGCATTCAAGCTCAAAGTCCTATTGCTGCGGCACTGTCAAATAACTATAAATAACTTTGATATCTACACTAGTTTGATCCCTATTCAATCTTGGAATAACATAATAAATATATTCAGTTCTAATTGTATTTACTCTGTCTATATTTCGTTATTCTAAACAGTTGTAAATGTCTGAAAGTACGTGAGAATGGATATAAGTTTATCTCAGAAAAATCAGATAGAGAGAGAAGGGAAGGGTGAATGTCTACTGCTATTTATATGTATGATATATGGATTGCTTACACACTAGTCTAGAATGTTGTTCTCATGCTACGTTTTAGTGTCAATCTTCACTTATGCTAAATGGTAATTATTTCTGTGGAATTTGAGGCTTTATAGACTAAAATTCACGGAAAGAAAGAATAAAAAAACAGTAAAGTCAACTTGATAAAGGTATGTTTTATTATCAAACTGACAGACGTAAAGTAAACTGAAGTCTCTCTACTGGCCAGGTAGATGATCCTTCTTATATACTATAACAATGGATAAAAGTTCTATTAATTAGATTGACAAATAAGTCAACTCAGATCAACTAATGTCTAATCATGCTAAAAGACAACTCCAGCAAGCTAATCATGATTTAGCTTTGCCTGGATGAATAATTAGACTCCCATCCAAAGTACCCTGATCTATCCTTTCTATAACGATAATTAATATCAATCTAATAGCATGTATCCGATAGGTACAGTATCCTTAGTCTTTACCAATAGTACATATCTGATTGTATATCGCTGAGCATACATCTCTTTAGCATGTACCTGGATATATGGCATGTCTATAGCATATCGTATGCATGTCTATAGCATGTCTCATATACAGTACAAGCCTGTAGTACATAAAGTATCTGTAGCTAGTATCACGGATATAAGCATGTGTCTTATAGCGTGGATCATAAAGTGCACATCTGAAGCAACAAGCTCATAGTGCATTAATCTTGGTGCTTATCCAGATATGGTAAACATCCGTAGTCAATATCGGAATACAAGTATAAGTCTATAGCGCCATCCATGTCCGTGGTGCCATCTATAGCCTATATCTTATATAGTATGAATCTTATAGTACTAGCGTATCTGAAGTCCATATCTTCTTATAATATAAATCGATATCGTACATCTAATCCAGTGTACATGCAGTTTATATCTAAATCTGGTAACTGGATGAACTGTCGGAATGCAGATCATAGTGGATGTATTCCACACCATAGATAATATGAAGGGTCTTCATGTGTAAGTAGAAGGTCCGCATGAAAGTATTCGTATTTTGATAAGATACGCAAGGGTAATTGATAGTGTGAGCTGCCGCTGCATAGGTTAGTTCTCACCAAAGCAAAGCGACGGTAGAGAGTCATTCGAAGCGTAGACATACTCGTTTAGCTTAAAAAAAAGCTGTATAACATCTTATCCAAGACATTTATTGTATATGTATAAAATAGCGCCATGATAGCTTCTCAAACTATCATCTATCCGTAATTATATACGTCAACAACCAACAGTAACTGAGCCATAGATGATTTTCATAAGTAATTTAAAACTGTGTATGCCATCTTTAAAAACATTATCATGCCAACACGCTTCATCAGAATAGCTCTTTCATTTGAGGGCAACAGATTAAAGGTGCAGTGATTCTGATAGGCTTCCTTTATGCACACATCACTTCAAAATGACAAAACCTTTATCCCTGGATTCACGTTTGTAATTCTCCTTGAGCAACATTCGCATAATATTATAAATCATTTCTGTTTGTCCTTCGGGATTAGTTGTACCTGAAAAGACGCAAATTAGTGATTAAATAAGATGAATTATATAAACAAAAATCTTACTTTGCAACCTCCTTTTCAAATCAAGTACATATATTTATCAATTATTCATCAGCTGCTATCATGTCAATAATGCCACATATAATGTTATATTTACAGAAAAATTAACTTGGATTCATCAAGAGAAATTAAATTTATAAGCCATTCGGGCTTGGGCTTAGTATAGTAGTTCAATTTGTTTACCCTTTGTTCTAATCTACAGTAAATATGACATTTGTATGTGAACAACTGCATTCTGAAACTAGTAGTAGGCGATACTTTTAGTAGCTGTATATAATTGAGTGAATGGGTGCACTGCTCCAGTGCTATGGATCTGTACAAGATGGGTGGTAGTGTTCCTCTTTCGCAAAAAAAAAAAAAAAAAAGGAAAAGTGACATTTTCATGTTTTGCACAAGTTATTTCGCGGTCGTTTGAGGCATCATTAGTTGAGTCTACCCTTAAAAGCACAATTCTAATCGCTATACCACTAAAATAACAGTATAGCATGTTTAATCAATCAATAAGTCTGATGCCTCGAAAGAGATCCTACCAGTACATTTGATAATCATGGCTTCCGCCAGCATCATTTGCACTTGCAGACACATCAAACCAACATATATCATGCGCTCCGAAAAGAGTCTAATGTTTTTAAGCATTATTCTCTTGAAGATCATCTGTCATTGTACTTGAAACTCTAATAGACCGACCTTGATGAATAAAATTGCATGAGATTGATAATCTTTAGTTGTGCTACAAGCCAAAACAGGCTAATAAATAAGAAGGCAAGTGTCTATATGTCACTGACTACATATAATCTATTAGCTTGTAACCTAAAATTATAACTGGATGCTTGGAGAGGAGAACCCGGCTTGATTTCAACATTTCCGCTCAAGTGGAGGTTCCACAACAACGACAGTTTTAGCAATTGCAAAAAAAAAAAAAAAAAAAAAAAAAAAGTTTGATGGAGTTTGTATCAACAACATTGCCTTTTTCTGCTGCTGCTGCTTGTTGAGAGGACAATGAGAGGACATGTGGGCGTATTCAAAGTCTTGTTGCTGGTGATGTACATTCGGTGCTTGACCCGCAATCACTTTACCCAAAGCTCTTTATCGTGTCTAGCCTGAAAAAATAAGCAATCAGACTGGAGGGCCGATATCATATGATAGCAAATATGTCATCTGATTGCAATAACCTGGAAGCATACGCGGTTCATGGCAGAGAGAAAAGGGTTCTGCTATATAAAAAATGCAGTCTAAATTAAGGCAGAGATGTTCAATGTTGTTGATTTTGGGGAGTGTGAGTGAATATGGGCGATATTTTGTGATAATTCCCAAATTCAAATTATGAAATAACAATCCCTTTTCTCTCTCTCTCTCTCTGTCTCTTCTTCTTTTTCTATTCCATTTTGCTTATCTTTTTTTTTTTTCTCTTTCTCTTGTAATCCACATTTAGCCTTTCGATTTAAAACTTGTCATCTACCTGAATTTAGTGTTCCATCATATAAACAAGTAAGGCTGCAGCATGAAATGTTCCCTCTCCTCATTAACTGTTCTTTTTCGCAGTGGCATATCAATACCAACACTATCCTTACATGAATTACGGAGGATACGGCAACGCATACCCGCCTACAACAATGTATGGTCAGCAAATGCTAACGAATTATCCCGCCAATAACTATTACGCTGGAGCAATGAATCCATATGCCGCAACTGGAGCAGGCTACTATCCAAATCAAGCATACCTGGGTAATCAAGGATACTATGGTTACGGTGCTGGCAGCGCTTATGGCGCTTACGGTGGCTACGGCGGCTATGGTGCAGGTGGAATGGGATACTATCCTTACAAACAAAGTACGCTTCGAAACATTTTCAATCGAATTCGTCACGGATCGAGTTACGGCTACGGATATCCAAATCAAATGTTGGGCTATGAGTATGGAAGACATCGAGGTAACTGGATTGATTATCAATAACAAGTTGCATGCAACGAGAAAAATTATATATATGTTTATACCTGATTTCCTTATTTTTTCGCCATGTTGTAATTGACACGCATTACATATATTAAAATCAACACTATTGTAGCCTGTTATAAGCTTATTTTCTCCTTTTTTTTTCTTTTGATTGGTTTAACTCTGACTCGCTTATTTATGGGATTTGGAATTGAGAAATGTATCGCTGATAACAGTAGTGCTTTCGTTGTCAAATAGTTCAACGTTCATATTATGTATTAGTGATGGCATTAGATCATATAAAGTGAAATTAGGTGAAGGGAAATATATATATAAGCTAGATATATGTATTTATACAAATAGATTGAAAACGAATGTGATAAAGAAAGGATAAATAGTCTGTTGTAAGTGATGGAGTGGGGTATTAGAGTTAGTTGCATAAAACGTAGATCAGAGTGGAAATGACACCTATCAATACAGCAAACAAAATTTGGATGCTTTTGATTTGAATCGCATCCAGAAAACTAAATGATGTAGTGGCAGATGTCGGTTTCTTGGGTTGCTGCCTTGATAGCTCTTCTAAACGATGCTCAAGATCCTTTACTTTCTGGCTCTCTGCCAGTAATTGCTGCTTGATCCCGTCTCGCTCGGATCTGCTGTTGTCTAGCTCTTTTTCAAATCGATGTAGTTCGTTTTTTGCTGTCTGTATCGTTTGGTTTTGGTATTTCCATTTTTCGTCATAGGATTTGATGGTAGCTTCCGCTTGATTCAATTGCGCTTGGAGCTCATCCTGTACAAATATCATGAGCACATGCCATTTTATCACATCCACACCATGTCAACACCACTTTACACTTTTTCTTAATCGGTCCTCACTGAATACTTTGTCTAAATCTGTCACTGTGTTCTTGATCGTCTTGAGCTCATTCTCTACATGTCTTGATTTCTCTATTTCAGACTAGAAAAACTTTTTTCAGCCGCTATTGAGATACGCATCTCCTTCAAATGATCTACCTGTAACTTGGCTAACACGGATTCCAACTTTTTTGATCTCTTTCCTGACGCAGCAGCAGCAGCTCCTACCCCTCCTCCTCCTCCTCCTCCAGTGCCGCCAGTACTTATTCCTCCTGTAGATGCTATACCTCCTGATGTCATGGCTGCTATCGTCGAAGAAGATCCATTCGTCATGTCTGATCCAATGGAGGAGAGAGTGCTAATGGAGGATGTGGATGATTTTCGCACTAATGACTAGCATGTTGAAAGCATTAGCGTATCTAAAATCGATATTTATCAGCTCAACTTACATGCGGATCTGGATACACTTGCACGTGGTGGCTGTTTGATAGTTCTTTGATGATACCATCATCCACCTGGGACAATGGCACTGGAAATACATATACAGAGCACGACACTTTATGGTACATGACTAGACACAATTGCAGTTAAGTGAATCAACTCGTCTTTTGCTAGTGCTATACTCACTGGCACCATGATCATTCAGAATATCAATGCCAAACTCTATCTCGTCTTTATCGTGCAATTCCCTAGGCTCGCTCTCTTCGCCTTCGTTGGATAATCTTTCCTCATTGACAAAAGTGCCGTTGCTCGATTTCACATCCTTTACATACACCTATCGATAGTGTTCAATGACACACTTTTCTCATCCGCCTACATCAAACGTTGCTTACTTTGCTCCTATCGCACCAAATCTCGGCGTGTTGTCTCGATAATACTTTCGAGTCAAAGTATCCATTAAAGGCTGTAGGAGCCGTTTTTGATGAGGTTTGTCGACCAATGCGAATCTTGACCTTGTCTTTGAGTTCCAAGGTTCTTGTTTGAAATGCAGCATTGTGTGGTTTCAAAATAACAGTGAAGATTGAGCCTCGTTTTTGTATTGTAGACATATGTTGAGCACCTAGTTGGATTGACAAGAAAGGAGGGTTCCTGAAAATATGAGCAAAACAAGGCAAACAACAGAAAATGGAGGATAAAAGAAAGAAAAAAAGGAGGAAATGTTATCTATAATACCTTTTGGTTTTGATAATTTAACGGTTTCGTCATGAACCGGCATAACTGTTGAAGACTCGGTCATCACACTGCTACGAATGGGGAATATGGAATGGATATTAGGAAGAAAATGGTGAACAAGCAAGCAATTCAACTGACGTCGCTTTTTAATGAAAATGGGTTATGTGCACCACTACCACCTGCGCTTTGTACCACTCAAATGATGTGCTGACTCAGATCTTTCATGTTGTAGTGCCATCTCACTCTCTCTTTTTTTTTACTGAATCCATCAATATGTCGACAGTACCTCATTCAACTGCTTCAAACGGCTTTCAAGCACAAGCAGACGCTTATGGTAATGTAGATGTCCTGAAGATGTATCGTCAAATTAACCCCTCCATGACAGCCAAAGCCCGTCCTAGTTACCCAGATGAAGCCATTGCCTTCATCTCGTCCCTGATGGCAGATCATCAGAAGCCCCAAAAAGTGTTGGATTTAGGCGCAGGAACAGGCATTATGACAAAACTGTTGGTAGAGCAATGTGAGTTTCAAGTAACTGCTGTTGAGCCTGTGGATAATATGCGACTCAAATTGGAGTCGATTGTACCCCAAGCTACATCTCTCGGAGGCACAGCATGGTCTATTCCCGTAGAAGATGCATCTCAAGATATGGTCATGCTTGCACAGTGCTTTCACTGGTTTGATGATATCAAAAGCCTGAAAGAGATTCATCGAGTACTGAAGCCTGGCGGGCTCATCATTCTTATATGGAACATGGAGAGCAGAGAGCGATCTGAATGGGTTGCTAAGCTAAGAGAGTAAGTGGAAGGGTATGTATGCTGTTCCCATACCAAATTGACCGCCTATAGTCTGTATCAAGTCTACGATGGTACTGCTCCTCAATACAGAATGGGGCATTGGAAAAAGGTGTTTGATACTGACGAGGCTCAAGCATTGTATGCCTTGCCATTGCAGCATAAGCAGTTCATCTTTGATGTGCCTGCCAAGCGTGATCATATCTGGCCTCGTATTATGAGCAAGAGCTACATTGCTATTTTGGATCAAGAAAAATGCAATAAATTACACCAAGATGTGCAAGCTGTGTTGGAAGATCCTCAATACAAACTTCCCAAGAACGGTTCTGATGAAGAATTTATCTACTGCCATGATACAGACATGTATTGGGCTTGTAAGAAATAGATCCATATCATCATAACATAATAAATGTACAGTCCCTAGACACTTTTACAACCCTAATATGGAAACTGAATTTCTAGGCATGTGTCAGGCCTGGCTCATATATGATTAATGCTTTTACAATCAATCAACAAAAACCACTGTTATTTTTACCCTCTTTCTATGCTCAATGCTGTTAACGTTTTTTTTTTTTTTTTTTTTTTTTTTTTTTGAACGACGGCCCGAAATCTCAGAGATTTCACTCCTTACTGCAGACATGTTATGCAGTCTATGATTCGTCAATGTCCAGATTGACGTTAATAAATATAGGATACAAGAAAATAGCATGATGAACGATAGTGCTATGACTTGCCGCCTACCTTCCATATGCTTCAAAAGCATCTGTTACTGTATTGCCTCCGTGATGAAAAGGGCATTCAGTTTGTCAGCCAACCCCACCAGTCAAACTCAATTAAAACCCAGATACATAGTCTGTTGCAGATTGGCCAAATCTTAATAATATTCGACTCAATTGAACTATTTTAGCAGATTCGACTATATAAAATATGATAATCATCCTATTGCTTCTTTAAGCTTCCTTGGAGTACTTTTCAAGGTGCATCCAATGGTGCCAAGTAATATAGATGTTTTTAATAAACCTATTGAGCAATCTATAAATATATGAAAAGAGGTTTCTGGCCAAAACGTCGAAATTCTACATATCAAAGTCCCACAAAGATGATTTCAAGGGCTACGTTGGATCGAGAGGAACATTTGGATATAATACATACCATAGTAAAAGTCTTCATTATCAAGATAAAAAATGCGATCGTTTGATTTTCAACGAAAACCATGAGGGGTACCTCATGCTTTTTGGTCGAATTTTATCCATGTTTTTTTGATCCCCAAAAAAGTTGAGCAAAGGTGTCAGAAAGTAACTGTCAGATGAGAGCAATTGTTTAGTGCTATTTTGACGATCTAAAACGGCCTTGAACGCGAGAAAACGCAGCTCAAATACACTCAGATTTTGCTCTATTAGGCACACTCTCGACTAAAAAGGGAAAATATCTATATGGCTGCTTGCCTATATATGAAATATCTACGTGTATACGGATGTAGAGCATCACATAAGAGTTAGATCCATAGATAATATGCAGGGTTTTCATGTGTAAGTAGAAGGTCCACATGAAAGTATTCGTATTTTGATAAGATACGCAAGGGCAATCGGTAGCGCGGGCTGCCACTGTGCAGGTTGGTTTTCACCGAAGCGAAGCGTAGATCTGGAAACCGCCCGAAATGTCGAAAGGCTCGTATAAAATAAAACAATCCAACTTGACACAATCAAGATCTTTTAAGACGCTCTTTGTAACATGCTGCAGGCTGTGTTTATTGATGTTGGCATTGAGTTGGCAGCGCAGAAAACAAATATAAGGTAAATTTATTGTCTGAGTGTGCTTTATATATAAAGATGGGCAATATGTCCGTGTTGAAACTGAGGGGAACACAAGCCTTTATTTAGACCTTGTTGTCGAAGTCAGTGTAGATGGCGATAAAGAATGCTCTCTGTTTCCGAGGTGAACAGCTCCTTTATTTTGAGGAGGCAGTCAATGGTATAGAGATAAACAATGGGTTGCGTATGAGGATGAGACAAGTTTCAGCAGCGTAATACAGTGTAGAAACAGCCATCCACATTCCTCTCAGACACTTGGAACCCATTGCTACTAGCATAACTCCTGAAGGATGGCAGAAATGTAGTCTATGTACATGTTGACGGCGACGATCGTGGTCTACAAGTCATAATAGACTCCTTATCGCTATGCCATGCAATCATTGTGTTTGATAATAGCTTTCATTATACTGTAAAAAAGGGTGGGCTACTAGACACATGTAGCAGTTTCGCAATCCACTACACAACGAGTAATTTGCCCAATTTCAAGAACCGTGCAAAAATAGCAGCACTGTATCACATTCTTCTTTTTTCCCTTCCCTGTTTTCCAGTTCTCTATTTCTCTTTTCTTTCTTTGTATCATCACACACACACACACACACACACACACCCTCATAGATGCTTTTGTATCTTGCAACTAGATACTAGGAACTCAGCATGCATCGCCACCTTGAAAAAGACCAACCCCCACAACTGCTACAGCCAACCGACATAGCCACCCACCGATCCATCTCCACCAACGTGCGTGCCACCGCCTCTTCTCAACTGATACCACCTGTAACTACGCATAGACACACAGAGGACGATGAATTGAACAAGAACATTGGCTCTGAATACCAGGACATTCAAATCAGAACACTGACCAAATGGATGAACGTTCAATTAAACCAGCTCAATGAATCCGTTTCCAGCATCGACAAGGATCTCAAGGATGGTACAAAGTTATTAAAGTTACTGGCCGTGGTAGCAAATCAACCCAATTTGAAACCAGAGAGGGGAAATATGCGAATTCATCAGTTGTCGAATGTAGCACAGGCATTAAAGTTTTTGCAAGATCAGTGGGGAGCTGATAGTCTGCCTGCTGTGGCAAGTGAGGCTATCGTCAATGGAGACGTCAAGAGCACTTTGGCCATTACTTTTTTCATTATGCTCAAGTACCAGATACAGCCCATTCTGTTGGATCAAGTAAGGCTGCCATGGCTCTGCTTGTGCACTGCATACTAACTATTGTCTTCACAGCCCACCACATCTCTGCTCAAAGCACCGCCACCATCACCACTGCCCAGCAACAGCACCTCGCGCACACTGAATGGAGGCAAACCCATGATGGAAGCCAAACTAGCACTGCTGTATTGGGTGCGCACACAACTCGAGGACTATGTTCACCATCACATCATCACCACAGTGCAGGATTTCTCCAGGTCATGGCGATCCGGATTGGCATTTTGTTTACTGATACACAGACATGATCCAGATCTACTTCCAACACTATTCACAGAGCATATGAAACACGCATCTAATAAAGAGACATGGAAAATACTATTAAATTTGGCGTTTCAGGTGGCTGAAAAGCATATGAACATACCAAAGTATCTGGAGCCAGCTGATTTATTGGTTGAATACCCTCACGAACCCTCTGTCATGATGTACGTAAGCGAAATGTACAAGGTCATGTCGAAACTGCAGCAGGACACGGCAAAAAAGAACAGCAAACGATTCAGCGACATGGCATTAGTAGCACCAGCAGTAGAACAACAGGCCACCACCACCGCCACCACCACTGCCACCTTGTCACCGCCCAACCCGACTATTTGTGCTGAAAAGGAAGCAACAGAGGAAGAGGAGGAGGAGACAGAGGAGGATGAATCGCCAGGCACACCGCATCCAGAGATTGTGTTCGATAGCCAGGATATCCATCAGCAGCTAGACACACTGACCGTCTTGCTACAGCATCCACAGCAAGTGCCACTCCAAGATGCCAACAAATCGCGCGTCTTGCTAGATCATGCTGAACAACTGATCCGCCAACTGGACCCATCTTTAGAGGAGAACCAATTGCTGACAAGTCGATATAGCCAACTGAAGCAGACCTGGGAGCAGTTATCAAAACGACTGCAAGTGAAGCCACATGTATCCACCTACATCAACGAATCAAAACTAGTACCCATGAATGATCAGCACGAGCCTCTGCATCCGCTGGACGGAACCGTTGCCATAGCAGAGGAATTTGTACAGTCGTTATCAGGAGCAACAGACGAGGATAGAGCCCAGCTACAGCACACTTGCGACTTGTTTCAGCGTGGTACTCAATTTGGACAACTTACATCTGCCATCAACGATGAACTAGACGTCATTCAGCAACTGATGAGCAACAGTGGTACAAGTTCTGTCACAGATCAATTAATTCAAGGTTTGGAGCAGCGTATCCATATGGTCGGCGCCACGATTCAAGGCGTTCGCAATGAATACGAGCAAGACTTGTTGATTGAATCCAACGACCCTTTTTTTACTCGATTTATGGAACGCATTGACCAGCTGGAAGACCGCTATGAAACAGTGCGTGATTGGGTGGATCAGGTGCGTTCCTGGTTTGTAGAGGCAGAGCGAATCCGTACCTGGATCGACAAACACATACACATCATTCAGGAACGAAACGAAGCGGATGATATCAACCCTGTTTCCCGTGAGATGGCCATTACAGACAGTGCTGTGCTACAACTACATCACCAGCACGAACGTCTCAAGCAGGAAATCGACCATTTTGATGCGGATGATATGGATCGTTTGCGCTCCCACGTCAAGATGCTGACACACACCACAGCTGAAAAGGAACTGACGCCAGCCGACACGTCCACCATTGAAATCACACTTACCACACTCAACATGCTCAGCCATCTCACCAAGCTATTGGATGACCGTTCACATTGGATCCAACTGCTGTTGTTGCGCGTTAAATGGGAGGATTTGTTTGGACAAGCTGTGCAATGGATCGCCATGACCGACGAGCAAATGGACGCCTTTCTCAGAGAAAAAGCGAGATGGTCTGAAAAAGACGAAGCAAACTACACCAGCAGCAATGACGATGACGACCCCATGCACGACAAGGGTATCGAAAGTGTAATCAAGACGCTGGTCAGTTTGGAACGCAAGATTGCTGATTTTGATCAAGGCGACTACTCGGAAGTCTTGGATGCGTATCAAGAAATGGAGACACTCAAAAGCCAAGCACTGCCAGACTATCTTGAAGTGCGTCAATTGGGTTTTGAAAAGGCCTTTGAAGATTTGATGAAGCGTTCTGGGTTCAGCAGAAAAGTAGTAGAGCAGTTGTTGTCCATGATTAGCACGGTGGAAAAGTTCAAGAAGCTGCGTGATGTGGGAGAAGAGTTACGACATGTGCTAATGAACGAGGCGTTCGGCACAGTGACAGACGAAGACGACGAATATGCAGAGAAGGTGCAACTGTTCAAGGAAGAGTCGGCTCGATTAATCACCAATGCCAGTACGTGTATTCCGTATCCCACTGTACCTGAAATGTCCACGGCCATTGGCGCCAACGATGCTCATGATAATGAAATCACCAATGAGAATATTAAAAGTGCCATTAGTGCCTACAGTATGTCACTTGCCCTTATTGCGGATGGCCTGGATCAGCTTCTCACATCAAGGTACCAAGTCATGTCGTTGCAGCAAAGAGCCAGTGAAGCTTTTGAGGCAATGAGTCGAGTCAAACTATGGATGGATGAACGCATCAAGATACTGAAAAAGACCAATCTGAATGTCATGTTGTATGAGGATTCGTTGTGCTTGTCTGCAGCTGATTCGCCTTCCTCTTCATCCGAGCTAGGCAAGGGCCAGTCCATGCAACGAAAGAGCAGTTTCTATGGCAGCAACAATGCACAGCTTTCACTGTCCACATCACCTACCACCACCACCAGTACATTAGCTGACGACGAGACCTTACTTCGTTTGGAAAAGGAACGTGATGGAATTGCCTTGCGACTGCACCAAATTGAAGCTGATGATCTTGCCAAACTGTTCGATATGGTACGAAACCTGGAATATGATGTGGATGCCTCTAATGCTGTTTCTATTGATCGTGATACACTGGTTCGTGGTGTCGAGAACATTGAAGATAGCCATCAGCAGCTGAAGGATTTGATCAGTTTGCGTGGACTCGAATTGGATGCGCTCAAGCATCGCATTGACTGGGGAAATCAATGGCACAAATCCAACAGCCATCTTCAAACAATTGCTCGTAAACTGTGTGATTTCAATGTCAAGAAGGCGCGTTATGATCCTGCCAAGGAGAATCCAGATAAACCGTCGTATCAGGGCGATCATGAAATCACGCAATCGCTGCAGTTTCTTCAAGATCGTGTGGTGGAGCTGGGTGATCGACACATGGCCTCACTGGCGGATAGCTATGCTGGACTGGCGGAAAGCTACTCAAAGTTGTCTTACCAACATGTGCCTGATGCCATCTCGTCAAAGCAAGCAGACCTGAAGCTGAAATACGATGACTTGAGACATTTGGCTTCATATACGGCTGATCTGGTGACCCAGCGTGCTACTATCACTGAATTTCTGCTGCGTGTGCAAGATGCCTATCATGAAGGTGAAAAGATCAAGGATGTGGTATACAAGAAGACGCGTCGTATCATGATGAAGGACGAAGATGGTGCTCCCTCTTTGGATGTGCGTGTAGATCAATTCAAGCAGGAAATCAAAAGTCTGTGGCAGGATTGTGGTAAAAGCATGATGTATCCAGTGTACAATGGCAATTGGCTTCGCTCTACCCCTCAGCAACATCAACATCAACAGCAACATCAACAGCAACATCAACAGCAACATCAACAGCAACAAGCTGTGTCTGACGGCGGCAACTCCAACTCTGCGTATCGATCTCAAGTGCGAGCTCAAATCAAGGCCCTTTTGGATAAAAAGATGCAAGACCTGCACAGTTTGGAGACATCTATTAACCAACTGCTGGACTCTTACCGTGATGCGGATCGTATGAAAGCACTTGTCAATCAATATGAGCAAGAGGCTTGTGAGTTGGGTACATGGATCCACGAACAGATTGAATCCCTCAAACAACAGCACATTGACGTGTCTGCGGAAAGTTTCTTGGCTCGTGGTCTCAATATTTCTGACTTGAAGAAGGCTCAACTTGACTTGTTGATGCAGGTAGATACCTTTGAGGGCAACAAGGTCAAGACACTGCATGACCGCATTGCTCAATTGGTGCAAGACTCTGTGGAAAGGAAAAAGAGCCAGTCTGTGGATGTCTCCTCGGCTGCCCGTCAACTGGGTGAAGTCATGGAACAGCTCTCTCAACTCAAGCGTGGACTCTCGGACCAAGCTGTCACCCTAGAAGCTGCTGCCATGAGACAAGCGTGGGAGAAGAACCTTCAACTGGGCATCACTCGCTTGGAAGAGATGAATGAACAGCTGCGTCAGTTTACCACCAAAAAGAACCAATGGATCTCTCAAGATGAACTCACTGAAGACCATGTACAAGTGCTGCAACAGGAACTCAGTCGCCTGGTGAACCAAAAGAACAAGTTTCAAAAGTCGATCTTGCCTGGTATCCAGCTGAGCTATGATGCCTTTGTCGAGTACTTTCCAAAGCTGTCTAGACCCATGGCTACACCGGATCATCTGGAAGCGCGTATGGAGTCATTGAGTAGAACTGCAGTCAGATTTCAAGAAAATGTCGAAGCGAGATCAAAGGAGCTAGAGTTGATCAAGCAGCGCATGCGGTGGGAAGACATTGTCAAGCAGGCTATACTGTACCTATCTGAGCAAGAAGCCGTGATGGAAGCCTTTGTGGAGGAAAAGGCCAGGTGGCAAAGTGATACGCAATCATCCATTCAGTCGGATGACGACGAGGAGACCGTGTTGCGCACGGAATGGTCCAGCATCTATTCCAACTTGAAGGATTACGAAGAGAAAACCATTGTACCTCTGCAGAAATGCTTTGCCTCCCTTGTCGATGAATCTACCAGTCATTTCAACAACAACAGTATCACGCTGTTGCCAAATACTGTCATGAAGAAGATGCAAGACGTGCAAGCAGCGCAAGAGAGAACAAGCTACTATCTCGATTTCTCCAACCAAGTGGTAACTCAACGCTGTCTGGTCTCTGCCTTCATTTTGAGAACGGCTCAATTGGAACAATCTGCTGAACTGATCCGCGAAGAGTTCATAGCAACCAAGATAGCAGGTGGCAACGCACACATTGCAAATCTGCTGGAATCTCATACAGAGCGATTGGACAAGTTCAAGGCAGGTATTGACGATGTACGTGACCACTTGGCTACCAGTATCCCTTATCCAGTGCGATCCTTGGAGACGATTTCAACGCAAGCCAAGATCAAGGACGAAACCACCAACAAGGTAATCCGTGATACCATTGATATGCGGAACACGCGTTTGGGTGAACTGTGGGCTAGCTTGCAACAACTGCTTGAATCCAAAGAGCGCGTTTCTCGTCGCAGACTATCGCTACACTCTTTCAAGAAGCAAGCGCAGGTGGCAGAAGCCTGGATAGGCTCTCGACATGATATCCTCAACAACAGCAACGCTTATATGCTGCTGCCCGATAAGGTGGTTGACATGGAGAAATTAAAAGAGGCTGTCAGTCAAGCAGATAGCGTAGAGCGAGCCATGAAGTCCAATGATACCGTACTGTCCTCGTTGAATGCTGTGTTTGACAAGTGTATTTCTGCTTTTGAAGACACATCACTGGACCAGGAAGACGAAGAGGAAGGCTTGCAAGACGAGGATCATCAAGACTTGGTTGAACAAGTGTCTCAAATTGTTGTGCCTACTCAAAAGCGTATCAGCCAGGCTTGGAATGATTTAATGACGGAAGCTACAGAGACCAACAAGAATCGAACAGCATTGTTGATTGAGAACAAAATCAGTGCGTGGTGCCAGGCTGTCTCTGCTCTGGAAAGCGAGGTACAACATGCTCACAGCGACACAGCAGTAGATGAGCAATTGTCTGCTTGGAGCGACCAAGTGGCTCATTTCGAGACTAGAGAACACCAGCACTTAATGGCTGATGTGGACTCCAACAAAGCATTACTTTCTGTGGAGCAACTGGCAAACTTGCACCAACAATTAGATCAAGGCATGTCGATCATTGCTGCCATCCACACTGCCTTGGATCGACTTCAACAAGACTTGCATCTGGCTCAATTGATTCAAAAGTATGTTGCTGACATTGCCAGCTTGCAAACGTCCATCCAACATGAAATTGATTCACTGCAAGCTTTATACGAAAGCCACAAGCGTGTCGCTCATGAAGGCACCTTTGAAGACAGATCGACGCAACATCAGGACCTTGTCTCCAAATACAAATTGAGTGCTGATACAGTGTCTGATCTAAAATACGCCTTTGATGATGTCGCTGGCCAATACAACATCGTTACCGAGTCTAATCAAGATTACCACAACCCAAAACAGCCTCAGGTCGCAGAGGATTGGAGCACCCTGACAAGCAAAGAATCACTGGTTGCTGCCCTTATTGCACGTTCTTCTCAATGGGCCAAGTTGCTTGAGCTATTGGGTGTTGTTGAACAGGAGCTGATGTCTGCCCAAGCTTTATTGGATGTTCCTGACCAAACAGAGTACAGCAAGGTGGACGATATACTGGACAAGAACGAGGTGTTGCTCTTGGGAGAACTATCCAACTTGGCCGATGATCTGGTACAAGATCGCATCAACCATGAGCCCTACAGCAAAAGACGAGATACTTCTGTCGAGCTTCTGAAAAGCCTCAAATCTACATTGAAGGGCCACATGGACAACAAAGAAAAGCTGCAATTGATACAAAACATTAAGGACATTGTCAGCCAACTACATGCTGACTGCAGCGCACAATTGAGGGCTTTTGATGACCATCTCAACCATTTTGATATGAGTGATATGCTTGACACAGCTCAGATTGAAAAGACCATTGAAGCCTGTACTGCCATGTGCAAGAATATGGACGACCAATACGCACACTGTCAAGACGAAGTGGAATCTCTACGACTGAAACATGGCGCTCAACTGACAAGCATTCTTGGTTGCTCACAAGCCGAAGTTGATGAACTGCTGGAGCCCATCACTACATTGGTACAACAACTGGTGGACGGATCATTGTCTGAAAAAGCGTGTATTTCTATTGCGACGCTGTTGTCTCGATACGTACAACAAGAAGATTCTATCATAGATACAATCAGCAGTTGCACTGCCAAATTTGACTGCACGGATCGTTCAGACCATATGATATCACACGTTGAACATCAGTTGGAGTCTCTGGTGGAGGCTATTCAGGAGCTGAGTACCTTGGGACGTCAAATTGCCGATTACGATACTGCTGGATTAATGCAGTCTGCTACTCGCATGAAGCACGTCAATCAACTCATTACTGCATCTGAAAAGAAGCTCGATGATCAGTATTCCGCGCTCAAATCCAAGGTTCAACAGGAAAGAGAAGCGTTAGACAAGATCAACCAGCGTCTCCATATTATCTCCAAGATTAGGGACAACTTGCAGTATGTGTCTGACACTGTAGACAGAGTCAATTCATTGCAGGTGACTGGAAAGGGCATCGCATCAGAAGTCAAGGAGTTGCAAGACTTGTGTCAAGAATTTGAAGACGTATGGGGCAAGAAAAAGGCGGCATTGGATCAGTTGATTTCCGCCTGCAATGTCAGTGATGAACAAATGGACGATCTCCTTTCTCAATTAGCAGCTGAATACGGCCATCTTTTGATTTTGATGACTACCAAGAAGAAGGAGGCAAATGATGAAGGTGACCTCTCTGAATTCTTACACATCATGGATGAATTTAATGACAATATCGCGTCCCTTTTGTCTGCCATTGAGAACGCCTCTCCTTATCACTCCAGCATAATCAACAACAAATTTGTCAAATCAGATCTTCAGGCTCTACTCAAATCGCTTGTCGCTGCATTCAAACACCATCAGCAGATCATCAATGGCATCTTGGATCGTGCTCGTACAGAATCGAAAAAGCAATGTTTGGATGGCAATGATCGTGTCGGCAAAGAGCTGCAAAGAGCTACCAAGAAATGGACTCAGACTCAGGCATCTGCTGCTGCTGCTGAAAGAGAATTACAAACCTGTATCAGTCAGCTGGATCATGAATTCTTTACCAAGCTCGCCATTGCTAAAAATACACCTCGCAATACACGTAGAGTACTGCAATCAGTTGCTGAAGCTACTACTTCCAAGAAGTTTCCTGTGCCTGCTACAAATGGACGAGGCTTTAATGCGCCATCTCCCTTCTCTACACATTCCAGTAGTAACAACACCAACACTAGACGACAGCAACCAGGATCATCGTCATCCTCATCGAACCACAGAATGCGACCCACATATGTCCCTGATCCTGACAATGAACTAGACATGCAATTGAGTCATATTGTCAATAACTCGCCATACCGCGTCACTGTCAAGATTGTGCCTGACCAAGTGGGAAAATATTGGTTTGGTGAAGTGAATCCAAGACTCGTCTACTGTCGTATTTTACCGAGTCAGTTGGTCATGGTGCGTGTGGGTGGTGGATGGGTGGAGCTTTCCAAATTTTTGAGAGATCACGGTCTGACAGAAGGCGCCTCTTACTCAAGACCAGACTCAGTCAATGACAATCCATCGGATCATGTACCTCCATTCCAAGAGGCTTGCCTACATACAGTACGATCTGCTTCTCCATCAGGTAGAGTCACCATTCGTGGTGGCGGTGATAGTGTGGACAGAAATAGCAGCAGCTTGGCATCTACACGATCTTCAAGCAAATCATCTGGCAGTCGATCAAGATCACCTTTACCGGGCTACGTCAATGGCGACAAGTTTATCAGTCTAGATGAAGCTGGTAACCAGATTATTGTGAAAATGAAGAAGGCCGATAACGATGCCAAAATGCCCATTGTTAACAAAAAGAGGCAATAACCGCATTGACGCCAGCAGTGAAGCATCTTTCATTGCCATACCGCACCTTTCATTATCATAACACACTAGACATATATCAACATGATATCCACTTTATATATCCATTAAAATGAACACATATCAATTTTGTTACCTGTAACCGTTACTGAAACATGTCGATCATTTGAGTGAATAAATCCAGTAGGCGAGCTATGTACAATTACAAGTATGTAAAGCACTTCGAAGGCTATTGGGCAAAATAAGACTAGATTAGGGATCGATCCTAAACAAAATGGCATAGTTCACCTACTTGTTTTTTTTTCACAAAAGTCTATTTATTATGGAGAGAAAATATATAAAAAAAAAATATGATACAGGTTTTGCAGTTTTCAATTCAGAGTAATTTAGTTGTTCTTGACAAGCTTGCTATCGTCAATGAGGTTGTTCTTGACAAGATAGGCCAAGATGTCTTGGACACCTTGTTCAACAGAGACCTCATGAGTCTTGATATGGATTTCGGCATTCTCGGGAGCTTCATAAGGAGCAGAGATACCAGTGAACTCCTTGATCTCACCAGCCTTGGCCTTCTTGTAGAGACCCTTGGGGTCACGTTGCTCAACAACGTCAAGAGGAGCATCGGCAAAAACTTCGATAAAGGGAATACCAGCGGCTTGATGAAGAGCTCTAGCGGAATCACGGTCGGCTCTGTAGGGACTGATGAAAGCAGTGATGGCAACAACAGTTGCATCAGCAAACAGCTTGGCAACCTACATTATATGATACCGGTTGGTTTTTCGCACTTCTCACCCTCTTGTACAGTGTTGTTCCTTACCTCTGAAATACGACGGATGTTTTCAGTACGATCCTCAGGGCCGAAGCCCAGATTCTTATTCAAACCAAAACGAATGTTATCGCCATCCAAACGGTAGGCATTGATACCAGAATGAAGCAAAGTTTGTTCCAAAGCAGTAGCCAAGGTAGATTTACCAGAGGCAGAGAGACCAGTAAACCAAAGAGTGAAACCCTACTCCACAATGCAATCAATTTTGTCTGGCCACAAAAATGATCCACAATGCCCAATCCTACCTTTTGCTTCAAAAGACCTTGACGTTCTTGCAAAGAAACGCTGCCATCGTGCCAAGTAATGTTTGTAGCCATTGTGAGGTTGTAATATAAGAATACAGAAGAAAGGGATGAAAGATGCCATAGGTTTATTTCGTAATGGATTTATATATGCTGAATGAAGCAGTTAAGCGGAGATGGTTGTCGACGAGCAATGCCGTTTTTATTGGCAGTTCCTGGGATTGCGCCATAAGGTAGTCCAATGTGTATCATTTTGTGCGCAAACAAGAAAGTCCAGAAAAGAGATCCCATAGAGCATTGGCACTAAATGTGATGAATAGAAGCACTCCAAAGCTCACGCCCATATTATAAAAGTTACACCTAATTCATTGCATTAGCCCATCGTGGGCATGGATGGCATCATTCGACACATTTACCATCCATCAAATCCTCCAGCAGGACATGTATAAGCACCAATTTCCATGCTAATGGCTATACCCAGTAGCACAGCTAATAGTGTATCCATGGCTAACCCAATTACTGGTTTTATATTACCATGCTTGCTGTCGAATCGCAAGGACACATGAACATAGATACAAAATGAGCTCCAAATGAAGGTGGCCCATTCAATGCCGTAAAAGAAATAGAGTAGTGCGACATTGTCGAATGGCACTGAAGTTCTACCAGACCACTAGGAGTATATTTAGATAGAACATGATGCAGAATGACTGCTGTATACTTACTACATTGGCACTTGCTTGAAATCCAAATGATCCTACTATACAAAACAATTGGAGAATGCGGAGAAAAAGTTTCCATTTGCTGGATGAGCTTTTATGATCCTCTACTTTCTGTAGCTGTTCTTCCTCTGCTACAATGTTCTTTTCCTGAAACCTGCTTTGTGCAATCGACAGTGATGAGGATGAGAAGGGTAGATCAGATCGCGGTGATGGCTGATACTCTGGCGGTGGGGGGGGGGGTGCTTGTTGTTGCCAGGCGCTTTTTGTGTCATCCATCTTTGTTTAATTTGTGGATTCTGCAATGTCAGAGAGGAAAAACTCGTTAAGCTTTTTATAGGATGGCAATCTCGCATCGATAAAATTCTGTGATTTGCGATCGATGCTACTTGGCATAAGATGGCTCTGATTTGTTTACATGGAAATTTAAATGAGATTTTAAATCACACCTTGATTCAAGCAGAAAGAGGAGATTTAGCCAGATCAAGCAACAATTCAGCGTATCAGGCACAAGCTCATGAAGGCAGCGTAAAATGTAGCTCCGTGGGTAGCAATTTTTCAATTGTAGACACATTGGCCAATACTTGCCCTCTAATACATGGAGGCTTTTGTTTGTGGACGCTGTAGAGCCATGCTAAAAAAAAAAAAAAAAAAAAAAAAAAAAAAAAAAAAAAAAAAAAAAGAAGCCTAGTCAATAAAGTCCAGAATGACGGTAGAGTTGTATTCAAGAGTGATACAGTTATCTTATCAGACTGTAGACAGTCGATGACATTATTGATAAAACTCGCGTTTGAAAGTGGATGAGCAGTTCTCTGTCTATTTGACCAGATTTAATGATTGCTCAACAAACACGCTATAACTTAAAGTACATGCTGGTGCTATGTTACGATAGGCGTTCAGAAATACACGCAACGCATGATAAAAGGTTGTTTATCGCATTAACCCAAAAGATAGCATTGATGGCCAGCTGAGGGTTCCTGAGTAAAATCTATGGATCAAAGGACCAATAGGAAGGACTTGCAACAAGGTATTTAAACTACTCTTCCTTGTATTGCATCTTGTTCATTTCTTTCTCTTTTATTTTCTCTCTAAGCAAAAGACAAAAGAAAGCATTCATGGCTCAACACACAAACTACAGCTCTATACCCAATAATGATCCAGAGAGATCATTTGGCGTTCAAAAACTGAACAATGTAAGTGTTTCATTCTAGAGCAGTAAGATACAAGAGGAGCTCAGGTACAAAACACATGCACAGAGAAAGAAGCTCTACCTCACTGTGGGCGCTGTAGTTATTGGCATTACAGGTGCCATTGCGATTATATCTACAGTGCTATTAGGGAAAAAGGCTGCTGATCCAGGTAACGTAATAGCATCATGCTTGCAAATCATCCAAATTAACCCAAATTTAAAAAAGTTCCCAAGAAGAACGTGATCATGATGATCAGTGATGGTTTTGGCCCAGCTTCAGAGACGTTTGCTAGACAGTACTATCAGTGGTTGGAGCATAAAGAGTACAAGGACCTGTTGCCGCTGGATGAGATTCATGTGGGCCAAAGTCGCACTCGAAGCTCATCCAGTTTGGTGACTGATAGCGCTGCAGGGGCAACTGCATTTTCTTGCGCCAAAAAGTCGTACAACGGAGCCATTGGAGGTTTGTGGATTTTTTTGCTGTTGCTGTACGCATGTGTACTGAAGATGTGCCTTAGTGGATCCCCATGAATTGCCTTGTGGTACTGTTTTGGAGTCTGCAAAATTACATAAAAACATGTTGACGGGCCTTGTCGTAACATCTCGTATCACTCATGCTACGCCTGCCGCATTTTCCGCTCATGTTCTGGATCGCGACAATGAAAACCTGATTGCTGTGCAACAAATTGGCAACAACCCATTAGGACGCACTGTGGATCTGATGTTTGGCGGTGGCGCCTGTGAGTTCACCAAGAACTCCTCAGCCTACAGCTGCAGATTGGATGATCGCGACCTGTTCACGGAAGCTAAGGAGAAGTTTGGCTGGAACATCATTTTGAACAAGTCAGAGTACGAGGCATTGCAAGTCAAAGATGTAGAGTTGCCTTTGATGGCCCTGTTTGCACCAGGAGTAAGTTGATCCTGTATGTAGATCAGTGACATTGGGCAATTTAACTCATTAATGCGCCCATTAGCACATGAATTTTGAAATGGACAGAAACCCTCATCAGCAGCCTGCTTTGCACCAAATGGTAATCAAAGCATTGGATATCCTCAAGACCAAGTCAAAGGAACAAGACACAGGCTTCTTTATGATGATTGAGGGAAGCCGCATTGACATGGCTGCTCACAACAATGATCCTGCTGCCCACTTTCACGACATTTTGGAATACCACAGAACCGCAGAGATTGTCAAGAAATTTGTAGATGAGAATCCCAATACAGTGGTCATCTCCACCAGCGATCACGAAACTGGTGGCTTTACTGCTGGTAGACAGGTCGGCGAAGGCTATCCCGAGTACAAGTGGAATCCTGAGGTGGTGCATCGTGTGCGTAATTCGTCCGAAGTGCTGGCCAATGCTTGGGCTGCATCTGTCAACGATGCACATAGTCAAAGCTACCTCAAGAAGGTCTTAATCCAATCCGGTTTGGGCATTGAAGATGCTACTCCTGAAGAGATTGAAAAAATCACAAACTGGAAGTCAACTGGCAAGACAGTAGAAGAGCTGTCGTGGTACTTTTCTGATATGGTGTCTCGTCGTGCATTGTTGGGCGTAAGTATTGAACAGAAATCTCCTCTCTATAGTAGGGTAATCCATTAACTCTCTTCGTTTAGTGGTCTACCCATGGTCACACAGCAGTCGATGTGAACCTCTATGCAAAGGGCGACGGCACTGAAGTTTTGAGAGGAAGCCATGAGAATACCGAGATTGGCGATTTCATGATTGATTTCCTTGGTTTGGACCTGGATGTCCTTACACACAAACTGGTCAATTGCAGGTAAGTCAGAGCAAATCACGTACATCTTCTTATTGAATGCTGACCAGAATTGATTCGGTAGCACTGGACCTCCAGCCGTCGACTTCACAAGCAAGGCCACTGCTTACCATGGCTAAATCGCAGCTCTCATTGGATGCCTCCCTTGATGACTAACTATGCCTACAATTTATCCGTTCCCCACTCCATATTAAAGTCTGTTCTGACATCATCTCCCGAGCATGTTGCAAATGAGAAGATGTAGTCTACACGCTATTCCGTGTGTAACTGAACAAATAAAAAATCAGACTTATATATGTGTGTGTGTATTGTGGGGTCTTCTATTTGTTTCTTTTTTAATTATTTTTCTTTAAACAAAATGCTTTCCATTGCTGCTCGCTCCATCAAGTCTACTTCCATCAAGTCCACTCTCCGTCCTTTGACTGCAATTCGCACCAAGGTTACTTTGCCTGATCTTCCCTATGGTTACGATGTAAGTCTGTAGGCGATGAACACACGACTATTATTACTAATACACGTCAAAAATGAAAGGCTCTTGAACCCTACATTAACACTGAAATCATGAAGCTTCACCACTCCAAGCATCACCAAACCTATGTCAATGGATTCAATGCTGCTGAGGAGAAACTCCAACATGCTTTCAAGTCTAATGACTTGACTGAGCAACTTGCCCTTCAAAACGCTCTCAAGTTCAACGGTGGTGGACACATCAATCACACTCTCTTCTGGCAAAACTTGGCTCCCAAGGGTAAGGGTGGTGGATCCCTCCCCAAGGGTGCTTTGGCTTCTGCCATTGATAAGGAATTTGGCTCTTTTGATGAATTCATCAAGAAATTCAACACTGCCGCTGCTGGTGTTCAAGGTAAGAGACACCTGGCTATACACTTGAATGTTGCATGTATCAGTCAAACTAAACTGCACCTATCAACTTTTTTTATATTTAGGTTCTGGCTGGGCTTGGTTGGTAAGTGATCGCAGTGTGTGAAATCATGTTGATATCATCATGGCTAACATTTGCACGCATAATTAGGGTTATAACAAACAATTCAAACGCGTTGAGATTGCCACCACTGCCAATCAAGATCCTTTGCTCACATTGACTCCTCTTTTGGGTATTGATGTCTGGGAGCATGCCTACTACTTGCAATACAAGAATGTTCGCCCTGACTATCTCAAGAACATCTGGGAGGTCGTTAACTGGGAAACTGTCGCTGAGCGTTTCGCCAAAGCTGCTTAAATGTCAATAAAAACCTCTTTTTTATTTATTTATTCTTAACATGCACATCCATTATTATAATCTCTATTGTTATCGCTGTCAATACGAATAGGATCACTGACTTCACTGTAGAGTTCCACGTCAGTCTCTTGTTGGAGAGCATTCTTTGCGATTGTTTGGAAAGCCTGCTCCACGTTGATAGCATCTTTAGCAGATGTTTCAAAGTAACTAGACAATGAAGTCAGTCTCTCAATCATCAATCCAAGATCATCAAAACTACTTACGGAATATTTCCTTTGGCTTGACTGAAAGCCATAGCACGCTTTTGAGAAACCATACGTTTGGATTCATCAACATCTACCTTGTTACCCAACACGACAAAGGGAAAGTTATCGGGATCACGCGGCGAAGCTTGCACCAAAAATTCATCATGCCATTGACCGAGCGATTCGTAACTCTTGTTATTATTCACATCATACACCAGTACACAACAATCAGCACCACGATAGAATGCAACACCTAATGATTGAAAACGCTCTTGGCCGGCAGTATCCCAAATCTTTGCGAGACACATCAGCAGTTTACTTGTGAGATGCTTCTCTACTACACACATACCTGCATAGTAACCAACTTGTCATCCACCATCACTTCCTTTGTCAAGAAATCAGCACCAATGGTAGCCTTGTATTGACCACTGAACTTTTTGTTGACGTATTGATTCATCAAAGAGGTTTTACCGACACTATACGCAAGCACAGTTTAGAGACCATTGCAACACTCCTCCTATAGAGCAGTAATTTATCATCCACCAAATAACTTACCCACTATCACCAAGAATAATAACCTACACATCTGCGTCAATCACTGGGAGCAGAGGAAGCCATATTGCAGCGTACTTTACCTTTAACAACACCTTCTTTCTTGTAGCCATCTTTTATATATTGATTTTAGAGGAAAAAAGAGAAAAAGAGAAAAAAGAACGCACAAAAGGGAAACCTGTTGTTTGAGATTCGTCCAAAATCCATCAACTCCGAACTGTTCATTTGTTGTGATACGCACCATTTATACACTCTATACAAGCGAAATTGAATGGTATATATACGAATGATAGGAAATGTGATAATGGTTGTGTAATGTATAAGGTCAGTTTTTTTTTTTGTATTGGGCATTCGTGAGAGTATACTACAAACACTTACGCTGTTGTTAATGCATGGAGACACATTTCTCGTAAAATGACGTTGGTTTTCAAGATTGTTTTGAGTTTATCATTGTATCATGAAGGTGCGTGATTGGCATTGGGTGCTCTGATGAGACCGTGCCCCAAGAATCAATTACCCGTCTGCTCAATGGGACCTTTGCTCTGCCTTGTAAGATAGATATATATTCTCTATCTGAAGCATACCATATTAGTCAAGCTAAGCTATAGTACCTTTCATTTCGCAACAATCGTTTTATGGACTTCACAAGCATTGATTACCTCCACTACAACTATAAGCATGGCATTAGTGTTTGCCAGCCATTGCCAATTACGACTCCGCTCCTCACCTTCTGGCATGCCTTGAATTTTGCGAGCATAATGTCTGACATCTGCCAACCATCATCATCTCTAATATATTTACCAGAAAACTATATCAAAAAAAAACATAGGAACGACCGATTAGAGATCAGAGACGTAAAAAACTTAAAGCATTGAGTACCGTACAAGGTTCGAAAAAACCACTGGCGAAGCTGGCACTGGAAAGGGAGACTTAGTATCTAATTCAACATTTGGTAATGTTGACCTATAAGGGGGTTATACCTCAGCGAAACGAAGGTGCAAAACCATAGTATTCAAGCAGCAAATTCAGGTTTTCATTTCCATTATTAATAGACTTATCAACAACATAACGCATCAGAATTTGTATGAATTAGCTTTACCAAAATCAATATTCGTTCTATCTGAACTAGAAATTGCACAGGCCGCAGAAATGCCCTTCCTCCAGAAGATTCCAGCTACCAAGGATGCGCTTCATGCCGTGTAAATAAAAGCTATAAAGCAAAACATAACCAAATTTGACAGCTTTCAAGCCTTCATATCTTGACACGTAGATCTTTCTGAGCCATCGGAATGACGCCAAACAATTGTACTTGAATAGCAGTAACTTCCTGACACCTTTGCTCAACGTTTTAGGGACCAAAAAAAAATGGCCAAAAATCGACCAAAAAGCATGAGGTACCTCTCATGGTTTTTATTGAAAATCAAACGATCGCGTTTTTTACCTTGAAAATGAAGACTTTTACTATGGTATATCTTAAATCAAAATTTTCCTCTTGATTCAAAGCAACTTCTGAAATTACTTTTATGAAGTTTTCATATGCAAAATATGTCTATTTTCGCTAAAAACCTCAGTTCAAAATCTACTAAATTGCTCAATAAGTTTGGTCAAAACATTTATTTTACTTGGCACCATTGGAAGCGTTTTGAAAAGTACTCAAAGAATGTATTAGGAAGCATCGGATGATTATCACAGTTTATATAGTCGAACATCACAGAATTGTTCTGTCAAGTCGAAAAAAGACGAAATCTGTCCAATCTTCAATAGAAAAAGATAGACTGCGTTTGAATTGATTTTGGCGGCGGCGCTGCTGCTGGCTTACCCAAATGCCTTTCTGATGATGTTAATGACGATTGTGATGCTGATTAAATGGGGACAATGAAGTTGAATGAACAATTGTTTGGCTTGAAGACTTTTTTGGGGAGTTTTGCCTCATAAAGGCGTCTTTTTCAATGACAATATCTCAAAAAAAAAGCGCTGTAGATCTTGCACAAGTCCTGTATTTGCGCATAACCAGCATTATGCGCCATCTTAAGAGCATCAGCAGCAGCAAATGGTATAACAATTCTACTATCAGAATATGGAGATTGTGGTGTATAAATGCTGCATAAAACTTGAATTCTCTTTTACGTCGTCTCAATAATAGACTTTGTTTAATATCAGTGTATAAGCAAAAAGATGCTGAGGGAAATATCTCCTCTCCTCCTCCTGGCTTTTATATAACCTTTTACTAATAATTGATTGTTTAAAATCTACTTGATATATCAAAATTTTATTGTATCTGATATAAGATGTCTTTGGCGAGAGCCCGCAGGGCGACATCGTCATCGAGTGTAGTGCGATTGATCGGCTAGTCTATTATATACTGAAAATCAAACGAACGCACAGCTTAGCTTACAGAGCTCTGGCGCAATTAAATACTTGCTTCACAGGCAGATACTCGGTGTCAGTTGTGGAGCAGTTGTAAAGCCAGTGTACGCTTTTCCAATATTTCAATGTAACGTTAGCGGATGTATTTGTACTTATTGAATTGCACAACATTTTGTTTACTTTTTATACAACTTTTTATTGATCAAGCCTGTGTATCTTGTCTTCAGGACATGATAGGTAGCATTTGAATAATGTAAAGATAACTGTTGTCTAATATGCGGCGGTATATCTCTTCATCTGTCAAACAGTTATTAGCAACATTATTTAAGGCACCCCAAACTTGTTCTAGATCTGATATATTGATGCCTGACCTGTAAAACCACTTGAAGTATTCCTTCATGAAAGCTGCAGCCATTCTCAGTATGTATTTCTCTTCTCTCCAGCCTTTCTCGTTCCTTTACACTCTTTGTTTGCGTAGCATTAACACTGTCTAAAACCATTTCTTAGTTGTTATATTTTTGTGTCTTGACAGCTCATATTTATAACCAAATCTATAAAGCGCTACTCTTGTTACAGTATGTATTGATCTGGTCAATCGATGTACCATTACAAATGCTCACATTTTTCTTGTCTAGTTATCTTTTTCATGTCAAATGTCTAGTGTGCGAACAAAAGTAGAGCAAAAAGATCCGTTTACTGGCACTCAAACCAGTCATCCTGCCCAAAGAAGAGTCGTTGCTAAAGGGAAGAAAAGAGAATATGAAGCTGTAACATCCACAAGTGTTACGTCCACATCAAATTATCAGTCTGTTGTCAAATGGCCCAAGACATTTGGTGTCTCGCCGCAGCGATTGATGGATAGCTTTTTTCAAGCAATGAGGGAAATCATCGAAAACAAAACAAGGCCCATCATTGACAAGCCTAGTAAATTGGATGTACTCAAGAAAGCATTACTCTCGGTGAAGAGGCTCCCCCTAGGTATCATTACTACTGCTGAAAAGATCTGTCAATGTGCCAGAGATGAGTTGAAAAATCATCTTGAACACCATGGCACTAAGCAAAACTTTCAGTACTTTCAAGAGTACGTCAAGGATCATTTCGATGCTATTGTGGTATCTTTATAGCCTCAGGCCTCTGCGTCTACAACCATTGGTGAAAGTGCATCCATCCCAGCTACACCGGTTATTGCTCCTTCTGACTCTGTAGCGTTTCTTCGCCGCGACCTCTCTGGCTTGGACATGGCATCCGACATGTCTTCTGTGTCTGGCGTCCCTTCACATGCAGCAATGTCTTCAATCTCGCATAATCCCTCTGATATATCCATGGTTGAAGCTCCCCCAGACAATGTAGGATACCGCACTTGTACTGTGTCTTTCAAGAGCCTTTTACGAGAGAGTGTGCCTTTCGATCTTGTCGAGTCATTTTTTGCAGAAGCTAAATACTGCATTGCATGATGTATCTGACTAAGTTATGGACTTGCAATTGGTGGTATACACATTGATGCTCTCAATGAAGTCCTCGCAGCTCGTAGCTCATAGTGGTAATATTCAGCTGAAGAAAGCTCGTGGTTTCCAAATACAAGGTATACTCCCAGCAGGCTACAATATGAAAACTAATGTCATTACCTCTGCTCCTCCATTACTCTCTAATGCCTTGCAGTCTACGGCTTTTTGCAACGGTATCAAGGAATCTTTTCCAGAGCAGACACATTGATTACCTGCATACTGCTTTGTTTGGCCAAAGAGGTACCAAGATCTCGCATTCTCCATTTGCTGCTCTGTCGTCCGCCAATGCGCCAATGCGCCAATACTTGGTGCTATCGTAAGGGATACGCCTCAACCTGCTAATGAACTCATGATGGTGGCTCAAGGATTGTACAAAACAAATCTCGAAAACATGTGGGCAAGTAATAAGGTATTTAACAAATCACTGAACAAGCTACTGGAGATTCTTCTTCGCGCGCATCTCGCCCCAAAACGAGAGTCGCATTACTGGGAGCTTCAACAGACCAAAGCAAAGAAGCAACCCAAGCAAGTTGTCAAGTCGATCAGAAATTCGTTTCACAACGCCATCCGATCAGAGAAGTACAAACTGCAAAGATATCAAAGAAAGGCATAGGGCAAACCAGAAGACAACAACTGGGCGAAGCTGGCCAGAAATAGTCAAGAGCGCATAACTCACATGTACGCTGATGCCAAGCGCCCTGTCAAATCTCTTTCTACTTCTGGTACTACATTTGATTAAGCTGCTGTATCTGCTTCTGGCTCAGGTTCTTTTACTACAACTGTATCTATTCCTACTGCTCCCTCTGGCACTTCTGGCGCTGTTACTGCCTCCAATGCTAGTTTTGGTCTTGGTAGTGCTGACATGCCTATTGACGAACTGCTCCCTCTTTCTGAACTGATAGATGAAGAAGACGACCAAGAAGAAGAGGAAGGCACCCGTGATCTGCCCAGAAGACGAATTATGATTCTCAAAGCTATCCTGAGAAATCTCTTGATGAGGCAAGCTGGCAAGTCTATCACCCATACACAGCTCAAGAAGGAACGTCCCAATATCACGGAAGCAGAGAATCGCGTGTGCATGCTTCTGGGAAAATTACTGCCGCCTTATATACCTACTAGAGATCATTATAGCTACATTGGCTTCCAGTTGCCATTCTTATTGTTGGCCAATGATATCTTTTGCTCTGTTGGCTACCACAAGTTTGCCGTGGATCTGCGTCCAACTTCTTCCTGTGGCTCATTACATGCAATGCGTGTAGACGCGGCCTCTCTGTATGCCTTATGTACTAGAGGTGAAGATCAAATGGATATCTTTGACTTTCAAGGATTTGTCATAGAAAACGTTGGGATAGCAAGAAAATACAAGGATGCCGTGTTTAATTCTTTTTTCGACATTCGTGCCATCACGCAAGCCTGCAAGTCCTTTGGTCTGACATTTGCTCACAACCTTACCATTCTGCCAGGCCTTACCTCTGTCCGTATTTTGGGCACCAAACCAAGTCCCAACAAGTCAGTTTCCAATACGAAGAAACCTTTAGATATTGATTGGGATACCGTGAAAGAGCTTCAGACCAGAACTAATCAAGCATTGAAGAAGGACATTGACCAACTGGAAACCGATATCAAGGCTGTATCTGATGAGCTGAAGACTGCAAACAAGGACCACAAGAAGGAGCAGTATTCTACAAGGGTCAAGGACTTGAAGAAGCAACGGCACACTGATCGTAGCAAACGCCAAGAAATCAAAGAGCTGAAGGCTCAAAGATACCAGTTGTTCATCGCTATCAAACAGACCAAGCAACAACTGCCCAACATGAGAACTCGCGCGTTTTTGACAGGGAAAGCTATTGAATATAGAAACAAAGACATCCCTCTTGTATCAAATTACGAGCCTCCTCCTTCTGACCAACATCTCGATTCAATGGTGTTTTGGGGTACTGATAACGGGCTGGCTGTAATGACAGAAACTATTGGCGTGAATCTGAACAAATACAAATATCACTTGTCACTGCATAATAGATTCTCTCCTCTCACCTGCATGTACTGCTTTGGGCCCACCTCTCATTCCACACAAACCATCAAAGCAAAAGATGGTAAGACCAAGGCAAGGTCCATTCATGGTGCATTCCTGTGCTTAAATCCTGCCTGTGTGTCCGTTCTCAATCACAGAGCCGTTCAAGGTAGAGACAAGACATCTGCTTTGGCCATCGCTGTCTCTAGGCTTTCCATTCTCTTGTTCAAGCAGCCATTGTCTGTATTCAATCCAAAACCCAGTCAATCCAACACTGGCATTATTTCCAAGACCACCTCTTTCTGTAACAGAAACGAGAAACGGAACGGCAGCGGTGCTGCATTAGCGGACGCTTGAGTCTTCAAGGTAATGATGTGCTCAATCTGGCACTGCTTTACTAATTTGTCATTTATTATACTCGCAAGATTCAAGTTTTCGTACCTTCTGCTCCAGATTGGACAGATTCTGAACAAAATCGACCTGATTTTTATATTTTAAGAGATTCGACTATATGAATTGTGAATATCAACCCCCACTTTCTAGTAGTTATATAGAGCAATTTTCAAGACGCATCGAATGATACCCAGTAAAAGAGGTGTTTTGAACAAACAAAGTGAGCAATTTGCTAAAATATGAAATGAGGTTTTTGGCCAAAAGGTTGAGATTTTGCATATCAAGGCCACACAAAGACGATTTCAGGGGTTGCATTGGATCGAGAGAAACATTTTGATTCAATATTTCTCAATAAAAGACACTTTTAAATACAAAAAAAATTGTTTCATGCTTTTTTGTCGAATTTTGGCCATATTTTTTGGGTCTTCAAAAAGCTGAGCAAAGGCATCAGAAAAGTAAATGCAAGATCAGAGCAACTGTTTGGCACTATTTCGGTAGCCTAAAACTGATTTTAACACGAGATAATACGGCTCGAATTCATACAAAGTATGTCGTGTTCAGCGAATTTTTGAGTAACGAAAGATATTGTAAGTATGCTGCTGTCCGTACATGAAGTGCTCCCGTTCATATAGCCATTGCGCATTGTAATAGAGCTAAATCCAGAGTTGCAAGATGTTTATGAAGGGCTCTCAGTGATAGAATAACGTTAAAACGTGATATATCGCTATTTATAAGTAGGGTACAAAGGGGAGACAAGCGTATTTTATTTAGAACATTTCCTTCACATGATGACACATTGTGATTCTTTGCTATTGCTATTATTAGTCTTGCCGTTGGCGGCAGGATTTACAGACAATACTGAGAGTTTCTTGTCCTGCATGGTGCGTCTCTTTTCATTCTTTTGGTGCTTGACAAGACTTTCCAACAGGTTGACTCGATCTCGTGCTTCTTTGTGGTTGCCCTTCTTGACTGCTTTGGAATAATAATGATGGGCTTGAGCAAAGTCTCTTGGAACGCCAATGCCAATTTCATAGTACCATCTATATTTTTGTCTGGATTGAGTCACTGATTCACTCAATCTTGATAAACGCACTTACCCTAACAAGTAGCATGCATCAGGCAGATTCTGATCTGCAGCTAAATGACACCATTTGAATGCTGCATCTTCATCTCGAGGTTGAGTTCTAGTCCAATTGGATTCGTCTTGCTCGAAAATAGCCAGCTGTTCTTCCAATTGCTCAGGTGGAACTTTAACACCTTGATTACAGATGCGACAGAGACCCAACATGGCGTACACATTGTTGTTGTTATTCGCTGCCAGTTCATAGTAGTTGTAGGCTTTAGCAATGTTGATGCGGATACCAAATAAGCCTTGTTCGTAAATGTAACCAAGACGATATTGTGCAGCTGACAGGCCCATTTCGGCAGCATGTTCAAGGTATGTTGTAGCAGCAAATGTGCCACCGTAATTTTGTATTAATTCGCTATATATATATATCACATTAATACATATTTTAATTAGAAACCATGGTCTTGTAGAATGTACCTGGGTATATTGATAGAGGGATAGTCGTTTGTAAGGAGTAATCCCAAGGTATAAGGTGCTTCTGGACATGTCCCAGTTGATTTCTCGGATGCTTTCATTAGTAATTGGATTGCCCCTGTGATATTGCGTCTAGAACCGAATTCACCATTCAGATTGATCATGGCAATTCTCTGCAATCAAAGCATTAGTATAACATAATATACTGCCATCGAATGGAGATTACTTACATAAAGTGCTTCCACGAGGCCCAGACTAGCTGCATCTTCGTACAGTTGAAACGAGGTCATGTAATCTTGCTCTCTTTCGTGGTATTGACCCACAGCAAACATGGCTTCAGGCACCTTTTCGTTTGCCGCAATTTCATAAAACTTGAGTGCCTTGGTAGCACTTTTTCTGAATCCGTACATGCCGCGGTCAAACCAGAGTGCCAGCAAATAAGCAGCTTCGCCCACATGCTCTTTGGCTAGCTTTTTGATCCATCGCACACCCTCTTCTTCCAACATCTTTCTCTTCTTGCGCTTACTGGCTGCTTCTTCGCCGTCGTCAAACGATGGAGTTTGAGTCAAAGTAGAATCGCGACGCATGGTGTTGAGTGTATTGACGCTGATGTGGGTATCCACACTGCTGCGACGGCTGTTGATGCTGGCAGGACGACTGATACTACCTGAACCTGTCGTCGCACTGCTGCCTCGACGAGAGCGCTTCAATAGAGGTAAGTTGAGAGACAAATTGGGTCTGAATGGGCGCCTTTGTCCATCATAAAGACTGGCCACTTCCAAGAGGTATTTTGCGTAGGTGAGTTGTACTGTGCGATCTTTTGTTTTCAGAGCCATGGTTCTGTAGAGTTTGATAGCATCTGGATGATTGGTAAGGCTATAGGATGCTTTGGAGTATCTAGAGGAAGATTGCTGCTGCTGTTGTTGGTGCATGTGCGTTGGGTAAATGGAAGAAGGTGTCAGAGATGGTGTCAGCGAAGGGTTACGAGCGTGTTGTGTCAAAGGTGGACGAACATGCGAGTTGGGAGGGCTTTGTTCTCTTAGCAGATCTAGACTTTGACGGCGGTGATCTGCTGGTTGATGATGCTGATTAATAGAGGAAGACTCTAGTTTCTTGTTCAATTCCTCTTGCTCAATTTCATCAGGTGATTTGGTCAATTCCTCATTCGCTGTTGTAATCACCATGGCACTCACAGATTGCTGAGCAACAGAAGCCGAGCTCTTTTTCGTTGGTGAAGACGGGAAGAAGTCAGGGTGATGCTGCGGTAATTGAGGTGGAGGACTGGATGGACTACTACTGCTGGTGTCGGTTGTAGGGGAGAGCAGGTATGATTCATCAATGGTCAGCAATGGAGGCAATGATGCCAAAGGTGGCAATAATTCTAATTCCATGTTCTTTTTGTATTGAAAGCGAGGAGGGGGGTGTTGCTCAACCAATGTCTTTGATACTTTTCTTATGACGGTAGGTTTGTATTCTTGAATTTGTGGGGGCTGTTCAGAGATAGCAGAATCTTCCTTGTTGTTACCTTGCCAAGCATTTGGAGGTGGTACTACAACGATTTGTTGTTGTTGTTGTTGTTGTTGCTGTTGTTGTTGCTGTTGTATTAGGGTATGCTGGATTTCAGGCGAAGAGATGATGCTACTCAATGATGGCTTGTACTGATGATCAGTGGTGTGTGGCTCATTATCCTCTTCATAGAAATCAGGATTGACGACTCTCAAGGTGAAGGGCGGTTGCTGATCGTGGATCGCAGTGCCTGTGTCTGAATCAACCGAAATTTTGCTATCATTGATCATCATCAAGTTACTGCTATTACTCAAGGATTGCGTCGATGTTTTGGTATTGAGACGATATGATTGCTGTAGTGGTAAAGACGCGTTTTTAGTTGGCATAGTATTAGCAGTGGCCAGAGAAAGAGAAAGCGAGAAAGAAAATATGGAAAGAAAAAGAAAGTGAAAGAATTAAGATTTTCATGCTATATTTATACCGGGAAAATAAGTTTGGTTCCCTTCTTTGGAATATTTGGCATTATCAGGCCTAATACTTTGCACAGAGCTAAATTTTTTCAAGGCACCAACAATAGGCAGAATCTCATGTGAGAGCATTATCATTGGATAGGCAACTATTCCGGATTTATTGTAAGAGAGCTATATATAGCACATTTGTATTTATTATGCGTTTTCAATCAAATTTCAGCGAAGTAGCACACACCATCTGCTAAACTTGGCTTCATGCCTTTTTTTTCAAATGTGTATATATAGTAAGTCTTGATTATAATTAGCTTCTAAATGGAATCGTTGAAAAGTAGGCATATGGCTCGTTTACAGTTGATCCATTAGCAAGGCGTTGCAGCCGGTGCGTTGACATTGCTGTCATCAAATATCATGATTGCTTAATTAACAGCAGCAGCCAAAATAAAACAAACAAACAAATCATGATCCATGTTCTAGGCCACAGATCAAAAATCCACATGCAAACTAGCGTTGATCTCGCCTGAATGATAGACACCCATCTCGATTACTAAATAAAGAAGACATTCTTTTAATTAAAGAGTGCAAGAACCCTGGCTAGCCGCAACCATGTGTTTGCAATGTCCAGCTATAGGCTTCTTCTAAATGAAAATCAATTATACTGTTTTCAATGACAGCACACAACGTAATATAGTATTCAGGTACACAATACACATGCGCATCCTTCTTCAACTCCAATAGAAATTAACATCAACGTGAGCAGTGTCACCTTGATAACTGTCGAGATTAGAAAGAGTCGCACTTTGGATACCATTGTCTCGTTTTTTTTTTGCTTGGTTTTTTTTTTTACATGAAAATGATGAGCGGATTGTTGCTACTATTCTTAGCAACTGAGCCAAATCAGAAATGTAAGAATGGGGTTTTGGACCTCCTCCATAGCTTTTTCTTTGCTTGGAATGACTGATGTAATATATATATTCATGTTGCTCAATGGCCGATATTACAGAATCGAAAGAGACTGCCACATTTCATGTGATGGACCTGATAAGAAAATGACAATACTATGGGTTCAATAAAAAACATGATAGTAAAGTGAACAGGTGCGATTCATTCATAGCTGTTTTTATACATTATGATAGGAATGTGAGCAAACTACTCAAAAGCCAAAGTAAGGTCTTTGCAAGCATTGATGCAATTCAGTGCTGACCATTGGCTCCTGGCATAGCTGCACTCGATCCTCTACTCTAAGAGAGGTATTTCCAGAACCATGCTAAAAGGTGCCAGAGCATTGAAATCATGACATTGATGTATCAAAAGCATTGTAGTATTACATGTTTATTTCCAAAGGGGGGTATGATGAAATTTATAGATATGTTACATTGATAAACACTCGCTGAAATGGCTTAAGCGCGAGCTTGAAGAATATTTTCAATACAGGCATTAATATAATCTTTTCTAGAGGCCATGGAGACGCCAAAGATGGTCTGGAGCTCTTCACGCACCTGTTTCTTGGTGACCTTTGTAAGATCTGCTGTGCTCAAGATGCGCTGTACTTGGAAGAGGATCTCCTCATTTTTAGGGCCGGGATTGTCTCCCATGGTGAATCCATCCATCATGAGTGAATGGCTACTACCGCTTTGTGGATTGTTGTTACTGTTGAATTGAGGTGCTTGTTGCATGGGGATGTATTGACCGGGTTGGTTGTTGAACGAGGCAGATTGGGCAGGAGCAAAGGAAGCCATGGATCTACTGGATGGCATGGGAAGCATGGTAGCACTATTGGAGTAGGGCATCATGGGCATGGATGTCGACGAGGGCATTACCATGCTTTGATGGTCGAAATTGGAGCTCATTCTCTGCTGCTGTTGTTGCTGATACTGCATCATGACACTAGGCGAGTACATACTCATATTATCCGAGCTGTTCATCATGGGAGCGCCTTGATTGTACATGGAGTTGGCATTGTTGTTCATCATGCGGCTTCCACTGCGACGACTGTTGTGAGTGTAGGCACTGCTGCTATTCTGAGACAAATTGTCACTCCAGTGATCTTCTGAGAGCAAGGCTTGTTCGTATTCAGACCACTTCATGGTGGGGATAGACTTGGGATCAAACGTGCCTTCATCAGCAGCCACAGCAAACTTCTTGCCTTTTTCACCAACAACAACACGCGTGTTACCCCAGGAGAAGTCATCGAAATGCCAGTACGAGTAAATGGGAATGTAAAAGGCGAATACAGGCAGAGCAAAAATAGATACAATCATCCAAATGACAAACTCCCAGCGACCCTTCATGATGAAAAGCAGAGCTTGAAGACCATAGGTACCAGCAATAGTAGCCACAGTGATGATGGGGACCGTGCCGTCGGATGTAGCCAAGGTGTAGATCAGATAGCCAAGATAGCCCATGATAGCAGGCATCACCAACGTACTGATCAAGTCAAGCATAACAATAAAACGCATAGAGAAACAGCAGAAACCACATAGACGGGGAAGGAAGACCAACTCACCCAGGTTGTGCACAGTGGAGTTGATCCAGCGACGACGCTGCGATACCAGGACACTCCAGAGATCGGGCGCATTGGTCTTACATTGAGCATCAGGGTTGAACTTGGTCTTGAAGTCAGCAAAGTGCTTGAGCAGCAGCGTAGTCAGGTAACGATCTTCACCAAGATGTAGCAAGTTCTTTTTGTGCAAGGTGTCGACAACATTGACAGAGTAATCAGCAATGATCTCGTTACTGCAGAAAAGAGCACGCTTGCCATCCACCGTACGCACACGATACATGGTGAAACAGCCAGGCAGACAACTGACAGTGGAGAACAGGGATTCAAACGACTTGATGAGATGATGAGAGATAAAGTATTCATACACTTGAATCATGGTGACCCAAGTGTCCTTTTCGTTGGACAGCGTCGTCTCACCACAGATACCAATGACCTTGGAGTCGAGTACCACACTGGACACCAGGTAGTTGAGACCGTCTCGCATCACTTCGGTATCAGCATCCACCATCAGCACAAACTCGTAGAAATGCGGGCTCACACCAATGACGTTCTTCATCTGGTGGTAGATCTCAAGCTGGAGGGGATTCATGGGAGCGTCATAGTGCACACGGTTCAAGAATTGCATCAGCACCAATTGAGAATCACGCTTACCACGATTACCAGGCTTTTGGCGTTCACGAGGGTTTCCTACTTTGGCAACCACAATATACGGTACGACATGACCCTTGACCTCGTACAGACCAGAGTAGATTTTACCCATATTGTGCTGCTTGCTGCCATCACCAACAGAAACAAAGGACAAGGCTTCGGGATCTACTTGAGGGTCCACGCCCAGGATGTTGAGCACAATGCGAGGCGTAGGCAAGTCGTTGCCACTACCGACAATCATTCCGTCGCAGATGATAAACAGCAATTTGCGCTTGTCGTCGTAATGTAATACAGATAAGGAGTCGATGGTCTTTCGCAGTGATTCTTCGTCCTCGGTGTAACATGTAACTTGACATATCACAAACTTGTCATGTTCCTCAGGAGCACGTTTACCACCGAATCGAATGGCTGCTACAAACTTGAAGACAATCACAGCAGCCATCAGACATGTCACAATCAGCAGCAAGTAGGTCGAGAACTGACATTTGGTAGAGTTTCTGGTGTCAACGTAGCCCACAAAGAACAGGTTGCGAAGACACACCAGTTGACGTTCACGCGCAGCCGCATCCAGGGGCAAACTGTTGAATTCATTGGTGATATCAGAGCCTGCTTTTTGCTGGAACAAATCCACCACGTTTTGAGACATAAAGTTAGTGTCCACAGCAGGGACAGCTTCGCCAGGAGGACCGCGAGCATAACGCCCGCCCATCATGTAGGTCGTCAGATCATAAATGTGTCCATCAATGACAGCCCAGGTACGCAGCGTATTGATGCCATTTTGCAGCGTAGGACTCTTTGCTTGGTCTGAAATCGCCTTGTATTCATAGCCCATATGCCCCACCTTGTAGTTTTTTCTCAGTAGGGTCATTTGGTCGTAATACCAGTTGGGGTTGTAGTTGTCGGAAGAGTATCTAAAATCGTGGTATTGGCCGTTGGTGTCTGTCAAGTTGATGTTGTAGTCAAAAGACACATAGGGCGAGATGGGTGCACCGTCGACACCCTCACACAGAGCAGACACTTGGACAGGAAAGAGGTTGGTGACATCGGTGCCAGCGTATTGCATGACAGAGGAGGTAGGCACAAGATTGGAGGGGTAGTGGCGAGGAGCAAAATTAGTCAAGTCAAATACTTCACCACGAATAGCAACATAGGCTTTTTCATCATCGATGCCATGGCTCTGCAGCTCAGACGTGGAAAACACATGTTGCTTGGGACACACAAATTCACCAAAGAAGATCAGGAACCAAATAACAAAGGCACACATTAAGAAGATGAGCATACACAATGTCACCTTTTCTCGCCAGGCAATGCGCACATCTTTACGCTTCATGCGACCACACCAGACCATAAACTTGGAGGGAATCCACCATGTTGCAAAGTAGACAAAAAACAGCCATCGCTTGCGTCCTGCTGTCATTTTGCTCTCGTCTTCTTCTGTTTCATCCAGATTCTCTATAACAGGCTCATGCGGAATAACAAGACCGTTCTTTTGATCGCTGCCACCTGTGGTCGAATACACGTAGGAATCGGATCCATAGTAAGAGCCGTCATTTTCAACGTATTGGCCTGATTCGTCCTCAGAGTAGTAGGAGGCTTGGTCGTCCTGGTGCGCATAATGCTGAGATGGCAAAGGCAGACCAGCAGCAGCAGCTGTAGCAGCAAACGGATGCTCGTTATGTTGTGATGCTGATGTGACAGTGTCGTCTCGTGTGGTCGTGTTGGCCTCGCTGGCGTCCATCAGTAACTGGCCATCCTTGGCTTGGCGTTGCTCTACCTTTTCATAAGAACGCAGTTGATCTTCCAGCTCACGCCATGCCACAGCACTGAGAAATACCTATTGAAATCTATAAATAACCCATTTATCCTTTAATGACATACAAAGAATACATACTTTGTTTTGTGTTGTGCACATGTTATTTGCAGTCCAATTCATGGTGCCTGCAGCTGTTTCACATTGCGAGCGAAGCAAACGAGAGGGGTCAAGTCCCGTGAACAGGTGAGCATAGCGGTCCAGGAACTCTTGGTGCTGGTAAGACTCGACATACTGAATGGTGGGCAATTGAAGGAGAGAGGAGACTTTGAACTGTTCTAGCTGTGATGTGACGTATTTGCTGTCAAACGAACTCTTGCTGGAAAAGCCGCTGCTGCCCGAGTGTTGCTTTGGCAGAATGCAAATTACAGACCACAGCTTCACCTCTTCAAATGACTGCACGAGTTCGTCCATGGCAGAGGATATTTGCTGCAACACCGTCAAGGATGCTGATGATGATAAGTCGCCGGTCTTTTCAGTAGGACCGCCCTTTCTGCGAGTGGATCGACGTTGGGAGGGAGCACGCATGGGCTTGGCAGACTGACGAGCCGCAATAATAGCCGAGTTGTGCTTGGGATGATTCTCCACTTTGACATTAGCAAATAGATCAACGACAAACGAGTTCCAAGAAGGCTGTACATCTAAACCACCCTTAAACAAGGACAAAAAGTCGACCGAGATCTGGCTGTTGTTCTCTGCAATAAATCCGTGTGTCGAGTACTGGACTGGCTCAGAGCCGCTGTAATGATTGATCACAAATCGTCGAGCGTTGGTATCTGAATTCTTGACTGAGAAGGCCGCATGCGTCGAGTTGAATTTTACTAGCGAATCCATAATGTTGTCGTCCGTGTAGTTTCGCTTGGAAACGTCTGTCATGGTGTTGATTGTATCGCATATGCCCTTGGGGCGATTCAATAGATCCAGGCACTGACCATCCACTGCTGTGGTTGCTAGATCAGCAGGCACTTGGATGCCTTCTGCACGAAACACATCTGCCTCGGTTTGGAACATGGTCTGATCAAGGTAGTATTGAATACGCTCATTTCCCAGGTTGACACAGAGTTGATCGAAACCAGCTACCACGCTGTGAGAAGTTTGGAGGCCGGGGAAATCCAAAATGCCGATAAAACTGTTGAATTCATCTACACAAGTTTTGCTATTGACACGCTCCACAATCCAAGAAAACAGCAGCGAGTACAAGGTCTCACAGAGAGCGTCTCTTTGAAGGGCGGCTTGTTCTGCGTTTAGAATCAGTGTAGTAAAGTCTTTGCGAATCATGGTGGTCTTGAATGTCAGTACATTTTCCAGTGCATGAGGGTCCAGTCCCAAAAAATCCGCCACGATTTCAAGCTGTTCAGTGTCTTTAACAAAAGCGGCTTCCTGTGTACCAGTACCCACAGGATCCACAAAAACAAGGTTACCGAGATGCAATATGGTAGCCACAAGCTGTATGATTCGACCAATGTGTTCTCTGCGGAAACCACTAATTTTGAGGGCAGATTTTAGCTGATCAAACTTGGCTGCATCTTCAGCAGACTGGATGGTGCGTTTCTTGAATTTGGAGAGATAGTTGTAAGCAGATGGCTCTTGGGCTGTGATTTGTAGTGCTGTCTTTTCGTCTGAGGATACACCAGCTAATAAATAATAGAATATATTGAAATTGCCATCTGTCGTTGATGGCGATGAGCGACCTGTGACACGGGACTTTTCGAGAAAGTAATGGAGCGTCTTGGAGCCGACCATACGTCCTCTTTCATTGAATTGGATTTCACCATAATAGCCAAATCGAGAGCCAGAAACGCCGGGATGTGTTTGGCACTCGCCGAATGCTTCAAACACCTTTTGGGATTCTATAATTTGGGTTTGCACTTTGGATTCTTTGCGATGGCTACTGAGTCGTACCAAATGTCGGATAGACAAGTTGCGGATTTCGGATTTTCCACTACCGGAGTCGCCTCTGATATAACGATGAAAAGAGGGTTTGGTTTAGTAGAGGAAGAAAAAGCCAAAGACAATAGACAATTTGGTTACCTTAATACGATGTTTTGATCACTGCCAGTACGTCTCATATGGAAATACACTCTGTTTACAAGGTCAAACAAATGTGGATCCAGCAGTGTGTTTGTGCCAGATGCATCTTTGTAGGCAGCTACGTATTCCAAGCTCGTTTGGTCATCGTTGATGGCGAGATCTTTGAGGGGATTTACAACAATCAGATGTCGAGATCCGATGTTTGTGTAAATCTTGAACGTCTCGTAACGGGAGCGGATGCATGAAGCTATTGTTTCACTATCTGCATTGGACAATTGTGTCAGATCAGTAATAGATGTGCTCGCTGCCTGCTGCTGTTGCGATTTCCTAGCTTTCTTCATTTTGCAGAGAGAGAGAGAGAAGAAAAGAGAGAGAATGAGAGAGAATAAATAAAAAAGAGGACTAAAATAACAAGGTGCTACCTATGGCAATCAAATGGATTATTTTGCACCTCTCCTCTTCTTGTGTAGCTGTAACACAGAGCATATAACAAGAGGATGATATGAGCCAAGATAAAAATAGCAGCAATCATCCATTTTTATACAAAAAGAAAATTTTCTAAAGAAACACACAACATTTAATGACAAAGAGAGTATTTAATATAAATAAGAGGTAGTAAAAAGATGATTACAAATTCAAGGGGGGTTATCTCCATCTCCAGATGTGTAAACATTTTAAAATGGGAAAAGGAGAACATGTCAATTTATGTAATGAAAATGAGGAAGATTAAGCTTTGTATTATATGTCCGAATCAAGGCAACATCAACTGCTAGATGGTATTTATAGCACAACCTCGTCCTCATCGTCTCGAAGTACGAGTGTGTATCTGCTGCTGCTGAGGTTGTTGTCATGGCAACGGTGATTCCAATGTTTGTTTGCTTGATGATGATGGTGATGGTGGTGGTGATGATGATGTCGTTTCCCTGGCTGATGACTACAGAATGTTGTCAGAACAGAAGCTGGCATGTCCATGGAATAGGTAGAAAATGATTTATGGAGGCTTGTATTGTGTTTAGATGACGGACAAGGATGGTTCTTTCTTGATAAAGAAGAGCAGCAAGTGCTATATCTTTTGGAGCATCGGTGTCGTTTGTGATGGTGATGATGATGGTTATGGCGGTGATGGTGTAGCTGCTGAGAGTGATGTTGGTGATGTACACCACAGGAACTGTCTAATTCCAAATAAAATGAGTCTTCTGAATGTTTGTTTGAATCAAACATGAGCAATTCAGAAGAGCTTCGACTCGGGTTTATGTCGGCAGCGGTGAACGATGTAGCTTCCTTTAGTGGCTCGTTGGCGATGATGCCTGAATCAAACATTTCAATTGTACTCCAATCCTTTTGTCGTTCAGTCGCATCATCGTCGTAATCTGAGGAAAACGTGGTCAAGTCAGGAACAGAGTAAGTGGATCGACGCAGTTGCATAGATTGTAGCTCTTGCTTTAGCTTTTCAGGCAATCGAATAACCTTGGACATGGTCTTGTTGGGCAATGAGTTAGTAGTAGTGGTGGTGGTAGCAACAATATCATCTCCTTCCGTCAATGTGCTTGTGGATGAATTTGCGATCAGTGTCTCCTCAATGGTCATAAGTTTATTTTCGGGTGGGTTGTCGTCATCCTCAATAAGTGATGCTTGTTCTGTCGATTCTTTGGAGAACATGGTAGTATGATGTAATTCAGGAGGTGGCGTATCTGGCTTATTTCTTGAGCTATGCAACACGGCGACTCTATTGTTATTGCTAGTTGGGCTCGTAGGGCGACAATGACAATGACAATGATAGTGTTGTTGTTGCTGCTGCTGGCGGCATCTACTATGTGCGCATTCGACTCCTCCTCCTAAAGAGGACGAAGAAGGGGGTGATGAAGATCGCTCGTACAAAGGTCTCGGCGCCTGATTATATTTAGACGCTGGCTTGGATTTGGATGTATGTTTTGTATCTATAAGACGACTTTCAGATCGAACGATGGCCATTTTAGGAGCATCCCGGCTATGTTGATTGATTTTTAAGGGAGCTGCTGCAGTAGAGGCAGCGACAGCAGCAGCGGCTGTCGTTTCCATTAGAGTTTGGTTGAGGATTTGTTGTTGTTGGATTTGCAGTTGTTGCAACTTTTGCTGTTGCAGTCGCTGTTGCTCTTGTATTTGCTGCTGTTGCAACTCAATCTGCTGTTGCATGTGTTGCTGTTGCATGTGTTGCTGCTTTTGCTGTTGCAATATATGTTGTTGTTGCATTTCCATCTGCTGTCTTTGCTGTAGGTCCATTTGCTGTTGCTGATGTTGCTGTAGTGATTGTTGAGGAAAACTTGGATAAGCAGACACCGAACGATTTAATTGAAGTCGCATAGGGCTTACAGTGTTGACGGGAGCACGGAACATGTCTTGCTCTTCTTCATAAGGAACACTCATCACAGGGCCAGTTTGTAAATAAGAGTTTCTGACATTCGTGATAGACGATGATTGCGGCATTCTTAATTGCTTCAATGGAGGTGATGGAGAAGCTCTTTTGTGTAAGCTGATATCTGATTGTGTCTGTAGCAAACATAGTTAATTAAAAATCTGATAAATCACACGTAAAATCTAGATTACGGAGTATTACCTGAATTGGTTTGGAGGCGACTGTGTACATGTCGTTCATGTCGGATACGCTTCTCACCAATGGCGGTTGCTGCTTTGGACGTTGCTTGTTTACTGCTATTGCTATGTGAGTCGAGGTCGGTTTAGCATATGTTGTGAAGGAATGCGATTGAACGAGTGGTTTCGGGGACGGTCTTATGTCCTTGGGTGTGATAGCTGTGATAGGGCTATTAGCTGTAGTGGTGGCCGAGTAGATAATGGGCATGGATGGTGAACTTAAATTGTTGGTACGAGCCTGAGTGTTATCCATAAAAGGGGAGGGTTGTAATGATTGGCGAGCTTCCAAACGATGTCTCTCTTTCATTCTATCCATTAAATTCTTTGATGTATTATTGTTTGTGGCAATATTATACGCAGGGGGCGATGCGGCTGTTTGTGTTTGTGTTTGTATCTGCTGTTGCACCAGTGTTGGGGGGGAGGCTGGCTTGCTCACCAAGATAGCTTTCAGGTCGTCTTGATCAGCGATATCGCTGCCAACGTTTTTTGAACTGTTTAAATTCAAGTTGCTGTCACTAAAAGACAAAAGAGGGTTTGGCTTTGGTTGATGTTGCGGCAGCTGCTTTTGCATGCTCTTACGAGAGGCTTTGTTGTTATCTACTGCTGGTATACTAATCGTTGGTGCAGATGAATGCTGATGAGAGGTCATAAATGCAGGGTTTTTAGCTGCTGCTGTGGCTGCATGATATACCGGCATTTGAGATGATGATAATGATGATGACTGTTGTTGCTGTGGTACAGATGATGATGGTGAATCAAACATTAACAGTGGTGATGGTCTAGCACCTACTTGTTTCTGTTTAGTATTATTATTTGCATGTCATTTATGTAGTTTAGTACCCTTATTCTGTCTGGAAATTGGAGGCTCATCGCTACAGTTACTGGTTGATCTGGCAGAGTCCAACTCGTTCATAATGTCGTCCATTAAACTGGCTCTTGTATCTCTGGGATTGGACGATTCGATTTCAAGTGTATTGCTTTTCGATAAGGAACCACCTGCAAAGGTGAGAGGCTTGGGAGGAGGCTGGTAATGATGTGATAATTCGAATAGCTTATCATTCAGCTGCCGTTGTTTGCGAGATTTCTTTTTAAAGCTTAACAAACCCATTTTTACAGTTAAGGATGAGAGGAAAGGAAGAGAGAGAAAAAAAAAAGAAAACAACACAGGATACTTTTAAATGATTCATGTATAATACATTTTATTGTAATGAGGGTGAATCTCCTTAACTCTATATATAAATGGCATAAAAAAGAAAGATGTTGAGACGGACAAATCAGGGAAACTAGTATGATCATTCACGAAGCGATTTGATAGCAAGGAATTGTAGCAGTAGTAATCAGTTCATGTACATGGGCTGTACATGATGCAGGCATACTTCCCTTGTACCATGTATGTAACCTACAGTCAAACAGGTGTCATTTTCTGTTCTATAACCTTCACTGTGTACGTGACAATAGCTGTATAAATTTGATTTCCTTCCCCTCCCTTTTTTTTAATCCCTCCCCTTACCAGAGGCCATGTCTGTTGTGATCCACTCCTCTGGTTGCTGTGTCAGTTCTCCTTATATCAAATACATTTCAATTGTGATTTTGAGCCTTCATGTGAAAAGGTACGATTGCCACGTAACAAAAGTGGGGAATTCATAGGATATTGAAATCATGGTTTTTTGGAAGTTGATGTAAATACCATGTTGGGTGCATAGTAGATCAAGCGCCCATTTTGAATGAGAAGAAAGCTAAAATCTATCTTTAGTCTTAAAGTCAAACTTGAATAGGCATCTAGAATCATGTCACTCCAAAGCGTTGTGAAATAAACTTCCAAATGTAAAATGACTACATGCTGTACGTGATTTACGAATTCAAGTGATTTCACTTGCATCAAGTTGCCTTAAAGAATTATTAGCCCGATCATCACTGTTCAGTCATTCTTATAGAGGGGCATACTCTTTTTTCACTTATACTGGACATGCTGGATTCTACTAGCGTCACTTTTCAATGTATATAAACGCAATGACTTCGATTAAATACGCCACACAGATACCATGTATAATAATTTATGCTATTCGTTTCCTCTTCGGTTATATGATGAATGATTTAATTCAAAAAAAAAGACATCAGATCATGTAAATGTTGGATGGTGTCTCAGTTAATAAGCTCTACATGCAGGACATCAGGCCCTACAATAATTGATTATACGTATAGTGGATTTGTTACAGTCGATTGCAAGCGATATATCAAACAGTAAAGTAGCCTGCTAAAATCGCGAGCTGCATACTTGCACCTTTCCATCGCTCAAATGTATTTTTTTCGATAGTAGCCATTGTTTTCTGTCCCTAGTAGTAAGCTTGTACGGAACCGAAATGCACATCAAATGGTACCACTCTTAATAGTCATCCCACCGCTTGTGTAAAGAGTATTTAACCATCTCAAACCTTTCGAGACAAAACATTATTGAGGCTTCACATCTTGTTTTTCACACATATGTACAGTCGTAATTTCGCACAATATTCATAAAACGGTCCAATATGACTTGTAACTGACAGCAGGGGCTATACCTTGGAGTCTTCGCTCACTGGCTTTCTCTATTCGCTTTGATTTCTCTTTTGATTTCTCTTTGAATTTCGATTTTGAAATTCGAGCTTTGAAAGTAGCATGTTCCTATAGCGAAATTTTGCGTAGAAAACGATGGTGTAATTGGATTTTAGATAGAATGCGTTGATGGAGAGAAGAGCGAGATTTTTGAGATTTGCAAAATTTGGACAGATGCTACTAATAAAAGTCATTGGATTACTATATGAATGCTGATTGTAAGTCTAGTAAAAGTTGTAGAGGGTACTTTGTTTGAGTAGGGCGTGTTGTATTTGGGCTTGCTGAGAACGATGTCGATGAGTAATGAGGAAAAAGAATGAAAATGGACAAATTTCAAAGGGTCGTACTGGTTGATTTTACTAAGTGAACGAGAGCTTCAAACTTAATAGCTTCTGTTTCCTTTTTAATTCTCTATACACTATTTTCAGAAATTATTGGGACATTTTTAAAAAAAATTGGTACTAATTCTGAATAAATATTGGGTCTATTTATAATTAAATTTGGGACAAATCTTGAACTATTTTGGAACACTTGCCTAATTAATATTGGGACACTTATAAAAAAACATTGAGACATTTTCAGAGAAAGTAAAATTCATTTATTACAATGGCTCTTTCGCCAAACAAACATCGAATTTCTTAACAGAGTAGCGAGCAGAACCTTCAAGATCACTGTACAATACATCATTGCATGCATCGGTAATCCTGGTCGAAAGTGTTTCAGTTTTTAAGAGCCTCTCCCTCTTGAGTTTACTCTTGACCACATGCCAGAATTGCTCAATAGGATTAAGCTCAGGGGAGTATGGTGGGAGGTAAACACATCTGTAACCTCGCTGAATGATATACCTCTCGATATCCTTGGCTGTATGGATGGGTGCATTGTCCATAACAAGATAAAAATCTTTGAATTGCTCATGCTGGTCCATGATATCAATCGTTTTCGCAATAAAGTTAAAGTAGTGGCCAGTTACAGTACCCACAGTTGTTGTTGCTTTTCCAGAAGAAGTGCCAGCTAACTTTCTTTTCTTGTTGGATGTTCCAGGCAACCTCACTTGAACATTCAACACTCCCCATACGCTAGTTGCGCCAATAATAGTGGTAGTTTTCGCTCTTGTTTGAGGTACAGGCACTTCAGCTCGAGTTCCTTTCTCTGACCAAGCCATTGTTCGCTTCAAGTTAATATGGAAAGCTGACTCATCAATGAAAACACAGTTGGACATGTAATCCATGTCGGTTTGGCTCCATTTGACTACCCAGTCGTACCGGTTTTGAATGTTTTCAGGCGAGTTTCTTTCTTTGGAATGGAAATGAGCTTTCTTGAAAGTCAAGGCAAGATCATTGGTCATGTAGTTGTAAATAGTCGTTTGGCTGATAGTCAAACCCGAGAAAGCCTTAACAAGACTCTCATGAGCTTGTTCGATTGTTACTGATGGATTATCTTCAAATTCTAGTTTTAGGTGCTTCGTATGGTCTTCGTTCAAAATCTTTGGTCGACCTGCTCTCTTAACTGGCTCTTCATCGTCCTCAATTTCTTTGTTAACCTTTTTTTGATCCTCTGCGTACCATCTGTAAGCGGTTGTTCTTGATATATGGCCGTGCGCTTTCCAAGCTTGATTAGGATTCATGCCATGGTCGTAGATAAGGATAAAAAATCTTGCCTTGTCTTTGTCTGTGTAGCTGTTATATTCAGTCTTGGGCACATTTTTCTTATTTTTAATCTTTTTCTCTTTTAGTGCGGTCAATTCTCTTTCAGGTGGCTTCCTATCAACATAAGTATTGTAGTTGGTAATGTCACCGAGAGGGAAGGCTTCGTTGTCTACATCCATTTCAACAGCTTCGTTTCCATGCCCATCGACTGGAGCATTTATTCCGTCTTCGTAGTAAATTCTGATATCTGACATTTTATGAATAACGAAGAAAGCGACTATGATTTCATCTCAAATCCCATTTAGTTTTGTCTCATTATAATTTCGAAAAGTGTCCCAATATTAATTAGGCAAGTGTTCCAAAATAGTTCAAGATTTGTCCCAAATTTAATTATAAATAGACCCAATATTTATTCAGAATTAGTACCAATTTTTTTTAAAAATGTCCCAATAATTTCTGAAAATAGTGTATGATGGTATGGTTATTATGGATAAATAAAAAAAAAGTTGAATATCTCCTGCTTGTAGCTCATAAAATATAAGATTTTGAGCAAATTTATGAAGGGAACGTACACCTGGTACTTAAAACCATTATATTATAATGGATATAACGTAGAGCTATTGAATGGTCTTTGTTTTGTGCGAATCCAGTGAGTATTTGTCGAGATATGGTCAAAAAAGAGTATCATGCAAAATCATGGATTTTTCTTCAAAATCTACGTGTGATAGCAAGCAAAAAATCTAGTGACGATTTTTTGGTCAGGACAATATTTTCAATATTTCATGATAGAGTCATGTCAGAGCTTCAAGCAATAGCTCATTCGATAGGAAATTTTTTGGTTTACAATGCTTAGTAATGCTTGACAAAATGTTTTGATGGCAGATACTGATTAATATTTTGAAAACAGTCAAAAAATCGCAAAAACAATCGTATCAAATATCAGGTGAACAATGTACACCAGAGACTTGATATAAATACCATTGTATTCTCCTTTGAATTCTCTACAAGTTTCATATAAGTTTGAAGGGGTAGTTACTATCAAGAAACGCGTAATTTTAAGGTCGATAGATTTCGGACCCCCATAGATCCTCATTCAGAACAATAGAAATTCAACCTCCGTTCAGCCTTCGCATGTGTACATCACACATGCATGCATTTGACCAAGTATTTTAAAAATCGGAGCGTACGAAAAGGGCCATATTAACTTGTTGGTTTCAAGTTATCAATAGATACTTGACATGTTGAAGAATCTTGCTGTCAAGACTAGACAACTGTAGCTTGCTTTATTCAAGAATAATAAGATTTCCAATTTAAAGTATGTATATTCCCCCGCTTAAAAATAGCATCCCCAATGTCAATTATATCATGAAACAGGCATTTCCAGTATAATGTTCCCACTTGGAACTTGCTCCAATATCATTATTCTACAACATATTTCAGTTTTATATGATTCTAATTTTTTCACCTATGAGGACCTGGATGTACAAAATGTTTTTTGATTTTGAGGTTTTCAACTTTTGGACGATCGAACATCGATTTTTGAAAAAATGATGCTAGAGCTTTGAAAGTAGCATGTTCCTATAGCGAAATTTTGCGTAGAAAACGATGGTGTAATTGGATTTTAGATAGAATGCGTTGATGGAGAGAAGAGCGAGATTTTTGAGATTTGCAAAATTTGGACAGATGCTACTAATAAAAGTCATTGGATTACTATATGAATGCTGATTGTAAGTCTAGTAAAAGTTGTAGAGGGTACTTTGTTTGAGTAGGGCGTGTTGTATTTGGGCTTGCTGAGAACGATGTCGATGAGTAATGAGGAAAAAGAATGAAAATGGACAAATTTCAAAGGGTCGTACTGGTTGATTTTACTAAG